CTTGTATTTATTCACGGACCGAAGCACTGTGAAAACACTAAAGCAGCAAAAAGGATCTCAGAAGCCTGACAGGTCCAAAATAGTAGTAATACAAACTTATAATGTTATTTATTAAATTCATGTTAGTCATCATTGACTTTGTCCTGCATAAGCTGTTTTCGTTTTTGGCTGAATCAGCCTTCGCGTTTTGGAATTTGAACCTGACTTTTTTTTCACGAGAGCTTCTAGTCCTGGCTAAAACAGCGTTGGCTTTGCCTAACCAGTGAAACGAATATGGTAGCCCCAGCTCTGCAAGTCACCTAGTTATTCACACGGAGAGCTGGAGAAATAGTGTTGGCTGTGTAATTTCCCTTGACTTGATTCATAAAAAATACCACTGGTGGAAAAGCAAGTCATTGAGGTTACAGGAACTGACTGTCCCTGAGGCTTCGGCCAGTTGTTTTCCTTCCTATTTTTTTATTTATTTTATTAAACCAATTTTTACTGGTCAGTTTGGAGGTCTCTAGGCAAAAGAACAAAGTATTGTTTATAATGTGACTTTGTGTAACAGGCTGCCTGATTGGATGTAATTAGAAAGAGCAGGCCTCTTCTGGATCCCTAAAGTCCTGCTTGCTAATGAATCTGCTCCTGCTGGGGGGGGGGGGTATTGATGGCCATAGTCTTTCTGAGAGATTATTATTAGAGAATTCCTTTGGACAGCTGAAATAACACCATGTGCACATTATTTCTCAGCACCATTCATGCAGTTATGAAAACCAAAACAATCGCATCGGTACTAATTAAAATGTATGTTAGAAGAGATACTTTTCTCATAAAGACATAAATAAATAAAGAACACAAAGGCTTGGGATAGATGAAAATGTAAATGAAAGAAAAAGCGATGTGGCCACAAGGTTCAGGGGTCAGGAGTGCTGGTATTTATTTGTGATAAACTTTTCCAAAGTTGAGGGGAGAAACTCTTATTTCGGCTACGTTGGGTTATTAACCCTTTAAAGCCTGAAATATGCAGGGGCTGGGATTCAATGTGGTAAATGGCTTGTATTTGATATAGTGCCTTCTACAGTCCAGGAACCCCCAAGGAGCTTTACAACACAATCAGTCATTCGCCCATCCACACACATTCACACACTGGTGGGGATGAGCTATGACGTAGCTACAGCTGCCCTGGGGCGCACTGAAAGAGGTGAGGCTGCCGAGCACTGGCACCACCATCCCTCCGACCACCACCAGCAGGCAAGGGAGGTTAAGTGTCTTGCCCAAGGACACAATGACATTGTGGCAACCTTCCGATTACGTAATATGAATATATATACTGCAAATGTATTCAAAACATGAGTAAAGTTGACCTTTAAATACTTGCTTTTACAACTGAGCAGTGCACAGAGTTCAGATGAGCGTTGGTTAAAGTCACAGTTGTTATTACTGACAATTTAGAATGCAAATAAGGCAGAAAACATCAAGATGCCACCACAAAAATCAGCCCCCAAAAATCGACAGCAAATATCAGTCCTGACTTCTGCATATCGTTATCGGCAATAGAAAACCCATATCAGTCCATCTTTTGGTTACAGATCTCCAGCAAGACCCCAGCATGCTCAATTATATGTTTAATTTATTATGTTAATCTAATACACATGTTTGTAACCTGTGCAACAAAGCTGGGGAACATGGATAAAACCTACACTCGAATGACAGATGTCATTATTAAGCATTAAGAAGTGACACTTTTGAAAATTAAGTTTAATTTGCAATGCGGCTTCTCAATGGCTGAAGGATGTGAGTTTTTTTAAGAAATGTTCTTTGTCATATTAAATCAAGAAAGAAGAAATCTAGTTTGACTCCAAGCTAATAAGACTGATTGAATTTCCATCATTAGGCCACACGATAATTTACTGTTTGTGAGGAAAATATGACTGAAAACAGGAATTCATATTAGCTCAAGTCACAGTGGGTCCAGGCCACTCAGTCAAATGGCTAAATGTCAGTACAATTGATGTACTTGTCCGAGCAAGTAGTGATGTCAATGAAGGGCCATTTCCTGTCAACACTACACAGAGTATCACCCTGTTATTCAGACACCTTTAATCATTTTGAATGTACTGGGTGGCTTTCTAAAGCAACATTTTTTCATTTAACATATTTAACCAAGTCTTTTCTTCATAAAAGGATACTATGCAACTTTTTCACATTTTAAAATGCTTTTCTTGAGCCCGTATGTGCTAATATGACCCTTTACAGGGATAAGGAAATGTCCCACAGACCCCTACCGCCCTCTGTGGCCAGAATTTTGCATTTGCCGGTGTCGGTACGGGATCTGCTCGGGTGCATGATCCGCTCGGGGTCCTTCGACTGCCGATGACGTCAAAGTAGTTGATTGGCTGAACATGAAGCTTACGGAAGTTACATTATCACGTTATGATTTTGGTCAGAACAAATTTGCGGTCGTAGTCCTGTAGTCCATAAATTAACACTTTTTGGAGAAAAAATGTTAAACGGTGACCATCAAAAGCTCTTGATGTTGATGAAACGGGACAAAATAAAATATAAGAACTATATTAAAACACACCAAGCAACATTTTGAATCAAAGAATGTATTTACATAACAACTAAGGATATATACAGACGACCTCCACGTTAATACAAACAGATATGGCTTCACATATAAGAACTGTTCTCTTTTTTGTCAGTCCGATGTTGGTTTTATGCAGTTTCACATTCTTTACAGAACAAAGATAATATGGTGTTTTATTAACAAATTACAATTATAAAGAAAACATTTAGGTGTTAACAAACAAGAATTTATTAGCAAAACTGCTGATGTCTTTCCAAAATGTATGTGTGAAAGCCGAGTAGATTCGCAGTACTGTTACGTCATCAGCGGGCGCTGGACCCTGAGCCGATCTGGCACCCGAGCAGATCCTGTGCCGACACCGGTCCGGTCCCTGCTGGTGGAGGGAGCTGTGGAGAGGAGGAGTGGAGCTGACATGGTGGAGCTGGAATCCTGCATGTTTTAGATCATGAACACAGCTGAATTGTTTGATTTAGTGATGAATCACTCCTGTTAACATTAATAAAGGCTAAGGAGATCTTTAGATTATGGTGTTAAAAAGACGAAAGCACAGCAAGAAGATTTATTTCATTTTCACTTTAACCACAGATAATTAATAATGGACACTAGGGTGTGCTAAAAGCAAGTAAAACTGCAAAGTGGGCCTTTAACTATAAAACAATCTTTATATTGATTCATTGTTTTGCCTAAAATGTTAACGCTGCTCTGGTGGACAAAAATGAAGCTGAAATGAGGTTTTGTAGAAAGGTAATGAAAAAAATCCTTTGTTTTTTTAGGTAGCTCTTTGAACAGCTTTAGTTTGGAAAAACAAAGCTAGATTGACAAGCTAATGGCTAGGTCCAAAGATATTTTGATTTGCTACAGTCACAAAGAAATAGCTGTTGACTTTAGTATGAATGAATGACTTGTTATAATTGCTTTCAGCAGGAAAAAAGCTCTGGCACCCCTGTTTTTGGAAGCAGAAGTGAGTTGGAGGAGTGGGGGTGGAAAACAACGAGATTTTCAGTCTTACGCATTATTTTTCATTATATGGGGACATTTAGCCTCTGCTTAACTAACAGCCAGAAATGGGAATTATGGCATCAACAAGTCATCTCCATGCCATGTTTTTGTTCTGCTCAGCAACTGAAGCTGGTTCATTCACTGTGCTGATTGAAATCACCTGGTTTAGTTGCTGAGCTGAATGGCATGGAGATGACTTGTTGATGCTGCAATTTCCCATCTCTGCTAACAGCAACTCAAATCTTCAGATGCTTAGGTCCAGTTTTCTTTATTGAGTAAAAATGCAACTTTGATGTTTTATCTCCACAAATAACACAAGCCTGAATATGTTCTGCCATGTTGTGGAATTGCTAATGCTAACAGTTAGCTTATACTAGCCGAGCCGTGCTCTGTTTTCTCCTCGCTGCAGAAGTCGCAGGACAAGATGAGTGAGTCCAAAGCAAAATTTTCCTGTGGCGTAGATCTGTGTTAGAATAGAAATTTAGACAAGCCATAGCAGTAAAACATTTTGTTCTGCAGGTCGGTCTAGCCATGGGCCATTGTAACCTCGGCAGGTCTACCACTGGCCTGAACAGTTTTGGGTCTAGCCAATCACAGCGCTCGATGTTTGTAGACAGACACTGGGCAGGCTTTGCACCAGAGTTGTGACAGAAAAAAACTACAAAGATGGCGTCAGCTCAGGAACGGTGCTCATTTGAAACAGCTTTGGCATCAACTTTGGATGATTTAGACTTGGGCTTTTCTTTGAGACATGAGCAGGTAGAGGTAGTTAAGTACTTAATTTAAAGAAGTAGGCACTTGCTTCTTCTTCTTCGATGGTGAATGGCACACTGCCCCATTGACTGACTGACATAGCGATGAAAATGTGTCTTTGTTTGTTGCTCTGATGTCCGATTACATCTTGAGGCAGTTTGAAAGACAACAGACTGGACCCCACAACTGAGCTCCTTCTGTGGGTCATGGCCAAACTAAATATTCACACAAGGGCATGCCAGGCTAGAGCTGTGGTTATTTTGATGACCCACTCGTTTTCCCGTCTGTGGCTACTGGAGGCAATGGGAGTTGAAGGAAATTTTCTCCTTTTAACATTCATGTGAAACTTTCACTTTCATATTGCATTCTTATTTTGGTGGAAACGTTGTGATATTCCTGCATGAGGAGCGCCCCAGGCTTTTGCAGAACTACCACAGCTGACCGTTGCTGCTAACTGGACTCAGTAACAATTTGAATGAACTAAAATGATGTTTTTATTAGAGTTGTTTAAAACCAAATTAGTACACTTCTTAACCATAAAGTTATTGCTCTGGTCAAAATAAAATATTTTTTTCTCAAAACTGAGGTTGTTCAAAGAGCTAGTGTCCACATCAAGTGATTTACTGATTTATCAAGCATTTTATACATTAAATACAAGTTCTCAATGTGTCTACAGGTTCTGCAGATGTATCTGCCCTTCTGTGGCATTGCCATCTCCAACGCTCTACTCTTTGCTGCCTCAAGGAAGGAGTACGACAGGAGTCGGGTAAGGGCTAACGGGGATAACGACCCCCTCGTTTATAGTTTCATCTCAGCTCCCCCTCCAGCTGCTGACTCCAAGGCTGTGTATTGATCAGGTGCAGCCCACTTGCTGCTGCTGCTGCTGCTGCAGTGGAAACAACAGAGCAGCATGCAGACTTGCATGTGCACTTTCTTGAGATCTGTAAAAAGAGGAGGGGGGATTGGTCATGATCTAAATCTGGGCGGGGACGTGAAGAGATGCACTAATTCATGTCATACACTAGCTGCGTTTTCATGTGGCAAATTTCCTCAATCCGATTGAAATCTTGGTTGATCGGAATTTCCGAATCTCTGTTCACATGGACACGAACTGAAATGATCCGATCATGCCGTGCGTACATATGCACCAAGCATTTAATCCGATTAAATAGGTTGAGCATGCGCAGAGTTGCCTTTCACGAAAGAAAAATTGTAAACAAACGCCATGAAACGAAAAGAAAAATGTAAAAACAGAAATAACTATTCTTCCTGCTTTCCTGATCCATTTATTCAATTTAATATTTTTATTTAGCTCATAGAAGTTACGTTTTCTTCAGTGAATAACTGCAGATATATGCTTTGCTGCATTTTATTGTTGATTAAAATAAGGGAGGGTTATGTCTCTGCCTCTTGATCAGCTGGTCCGCAGGTCTGAATTGACAGCTGTTGCGCTGCGGCAGAGCGGGGACGGGGTGCGTGTGTGTGTGGGGGGGGGGGGGTAGCCTCATGTTTTATTACTGAGCTCTGTTGTGGCTTATTATTAATAACATGTGACGATCAGCTGAAACTGTTGAGAAAAATCTGTTCAAACAAAATAACAGAAGATGTTCAGAAAGTTTAGAAGCCTGTGTTCATCATTAACGAACCGCATCTCAGGTCATCTGCGTTTACGTGCTTTTAACGAACACGGACTTTACTGTCGTCCAGAGTATTTAACCGAGGACGTTTTCCTACCCAACATCAGCCTCCAATCAGGTCTGTAAAACCCAGATTATCCTGTGTTCTTTACAAGTGTGTCTCCATCACCTGCTGCAGAAGCTGCTGTGTTCAAAGCTGACAGAAACGGGGATCCGTGCGCTGCAACCCCCGCGATAAACCTACGTATTTCCAGTAAAGATTTGAACATCTTTGTCGAATGATTTGTGCAATAATCAGATTTTTATTTTACTTCCACAAAATGCAAGTTCTGAATTAAATATTACTGAAACGGGACGGCTTGTTGTCGGATTTAAAAGCCGCCGCTCGTTAATTACACCGTCATTTTTGAAGTCAGGCAGTCCAAATGACAGCGGAGAGGCCCGCTGGCTGTTGCACACATGCGCAGTGGGCATTATTTTACCCCAACAATCCGAATGGCTGTGTACATGCACGTCAATCGGAATGAAGAACGGAATAAACCACCTCTCTCAATCGGATTGAAATTTCAATCCGATCGGGCCGAATCGGATCAGAATATTCTGATTGACATGTTTACATGCAGAATTTTCAATCTGAATGGGCATTCAATCCGATTAAATATGCGCATGTAAACGTGGCTAGTGATATGCAGTAGAACAGAGCATAATAAGAACACAGTTCTGTGAGTAGAGGAGAAAAATGAAGAGTGGCCCCTTTACACTGTATGGTTTTTATGTGCCTGTGCATTAAAATGGATCGGCGCTGCCTTAGATGAATGGTCTCATTTAGTTTTATTGGGGGAAGTAATCGTGTTATATCGTCCGGTTGGTTTATGGTGTAAGGATGATGATAATGATTGGGTTCCAACAGCTGAGCAAAGCACAACACATTTATTTAAAAGCTTCTCACTTTCACCTGCACACAATTGATTTATTCAGAGTGTTTTCCTGTGTCGTTCAGGCCCTCCTGGAGGTTGTCAATGATTTGTTTGAGGAGCAAACTGACCTGGAGAAGATTGTTAGGAAGATCATGCATCGCGCTCAAACGCTGCTTAAATGTGAGCGCTGCTCCGTCCAGCTGCTGGAGGACATCGAGTCACCGGTACTGCTTTTCTCTCTGCTGAGTGAACATCTATCAGTTAGCGTGATTGCACACGCACGGGCCCATTCTTCACAATTTGCATCTATTTATATTGATGTCATTCCTTGCACCTGTTTTAGGTGGTCAAGTTTACAAAGTCATTTGAGCTGCTGTCCCCTAAATGCAGCGCAGACACTGAAAACAGGTACCGCTTTTCATTTCTGCCTTTCTCTTCTCTCAGGAATCATCTTCTAAGCCCATTTTTGAATCTGTAAGATGTAAATAAAAGACTATAGAATCATTTAAAATGGACTATTTGATAGTAATATGAGGATAATTTGGTGTATCTGAATGGCAGACACACTGTTAAAGCCCTGTGTGATTTGGTTAAGCTGCTTTTCTTTCCTGCTACTGGCATGGCTGAGCGGAGAAGAACAGGCTTAATACTGTGTGGGATGTTTATGGATGAAAACAACCCTGAAAGGGAGACAAATGACTCCTCACACTCGCCCTTGCACACTTTGTCATAACTGATATGCACTTTAAGGCAGCACAATTAAAAAAAATGTACAAGAAAATAAAAACATTGATAAATAAGTAGCCGCTGCTGGCTTTTCTGATGCTTCAAAGCCCTGGATCTCTGGGATTGTCAGCATGAAGGTTCACGTATGAATAACGAGGGCGGCGGAGCCTTCTGTAATTGAGTAAGTAAATTTGGCGTCAAAAGGTGCATGAAGGCACTAAGGGAACGACAACACTGAGACAAGAAAGCAAGAGTTAATGGTTTATTCAGTACTGCACCGTGTGCTGCATCACTGGATCAAAATGATTCAAAGGATTTGACATCAGTGTGTTTCTATCTTTATTCTTGAAAGATAAAATTAGTTTCACACACACACACACACACACACACACACACTCACACACACACACACACACACACACACACACACACACACACACACACACACACACACACACACACACACAGAGAGTTTGAAGGTAAAACTATGTGAAGCCCCCTCTTTTTCTCAAATAAACAGGGCTAGGAAGTGTAAGCAGTGATGCAGGTGCTTCTGTGGCAGAGCGTGGGCGTTTGGCAATGAGGGAGACAATCACACAATTAACTTTTCATTACATCATAAGCTGCAAAAGACGTTTTCTGACATCTACTGCATGAGATGTTCATTAACAACAAGCTGGGGTAGCAAAAAAGATCTCAAATCTGAAAGATGAATAATTGAATTTTAACATTATACAGTGACTTTTAAGCTGCAGGAGAGAGTTAAAATGTACTTTTTGTTTTTAAATCACGTTTTTTCCCAACTTGATTTCTTACCTTATAGTTTTAAAGACAGCATGGAAAAGTCCTCTTACTCAGACTGGCTGATCAACAACAGCATCGCAGAGTTGGTGGCGTCCACAGGGCTCCCCGTCAACATCAGTGATGCCTACCAGGATCCTCGCTTTGACGCTGAGGTAATAAATCACACCTGGTCTCATCCAAGAGTCTTTTTAATACCCTCAGCAATTCGTGTCGAGCAGCAAGGAGCAACAATTAGAAAAGGTCAACTTCTTAGGTAACAACAGTTAAAAAGTGCAAGCTCATTCATAGTAAGAAGAGTCACTGCTTCTGTTATCCTGCAGGTTATATATTTTTATATGAGAAGAGTCATAAAGATTATCCTCCTGCTTAAAGGGGACATATTATGCAAAACTTAACTTTTCCGTCCTTTAGTGCTGCCTCTAAACACTCCAAATGTAAAAAAAAAACCTGTAATACAAGCCGTTTCAAAAAGTCCCTGTTTGTGACATCACAAACGGGTTAATTAGAATAGTGACACCTCTCATGTGCAAGAGAGAACTGCTGCTGGAAAAGCAGCAGATCTCATTCTGGAAGGTACTGAAATGTCAAAAATCTAATTCTTTATGTCAAAAGGATTGTTTTTTCAAAGAACTTCATAAACATGTTTTTTATAGAACATAGCACTATTTTAACTTAAAAACATCACGAGATGTCCCTTTTAAGCATAGAATTTTGAAATCTAAATGCTTCACAGAAAATGTAAAAAAAAAACATTTTTAAATAAGTCTGAAATGCATCGGTTTTCTGCTACAATAATATAGCAACAATGTTTAGAGAGTTTATTTTGCACCTTTTCTTCCGCTTTTCCAGGCAGACCAGTTCTCGGACTTCCACATCCGCTCTGTGCTTTGTGTTCCTATATGGAACAGCAACCACCAAATTATTGGTGAGTTTGCTGTTTTCAAAATACATTCTGCATGCTCGCAAAAAGTTACAAAACAATCAGAATGTAGAAATGATAATCCGGTGTGATGCCGCTGTTATGTTATGAAACAAAGCTGAAAACCTTGCAGCTGAGTGCTACTGCAGTCCCTGAATAGTCCTGTAAATAAAAACATTGTTGTTGTCTTTTTGGTTTTGCACAAACTTGTGCCATTCTCCTAATGAGAAATACTCGCTTGTGAAACAGGAAAGAGAAAAAATCGCTCCCACAAATTGAGTCTAAAATGTGATTTTACAGATAATTATGTAGCGTTTAGTGCAGTAATTGAACTTGTGGGACTAAATCAAACAGGAAAACAGCCTACACACTTTTGGCTGCATGTTGCGTTCATGATACAGCTAATTACTTGGCGCACACAGAAGCAGTAGGCATGCACTTTGCTACATGAAGCAAACAACAGAGTGAAAGGAAAGCATGTGTTGATCTGAGATTGTGATCCGTGCTGTGCTGCACCGTCACACCACACGTAGAGGAAGAGTTTCCCTCCTTCTCCTGCCAGTATGCGCTTTGTGTTTGTGGATCAGCCGCGAGCTAAAAGCAAAATGACATCGATAAACGATTGGTCCGTTCGTCTGGAGTTTTTGGTGCTGCATGTTGCAGCTCAGAGCAGGGATGGCTCCTCCTCTCGATTTGCTGAGATCTGATGCAAGGAAGTCATTAGCTTTATTTGAGTGCAAAGCAATCAACAAATCTGCTGCAGATGGTTGGTTAAGACCTGGGTGCGTCTTTGCGTAGGTGTCAGTGGATTTGTCAGAGACAGAGGAGAGGGAAAGAGGATGAGGAAGAGAAAGAGTGAGGGGAGAAAGAAATGTAGTGCGTGGGAGGCACCTGAGGATGTTGAGTGAAAAAAATCATTACACAAACAAAGCAGCAAAGATGAAATTCTCAAGCGAAGGAAACATTCAAGTAGAACATTTATGTCCTCATGTCAATGTAACGTCTCTTATATAACGTTTAAAATCAAAATTCAAATATGGCATTTTATTCTGAAATTAGCAGCTGGAATAGTTATTTTTTAAATATATTATTATATATTGAATATGATTTCATAAAACTCTCCACAAGTTACAGCATGAAGATTTTAATAAAAATGGAGATTTTTTTAACGTAAGTTTTTGATCAATCAAAAATCTATTATTTCCACAGTTTGGTTCTGACAACAGACTTTTATGTGAGGTGTTTTTAAGTGTTGAACCAAGAATAGTTAAATAGCCAAAATGTTTCCACCTGAAGGAGCTTGTAGGCAAATTTAGAAAATTGCGAGACTTGGTGGAAACACAACTGGTAAAATTTTCTTTGAAATTTCTGTTGACGTTCTAGGGTCTGTTTTTGGGTTTTGTTTTGTGAGGTTGCTTTTAGTTGAATATATATATATTTATCAGGCACCGAGTCAGCATTTCAAAGTCAAGAAAGACATCTTTTGTTGCTTTGACTTATGTTCAAAATCCCCCCTTGAACCTAAATAAAATTTCGGCTTACTGCATGCTTGTTGTAATTATTGTTTACGGTATGTCTTGATAAACAGCCCCTGTAGGAGGATGACTTTGGTTTGATATACTGTAAGTCTGGGTTAAAAGGGCTGTGCTGGCTACAGGTCTGATTTTGTGAAGCTACGCAAAATTTGACGCCACGTCTCCTTAGATCTCCTTCATTGAATAAAAAAAATAAATAAATAAAACTCCACCTAATGACTTGAATCAGTGTAGAAAGTATTATTTTAAATATCTTTTTCACTGAGAAGATGTGTAATACTTGTTATTTTTGAAATATGATCAGTCACTCTGAACGCTGAACTTGAAAATAGTCTTTAGCCCCTATCGCCATCATCCGCCAAAAACAATTAGACTAGGAAATGATTGGGTCAGGAAAAGCTATACTAAAAAAGATCAACATCACATTGTAAAATTAGGACTCACCCAGCTTTGCTCATATCCACAGATGGCTGTAGGAATTTGGCGGCCAATAGCAGAGCACATCTCAGCTAGTCAAGCTAACCATTAGCATTAGCAACTCCGCAACATGTTCAAGCTTGAGTTATTCGTGGCGATAAGACATCAACTTAACATTTTTTACTCAAGAAAGAAGAGAAAACAAAAGCAGCAGAAGTGTCGCCTTGCTGCTAGCAGATGAGAGACAAGATGTTCATAATAAATATTAATGAGAAGGACTCCAGCTCATGCCATTTTCCAACCCCCACACAACTCCAACTAACTCCTAACTCTTGAAGCAGGAATGCGAGAGCTTTTTTTTCCACAGAAAATTACTCACGAGGCATTCATTTATACCAGAAAAAACAAGTGATTGACTTCTTTAAAGGAATAAAAAATATATGCAGCTTGGGGTGGCTGATGTAGTATGCCAAAAAGTGTGGGCCATCTCTGACTTGCTTCCCAGTGCAATTTAGTAACATTGTAATTGCTGCTGAGAAACAGTTTGTTGCCCAATCTGCTAATGCTAGCCCGAGCTACAGCTAATACTAGCTTGAGTTACTGCTGATGCTAGCTTGAGCTACAGCTAAAGCTAACCTGAGCTGCTAATGGTCTTGTTAGAATAAAACAAGTAAAGGGGAATGTTAAAGAACCACTCATGTTCCAGGATGTACTGGAATACCCAAGACTACCAATACAGTGATCCCTCGCTACTTCGCGGTTTGTTTATCGCGGATTCACGACTTCGTGGATTTTTTCTTTGGAGCCTTATTCAAGGGAAATTCGCCGATTCACGGTATTTTTCTATGCGAAATATCAAGAAATTCCTGTTTTTTTCATCAATTTCATCATAAAATGCACTTTTTGTAATAAAACTATAAAAAAACCAATTAAAAAATTTTTTTTCTTGAGTTTTACCCACAAAAAGAGAATGTGATCATACGATAATTCAATATAGTACTGTATGTCAGACTGGTCGGCTGGATTCGGGAGTTGAGCTTGTAGGGAGCGTGGTTTCACAGACGCGGAAGTGAGAGCGTCGGTGAAACGCTGGCTCACGATTTAATCTAGGAAACCCCCGAGCGTTCGAGCGTCAACGAAGTGACACGGAAATGCCGGGCTTTCCAGAAGTAAGTAAGATAACTTACTATGAGCTGATAGTTAGTGGGATGGATCGGTAGGTTGGAAACTCTGATCATGAATCTGAAGAAACGATGACTGAGTGGTGAGCTGGAAAGGCGACTTCCGTTTATAGCCGCGGTTTGTGACGTAGGTGCGACGTGGAGGGAATCCCCGCGAGGGGCATGCTGGGAGTTGTGGTCCATAGTGGAGGCCGGCTAGCTGGAAGAGGCTGGCCTGGGAACTTGGGTTCTGACACTGTACTGTAAATATGGTGTCCCTACTTCGCAGATTTTCACCTATCGCGGCCAGGTCTGGAATGCATCTACCGCGATAAACGAGGGATCACTGTAAATGCTCTATAGAGCTCCAGACGTCACGTGACTCTCAGAGAGTAGACGCCATGTTAGCAGGCAACAAAGGTAAACAAAATGAACGGGATCGGCTTGGATTTTACTCCGTCGCAGTTTACTTCACACTTTAAAACCGAAGAAATAGTTTTAAATCGTCAGTAATTAAATAGACTAAACATCTCCAACCCTTACCATGCCTCTGGGATACTTTTTTAAAACACCAGAAGCTGTTGGAGCGGACCTGGCCAGGGAACGCCTTGGGATTTCCCCAGAGGAGCTGGCCCAAGTGGCTGGGGAGAGGGAAGTCGGGGCCTCTCGACACAGGCTACTGCCCCCACGACCTGACTCCGGATAAGCGGATGAAAATGGATGGATGGACAAATAACAGATTTGCATGTAAGAAGTTTAAATAGAGTGCTGTGCTGTTTGAACGTACAAACAAAATGCCAAGAGAAATCACTAGTCTGATTTTTTTCCGTGAATAAAATAAATCCCGATCCCGATCCCCGGACAAGAAAACTAATTTTTGGGACATGGAATGTCACCTCGCTGCTGGGGAAGGAGCAGGAGCTTGTGGCAGAGGTTGAGCGGTACCGGCTAGATATAGTCGGACTCACCTCCACACATAGCATTGGCTCTGGAACCCAAGTCCTTGAGAGGGGTTGGACACTCTCCTTTGAGAGTGCTCCTTGAGTTGCTCCGGGTGAGAGGCGGAGGGCTGGGGTTGGCTTTTTGTTAGCCCCAAGACTCTCTGCCTGTGTGTTAGGGTTTACCCCGGGGATGAGAGGGTAGCTTCCCTGCGCCTTCGGGTCGGGGAACAGGTCCTGACTGTTGTTTGTGCTTATGGGCCAAATGTCAGTTCAGAGTACCCACCCTTTTTGGAGTCCCTGGGACGAGTGCTAGATAGTGCTCCATCAGGGGACTCCATTGTCCTGCTGGGGGACTTCAATGCTCACGTGGGGAATGACAGCTTGACCTGGAGGGTTGTGATTGGGAGGAACGGCCCGCCTGATCTGAACTCGAGTGGTGTTTCGTTATTGGACTTCTGTGCAAGCCGCAGATTGGCCATAACGAACACCATGTTCGAACATAAGGATGCCCATCGGTACACTTGGTACCAGGGCAGCCTAGGTTGATGATAGACTTTGTAGTCGTATCATCTGACCTGCGGCCGTATGTTTTAGACCCCCGAGTAAAGAGAGGAGTGGAGCTGTCAACTGATCACCACCTGGTGGTGAGTTGGATCAGATGGCAGTGGAAGATGCCGCGTAGACCTGGCAGAACCAAATGCATAGTGAGGGTCTGCTGGGAACGCCTGGCAGAAAAACCTGTCAAGATGGTCTTCAACTCCCACCTCCGGCAGAGCTTTGACCGCGTCCCGAGAGCAGTGGGGGGCATTGACTCCAAGTGGGCCTTGTTCCACTCTGCGATTGTTGAGGCGGCTGTTGCTAGCTGTGGTCGCAAGGTGGCCGGTGCCAGTCATGGTGGCAACCCCCATACCCGCTGTTGGACACCAGAGGTTTGGGGAGCCATCAGGCTGAAGAAGGAGGCCTACAGGGTGTGGCTGGTCTGTGGGTCTCCGGAGGCAGCAGACAGGTACCGGATAGCCAAGCGGGGTGCAGCAGTGGCAGTTGCCGAGGCAAAATCTCGGGCATGGGAGGAGTTTGGTGAGGCCATGGAGAAAGACTATCGATCGGATCCAAAGAGGTTCTGGCAAACTGTCCGGCGCCTCAGGAGAGGAAGGCAGCAACTCGCTCACACTGTTTACAGTGGGGATGGGGAGCTTCTGACGTCAACTGGGGCTACAGTTGGGCGGTGGAAGGAATACTTTGAGGAGCTCCTCAATCCCACCTATGTGCATTCCGAGGAGGAACCAGAGCCGGGGGACCTGGGGATGGACTGTCCAATCTCGGGGGCAGAAGTTGCTGAGGTAGTCAAACAACTACACAGCGGCGGAGCCCCGGTGGGGGATGAAGTGCGTCCTGGGTATCTCAAGGCTATGGATGTTGTAGGGCTGTCATGGTTGACACATGTCTGCAACATTGCGTGGTCATCGGGGGCAGTTCCTGTGGAGTGGCAGACCGGGGTGGTGGTCCCCATCTTTAAGAAGGGTGACCTGAGGGTGTGTTCCAACTATAGGGGATCACACTTCTCAGCCTCCCTGGAAAGGTCTACTCCAAGGTACTGGAGAGGAGGGTCCGATCGATAGTTAAATCTCAGATTGAGGAGCAATGTGGTTTTCGTCCTGGCCGTGGAACTGTGGACCAGCTCTATACCCTTGCAAGGGTGATGGAGGGGGCATGGGAGTTTGCCCAACCAATCCACATGTGTTTTGTGGATTTGGAGAAGGCTTATGACCGTGTCCCCAGGGGCACCCTGTGGGAGACGCTCCAGGAGTTTGGGGTGGGTGTCTTTCTGTTAAGGACCATTCAGTCCCTTTACCAGAGGAGCGTGAGTTTGGTCCGCATAGCCGGAAGTAAGTCGGACCTGTTCCCGGTGAGGGTTGGACTCAGCCAGGGCTGCCCTTTGTCACCGGTTCTGTTCATTATCTTTATGGACAGAATTTCTAGGCACAGCCGTGGTGTGGAGTGTGTCGAGTTTGGTGGCAGGAGAATCTCGTCTCTGCTTTTTGCGGATGATGTGGTCCTCCTAGCTTCATCAAGCTCTGACCTTCAGCTCTTGCTGGGTAGTTTCGCGGCCGAGTGTGAAGCGGCTGTGCTGTTTGAATGTATAAACTGAACACCAAGAGAAATCACTAGTTTGATTTTTTTCCGTGAATAAAATAAAAATGTCAGGCAGAAGCGTCTCAGGATCTGTCTGATGCTGAACCACTCCGCCTGTCGATCTCCCGATCCCTCCTTCAGTCACTCGTGAACAAGACCCCGAGATACTTAAACTCCTCCACTTGAGGTAGAACCTCTCCCCCGACCCAGAGTTGGCAAGCCACCCTTTTCCGGTCGAGAACCGTGGTCTCAGATTTGGAGGTGCTGATCCTCATCCCAGCCGTTCGGTGAGACAGATAATAGCAATCCAAAGTGCTTTTTCTGTGTGATCTGACAATTGATCAACAATTGCTTAAAAATGAAATACAGCTTAGCCAGTTAATTGCTGGGATCATAAAACACGTAAACGGCAGCACTCAGAAATCACGAGGAAACGTTTTACGTGATGTTTACTTGTTGCTATGAGTAATAAGACAGAAAAAGCCACGCCAAAATAAGTTCAGGAAGCCCACTAAGAATCGTAATAAAAGCATTTAAAATAAATACCATACACAGTTGAGGAAACGTTGGTTTAAGTACCTGATATGAAGTGGTCGCTGCATAAACAAAAACCTTTACTCTCGGGATCCCACAGTTTCATTTTAGCCCGGTCACTAGTGCGTTTTATTACAATGATCCAACGTTTGCGGCACTCCGGATCTTGGGGAATCCTGTAGATGGCTCATTCCTTATGCCGTCCGCGTCTGTTCTGGCATCCTGGGGCACAACAGGAATCTACCATATTTCCTGTCTGATTGAGTTTTCTGACAATAACAAATAGCCCAGCTGCGGGCTTCTGCCTGCCAAGATGGCGCCGTTTCGATTTGAACTGTTGCATGCCGGGAGACGTGACGTCAACTCCCGGAGCTCTATAGATCCAGTTTGAGGATAAAAGAAATTGGTTTATTGGAGCAGACTTGCGTCACGGGACAGCGGCTCCCGCGGCGGTCACGTAACGTCATGTGACACGGGAGATAACATTATATTTTATACGTATATGTTTCAATATAAATATAAAACGAGACTTTTATTTTTTAAATTGTGTATATATGTGTTAAATATGTAAGCGGGTTACTACCTGCTAGCCACCACAGCTTTAACTACTAAGCAACTAACCAACCATAGCTAACTGCTTTGGATCTAAAAAACACATTTCACATACCAACCCAATAGCTACAATTAGTTGACTTACATTTAAACTTGAAATTTGCCCCCGAAGTAGCTGCCGGCTTTTGAATATCCTGCCGTGTATTCTGGGAAATTTTTTGACAAAAGCTAGGCTACAAGACACCTCAACTAGCTAAGCGGCTAACAAACAGAGAACAGATGCCTTGGTAGAACATGAATATTGGAGCACGCCTTGGCAGCTCCCGATGATGTATCTCTTAGGCAACCGGGTGGGACCAAGACATCAAAGCAAGGTTTCTTGGCATTGGGAAACACCCAGGTGTCTTGTAGCCTGGCCTTAGTCAAAAATTTCCCAGAATACAGTGCATTTTTTTCAAAAGAATGGCGGATCAGGAGCCGGCAGATACTTTGGGGGAACATTTCCAGTTTAATTTTAAGTCAACTAATTGTAGCTATCGGGCTGACTACTCTTGGGTGATCATGAAACCAAGTTTTAGCCTAATATCTTAAAAATGTTCAGAGTTATAGCCGTTTTTGTGTTTTCTAGAAACAAGGCTGGGCCATCTTGAACTGGGTTCCAGTCACATCCGGTATAATGTGTGTCACTCAGAATGTAGCTTTTGAATCATTAATCACTCAGCTACTACAACAAAAACTGGTCATGTACACATTCTCCTTTAGCAGTGGGCAAAAATAAAAATACACAAATATTATTATTATTATTATTAATAACAGGTGTCGCTCAGGTGCTCAACAGGCTCGATGGGAAACCATTTGATGATGCAGACCAACGTCTTTTTGAGGTACTGTATTTTTTCCGTTTGTTTCGTAGAACATCCTCTCAGCAAGAATTTGTGAATATGTTTTGTTTATTGAATTTTTTTTTCTTTCGAAGGCCTTTGTGATATTTTGTGGACTGGGCATCAACAACACAATCATGTACGACCAAGTGAAGAAGTCTTGGGCCAAGCAATCGGTGGCGTTGGATGTAAGGAAATTATTTCTCATTTGTCCTAAAATGTTCAATTATAGTCAGGCTATACTTAAGGGTGACACATTTAGCCAGAAATCACAGGAAACAGCAGCTGCTATGTGGAAAATAAACATTTCTTTGTGCTGTTTTTTTTTTGTCTCAGGGGTCTTCTTTTTTTAGGCTCATATTTCCACAAAAATCTATGCATGAAAAAGAAAAAGTGCTGATCTATCTTTGTAGATAACCTTCTCACAAAGGTTTTATTGAAAATTAATGAGAGGCAGTGAAAAGCAATCCCTCATCTGCCCTGCAGAATGTAACCATTCAGCACTAGTCAGCCTGTACAGCATGTCTGTGGATTACAATAGGGAGCCTTCGGGTGCATTCTAGTGGTTAGCACTAGCGTTTGGAAAGAGAAGGAGAATGTAAAGTTGGAGACAAATGCAAGATGAAATCTAAGTGTGTGTGTGTGCACAGCTTCTGGGAATCTTGAATAAACATGAGCATTTATGATTAAATAAGCAGCTGTAGGTCTGTGCAAGGTATTTCTCACAGGGAATGAGAGCAACACGATGATGAAATCTGTGTTGACGTTGCTGCTGTGAGTGCTCCAGATGCAAGTGTTGGCTTCATCTGGGAGGTCTTTGGATTACACACACACACACACACACACACACACACACACACACACACACACACACACACACACACACACACACACACACACACACACACACACACACACACACACACACACACACACACACACACACACACACTCACACATGCATGCATAATGTGAACAATGATAAAACTGAATGATGTTCATTATGTTGCAGGTTCTTTCTTACCACGCTACCTGCTCCAAGACAGAAGTGGACAAATTCAAGGTAACAAGATGTTCACCATGTTGTTCTATTTGCTGCAATTGGAGGAATATGTCAGCCATGTAGAAGGTTTCTTTTGTGTTAAAGTGACAATGTGTAGATTTACCATTAATCTCTGTAAACGTCCATCAAAATTTTGTTGAAAATGAATCAACCATAAAAATTGGGTCTAAAATACATGGGGGCGGGTTTAAGTCTCTGACAGATATACATCACCAAATTAGTCGCTATGTTTTCTTCCAGTGAGGACAAAACACATTTACTGATTTGTAAGAAACGATTACAAAACTTTTGCTATTCATAAACATTGTTCTTTACCTCCTCACTCATTGCCAGTGATGAAAGGGAGTCTGATGTGCTTGAAATTTTGCTGGAGGCTGCGTTTCCATGGATTTTTTTTTACCCTAATAGCCATCCGTTGGTAAGGTCTTGCTTACTTGCAGTGACTTAGGTATGTACCTACCATCAGGGAAATTACACATAGTCACTTTAAAGCTGTTTGCTGAGTTTACATCTAACAGGACTGATAGACCAAATGCTAGGGCAAGGCAAGGCAAGGCAGCTTTATTTATGTAGCACATTTAACACACAGAGGCAATTCAATGTGCTTTCCATTAGCAAGAATATTAAGAACATTAAAATCAATGTGACAAAAGACAATTTAAGACCAGCAGTCATTTTAAAGCGGGTTAAATCTTCTAAATTTGACAATAATTACCGCAAACATTAATTTATAGATATTTGTATTGTCAGTTTTTCACAACTTGGCAGAAATGTAAAGAAATCCTTGCTAAACTTGAACCACGAATGCACTGCGATGCTCCATTTTGCTGATGATAATTATTCTTTGAAATAATCTTGATGAACCAACATGAAATTGCAGAGACTGGAGTGGCTTTAAGACTGCAGTGAAACATTCAGCTCCTGGCTGTCCTCAGACTAGCAGTTAGCTTATCAGTGTGGTTGTATATACCGTAAATCTTCTAATACAGGCCCGGGCCTGTATTTTACTCAAGCTCATCAAGCTCCAGGCCTTTATTGGAAGGAGGACCAGAATTAGAGGCAGGCCTCAATTTCTATTTGAGCAAAATGAACTAAAGGTTCGCTGGAGTTTTTGACAATTAAAATTGTGCCCACATTTTCAAAGTTAAACACACTTCTTTTAACAACGGTAGTTTCTGCTTCAGCCCTCTCCCCCCTCCCCCTGCGCAGCGGCCGCAAACTCACTGATGCGCCTGCAGCCTCTCAGAGTTCCTGCTGCTCTAAACATTTAAATAATTATTTCATTTTCTGTTCCTCACTTCTGATTACCTTCAATGGTGTCTGTTTGTTGCAACCACCAGGTACAAAAACTAACTTGTTTTTATTTGACTATTTTTCCTGCCTGTTTATTATCTTCCTGCATCTCCTCTCAATCCTAAAGAAAAACTGCTACCTGGGTTCATATATATTCACCTTATGAGTTACCTTTGAACTGCAGTTCTAAAAGATCTACCGACCGCAAAAACAGAGGAGTGCATGCTGCTAGGTGCGTCACCGAGGACAAAACAGGTGATGCGCCCCGATCCACAGCAGCGAAAAGCATCAGGCACAAATAAAAGAATAAAAGACAGAAAACATAAGAGGAAATGAGCCGACATGAACGATTGCCTGTTAAATTAGTTTTTGAGTTGGCCACACCTGATTTGATAATGTTACTGTGGCCGTGCTCAGGACGCAGATGTCTGGAGCGCGTCAACAATCAGAGCTTTGCATACGCAAGCTGGTTAAGGTTAGGATGGGGGTGAGGGGAATGTTAAATTGCAAGAGGGAAAACGTCACAATTAGGTTAAATGTCCGTTTTACGGCGGGTGTCAGTACCGACGCTCTGGCACAGCGCGTTGCCTCCCGACGCGCAGGAGCTTGTCACCTGCTGACAGCAGGCTGCTGTCTTTTCTGAGGACTGCATCTTGCCGGTCATTATCATGTGACAGCGACTAGTCGATGACAGGCATAAAAAGTCACTATAGTGAAGTCGACTAGTGACTAGTTCATACAACCCCTACTGCTCCCCAGAGTGTTCTGCAGCATAATCAGCACGTTCTCTTTGAACTTGATATCAAATTTTCTCCTCCTCTTCGTCTCTGCACGGTTAAAGTTACCCTCACGGTCTATCACTGGCAAATCAAAAGTGAGACGGATGACACAACTGCCCCCCATACTTGCTTGTTACCACATTCCACCCGGCCACAATAAAAACCCGGCCATTATTCACCTCCGCCGACACCGGCCAAAATATGATACCCGGCCGTTAATTGAATACAGGTCAATATTAGAGGATTTACGGTAAAAGCTATTTCTCCAAACTGAGGTCTTTCTAGCTAGCCACAAGATCAAGTGGTATTTATTTACAACTTTTATCTGGTAAAACATAAAAAAAACCAAGATATATCTTCAAACTAATGTTTTTTTTATCCTCTTCATCAACTTTTCATAATGGCTCTAAATTGGATAAATCTTCTAAATTTTGCATAATTGTTTTATATGTGGCTAAATCTGATTACTGGATCAAAAGTAATAATTCACACAATTTTTAACTTGTATGTCAGTTTAATTAAAAAAATAAAAATAAATAAAATAATACATATCATATCTCATCCCTAATGAGAGAAGGCCAGTCTTAACTTTGGAGAGGGATTGTTAACATCCTGTTTTTAGATTTTAACCCTCTCAGGCTCAAAATTAATTTTGATAAAATGACGAACAACTAAGTCCTTCAGGGTACTTCTGAGTTAAAAAATGCTCATGAAATACGTATGTGGAGTAACCAGGTAGGTAGGTTTTAACATTGCAAATCTGCAATGCCTGCCCACAGAGGGTTTCTCTAAATATTGTTGAACATTAAACAATTCCCTGGAGAAAAAAAACAAATTGTGCCATTTTAAATGAATTACTTAAATTTACAATCAATCATGTGCTATTCATTATCTAAAAAAAGATAAAACTACTGAGAAGATCTACATTTTTAATTGGCATGGCATTTCTGAAATATAGATACGACCTATTTTCTTGCACTTTCATGTGCAGGATTCTCCCTGGTGGCCATTGCAGCATAGTAGGATTCCTGGTTTCTGGTGTTCTTGTGTGATCTTTCAGCCCCCTCATTCAGCAGTAACGCGCCACTTCCTTCCTCCACCCCCCACCCCTACTGTCTTTCATAACTGCTCTACATACGGAGCCTTATTGAGTTCACTTGCCTGGGATTCCGCTGGAGTACGAAATGCGGTGACAAGCAAGCCCGGCTAATATTTTCCCACCAGGAACCATGAAGTCAGAGAAGATGAAGACCCACTGACCTGACAAACTGGGCTCTGGAGGCTGTGATGAAGGGGAACGGGACATATGTGCTTTAAAAGAATAAAACTGAGGAAATTTGCCTTTTGCAATTGGTGACAAGAAAAGTCATGCATCACCCTAATTCTGGTTAATTAAAATCTTATTTTTATTTGAATAACAATGAAAGAGATGCACCGCTACTACATTTATCAATGAAAAAAAAAAAAAAACAGAAATCCTTCGGTGATGTCCCCTCCAAATCTGGCCTCAGAGTCTTAATCAGCATCTCTTCACATTTTCATATCATCATCCCAAAATGGCACGTTTCCTCTGAGCCCCCTCCTCTCCACCCTTCTGTAGACACATGTTCTCATTCCTCCTCTCTGTTTTCTCTCGTTGTGATGAAACAGGCTGCTAACATCCCCCTCGTCTGCGAGTTGGGCATTGATAAACTCTCCTTTGATGATTTCTCCCTGGATGTCGACGCCATGGTAACAGCTGCTCTTAGGATGTTCATAGAGTTGGGAATGGTGCAGAAATTCAAAATCGACTATGAGGTAAAAGCACCACCGACTCGTTTCCCTTTGAAAACTTGATTGAATTTTCTCTGAATGCTGTTATTAATCCTCATGAAGACAGCTGACCCGTGTGATCATCTCTCCCCTGCAGACTCTGTGCAGATGGCTGCTGACCGTCAGGAAAAACTACAGGATGGTTCTCTACCACAACTGGAGACATGCGTTCAACGTCTGCCAGTGCATGTTCGCCATGCTGACGGTAAACATCCTGCAAGCTTAACATCTTAACTATTTGCAATATTTTCTTCCAACATTCATCATCCCTTCATTTCCATAAAAACAAGAATCAATCTGTTGTAAAAGAAGAACATTGGGCAGATTTATTTAGTTTAGGATTAATCAACTCATCATTTGTTGGCTTAGTTTGTAGATATTCAAATGCATATTAAGTTTCAGAGTCCACCCTGTAAACAATCTCAAAATTGCCAGCAAATAATTTTTACAAAATCTTGACAATGTCCAATGTGAAATATTTGCATGAAACCTTAGAGTGAATTATTCATTTAATTAATACCTTTAACTCATTCGCTGCCAGCCGTTTCCTGATTGCTAAAGGCCTTCGCTGCCAGCGTTTCTTGCCGTTTTTACTGTTTTTTTAAGAGTCACAGAACATTGCGCGCTAGGATGATGTCGACGCCAAAACAACCAAAACAAAGAGGAGACTCACCTCTTATATCAGGAAGAATCAGCATGTTTCGAGCGTTATCCGTTCTTTCATAATCCGTTGTCGAATTGTGATCAGCAGACGCTTTTCCGGTTCACGCCTCACTTTGTTTTACAGAAACGCCCCAAAACGATCTCCTAACACATGGATTTTCTGCTTCCTGATCATGTGATGTGTGACGTATGCGGATGAAGATCGGCTTTAGAGCTGAGATGTTTGTTCTCTCGGCACGGGGGCTTGTTCTGATGCCCACACAGTAAAAATAATGCAAATGACGACTTTAGTTGTCGTTGGCAGTGAATGAGTTAATACCTGGAGGTCTCTAGAAGGAATTAATGCCTTGCAGGTAGTACTCAGGGCACAACAGAGCCTACAAACCCCTGTCTCAGCAGACCACCATGTCTGCGATACACAGCTGAGTTACAGACGGTAGAATTTGTAGTCTTTTTTCCTGATATTTGGACATCTCGCCCTGGATTGGATAATAGCAACGCGACTTCATCTCGGACTTGCAACGTTGATGTTTTTAGCTCCCCCAATAACACAAGCCTGGAGGACTTCTGATGTGAATTGAAGTTGCTAATGCTAACGGTTAGCTTAACCTAGCTCAGACATCTGCTGCTGATTACCAGACATTAAAACAACAGCAACCTTCCCCGTTGTGAGTTAAGGTTGGTGAGTCCATGAATGCCGTTTCACAAGGTAACATAGATCTGTCAGGCTTTTCTAATCCTAGAGTTTCACTGTCTATTTTCTATCAGAAGCAAATGCAGGAGATAGGTGTTGGAGACTTTTTTCATGTTCAGCCTGCATGAAAAACCTCTGAGTGACCGATTATAATCAGAAAAAAAATACATTTAAAAATGTTATTTCAGTCAACCACACCTTTAAAGAGCATGTACCCCTATCACCTGCTTTAGCTTCTGATAGAAAGTAAGCGAAAAAACGCTTGGTTCAGAAAATCCTGACAGATCTACATCACACTGTCACTTAGCATTCATGGACTCACCCATCTTGATTTTCGACAGGATAGGCTGTTTTTGTTTTAGCATCCAGGAAACAGCAGAGAATGTCTCGACCAGTAGAAGCTAACCATTAACATGAGCAACTCCAATCAGAGTCAGTGGTAGAGTTTTGTTGCTGTTAGCCAATCAGAGGTTAAATATCAGGAAATAATGGCAATTACTCACTAGCATCTGCTCCACTCCGCCTGGACTGGGTTTTGAGTGTTCTCATTTGGGTAGCCTTGGATTTTCCCACGCTCAACCGGGTGCCTTTTCAGCCCTCTTCCCGAGGCGGTATGCCTGGAGCCAAATTGGTCCAACACGCCCACTGCTGACTGATTGGTCGGCTCCAAATCACGAGCACTGTTACGTGGGAGCCTTTGATTGGCGGATAGAATCAGCTTATGGGGGCTTCCCGAATGTGCAATTCATTATTAGTCTGGATTCTGTGGAGTTAACGAGCCTCTGACTGAAACTGTCTTTCTCTGTCTCTCACTGCTGTGAGGAGCATGCACGCGCGCGCACACACACACACACACACACACACTGCTGCCCATGTCCTCAATCACGTCCAAATTCCTAAGGCAGTGTGGAACGAATGCGACCAGGCTGGGGCGGGTGGAGCGGAGTAGAGTGGAGCCAATGTTAGTGCATGAATGGCATAAGACTCAAAATCCTGTCGTCTGAAGCTACTTTCCCCTCCAGCTGATTCTATGTCCTCAAACTGGCGCACCAGAGCTTTTATTCCCCAGAGAATGACTTACAAGGCTTTCATTCCTACTAGAGGCCACTGCAAATGTAATAAAAATATGAGTAAAGCTGATCTTTAAAAAGTTTGGTTATAATTTTAATACATTTTGAGACCGTAAATTATATGTTTGAGTCCAACTTCTTCTACAGTTTTATAATTTTTTAAGAATTATTGTATTTGAAAATATTCATCTGGAAAATTCCATTATTTTCCTAAATTTTTAAAGTTATTATTCAGCTCTGAGTTGTGCTGCTGATGGAGTCGAATTATGGTTTATTATACATCACTTTTTCATTTAAAAGTAAAAATAAACGCAATCGTTTTTATGCATTCTATTCTTTAACTTGATTTCATTCTTTCTTTAGAACTGTTGCATTTATTTTGGATCAAAATGTACAAAAATTGAACATTTCTATCCATATTTCATTTCCTATGAACAAAACAAACTGTTTATATCTGTTTAATGACATTAACAAAGGAACGTAAGAAGAGAGAGAGTGCACGAGTCTCAGTTTAACAAGCCGATGCAGTCCAGGCCGCTGAAGGATCAGCCAGTGCTCCAGAGTATTAAAATATTCATATTATCTTTATTAGAACTTCCATTCAACACCTGAGATTTAATCGCTGAGATTTAAATTGTGAGTCATTGTTTCATTAAGTGCACAAACAGTGAGTTCTGTTTGGATAGAAATCCCATGAGAATTATTTAGCATGGCTCCTTTACTTTATGGAGTCCTTGGGGCGACACGCTCCTACACACACACTCTTACGCTAACAGTACAGTGGTTCAGCATTAATGTCCCATCTGAATTGATTATTGGCAGGTGGAATAAAATAGAAGTGTGTAAGCGGTTCTGGGCCCCTCCATTCTTCTGCCGTGGGGTTTAATGAGTAAGCTGAGGGTCTTGCTGTTGCTGCTTTCCCTGCAACGACCCACAGTGACTCACTCAGCACGTGGTCTCCAGAACACTCAGCTGAGCCATGAGTCTGGATGTGTGGCTAAAGCTGCTGCAGTCCCACTGGCATTTTAGGAAAATGCCTCCCCCCAAAATGATGCTGCTGCTGCTGCTTTTCCATTTTTATTCAATACAGCTTCATTGAATAATGCAGAGTGTATATGCATGTGTGTGTGTGTGTGTGTGTGTGTGTGTGTGTGTGTGTGTGTGTGTGTGTGTGTGTGTGTCCATCAGACAGCGGGTTTCCAAGAGACGCTGACAGAGCTGGAGATCTTAGCTCTCATCGTAGGTTGTGTGTGCCACGACCTGGACCACAGGGGCACCAACAATGCCTTTCAGGCCAAGTGAGTTTAATTCTTCAAATGCTGCAAAACACACATAAACAAGCTGCTGCTTACACACTTCCCATAGTGTGTTTTCCCAGATGCAGCAGCCTGCAGTAGTCCAGCTCAGATCAGCAAAAGTCAAGGGGGAAGTTGTTTAAGGCTTATGTAAGACTCCGCTCAATCAAGAGGCTGTAGATGGTGTCGGCTCATTAGTGTATCAGGTCAAATTCACTCTACGCATTTCTTCCATTACAGAGATTGTTGAACTGAATCTAAGAGCAAAGTTTTCCATTGAAAAATACAAATTGATTCAGTCAAAATAATGGCATTCAACCACCTTTAATTACACAGAAAAATTAATTAAACATTTTCAAAAACTATCCAGTGCATCGTTGTCAAAGTGTGTACAATTAAACTTTATGTTTATGTAAAGTTTTCTAATTTAGACAAAGAAACATCCTGAAACTTTGACGATGAGAAACAGGAAGAGAGCTTCCTGAACAGCCGCTGTTTTGAGAAAGAGAGACTGACAGAGACAGTTTTGCATCAACGGACGTCACCAAACAACTGGAAATTGTAAAAATGGAAGGAAAATAAAATAAGCAACGTTCACTTTGTTTTAAAATCAGCGCCACTTTTTACGTCAAACTGCCACTCTTCCCATCTCGTGAATGTCTTAAATTATTATTTTGACAGAATCAAACTTTTAATGTCATCGATGTCTGTGGTCACCTTTTGGTTCTGATCGATGACATTGCTCGCTGCTGAAACAATCATGGTATGCTGACGTCTTAGCAAAGTTTCTAAAGGCACTAGCCATGGTATTTTCCCTGTCTCCTTCCTCCCTCCCAGAAATGTTCTACAGTGGAAGCAAAGCTTTGTAAATGATGACTAGTAACTATGGTCAAGATTGAAAGCACTATTTCTCCAAGTAGAGACGATTCAGTAAGCCATTTTAAAACAAGTAAACTAGAAATTATTTTTTTCTTTTACACATGAAAACACTTCTAAATGTCTAATGTGTCCCTTTTAGGACACGGCTGTTGTGTTACTTGAGGGTGTGTTGTAAAATTGCTGACAAAAATTAGCGTTTGAACCCTTTTTCTTTGTTTCAGCTGCAGCTTAAGTTGTGAGTCTCAGGCTTCTTTTATTATTGAGCCATAAATTGGAAACAGAGCGAACTAGTGGGGGAGTTACAGGCGACTCTTAGAGAAGACTTTGTTCCTCAGCTTGGGCTAAAAAATCGATTATACTTTTCCTCTCTTGTCTTAATCCTAATGTGTGTGTGTGTGTGTGTGTGTGTGTGTGTGTGTGTGTGTGTGTGTGTGTGTGTGTGTGTGTGTGTGTGTGTGTGTGCGTGCGTGCGTGCGTGTGTGTGTGTGCAGGACGGGTTCAGCCCTCGCTCTGCTTTATGGGACCTCTGCTACACTGGAGCACCACCACTTCAACCACGCTGTTATGATCCTGCAGAGCGAGGTGTGTTATGCTCTAATATCTGCTGCAATGCAGCTATACCGTTTCGTTTCTGCTAACGTCTGGCATTGCATGTTGTAGTTGTTCAGCACAATTTTGCGTTATATGATTACAAACGCCGCTGGCAGCAGAGCCTACGACCTCTGTCACTCTGGGAGAAAACAGATGTTTGAAAATTGCCCCTTCAGCCAAAACGGCACAACAAGTGAATCCATAGAAACTAATGAAACTTCAAGGCATTTGTTGCCCAACTGTTGCATAAGACTGCATTACTTTTGGCTGACTGCACATATTAAATGAACTAACATCTATGAGTGTGTTACATGTGCACATGCATGTAGCATTTCACAGCAGTGGCAGTGTGAACAGCCTTCAGATGACTGCTGTGGATAGAAGTCAGGTCAGAACCGGTCTCCTGAATTGTGTTGCATGGCGTTTTCACACATTTGTATTAGTGACAAGCTTGGTGCTCAACTAACAATAGTGTTTGACTTGATGTGTTGCTGCCGCCGTTGTGTTGATGTTATATAAAAGGGGACGCGTCTCAACCCACAACACCTGCTGACAACATCCTCGCTGCCTTTTCAAACTCCAGAAACAAACGCAGCGGCACAAAAAGAGCGGTTTGTGATCCTCAGGCGCTTCTGAAGGTTTTACCTGTTATGAACTTGCTTTTTGAACAACCTCAGTTTGGAGAAACAGAGTTTGATGCCAACATTTGCACAGTTTCAAATTTTACATTTAATGAATATAAATTTGGTTCTGCATGGAACACTTCCAGTCTTAAAATCTAAACATTTATCTTGTAATGCAAAAGGAAAGCCAAAAGAATCACATCATTTCACCCATTTCCATTACTGGAACTTCCAGGCAATTTTACCAGAACTTTGCGGTATTTGTGTTTCCTTTTCACCAGGCCGACCCAAAAGGACCCTCCCATGGGCCATTTCAGAGACCAACTGAGTACCTGAAGTGGGGCACATATTCAGAAATGGCCCTGTGTTTTGTAGTAGGTAAAGAAAGCAGGGAGCATTTACTTTATCCACATGAAACTTCATTGTCCCAATCCCAATACTCACACTGCACCCTACGTATTTCTGTAAAGTGCACATAGAGGAGGCGCAGTGAGGCTTCTAGTGCATAGTACACAAGTGTGCCAAATTGGAACAGGACGCAATGCTTTATTAAGTGCGACGCATGCTGGGATGCCGGTCGCTGTTTGTGCTACTTTTGAAAAATCTTTATGAACAACTTTCAAACAAAAAATGATTTAAATAATTTTAAATTCATTGCTGTCCACATAACATCTTAGTCTAAAACATTCAGTGCTTGAATAAATATCATTAATTGTCCTAGAATTAACTTCTTTCAGTTAAAAATACATATTTTCAGAAAAGGCACTGAGCCATTGCTTCACCTTATTCTCAAAATTCTCACACAGCAATGAATTGTGGGTAATACCCTTGCCCAAAGTCTGCATCGATGTGGACTTGGGCGAAGTGCAGATCAAGGGCGCAAAAGGGGCATGTCCACTTGAAAATTGGGACAATGCGCACTCGCTCTCCTCGCCGGGAACGTGCAGTTGAAGGGCACAAGGGTGGAAGTGTGAGTATTGGGATTGGGCCATTAAAGAGAAAAACAGTCATGCACGAAATAAATCCTGAATTCTCCCATTCTTCCTCTGCACTACATCTCAGTATATCAGTACCCTAACGGTTCAAAACACAACACCTGCTAGAGTTGCTGGGCGGACTTGTGCTTAACCCGTGCTGAGTTGGTTGTAATTTAGTAAGAAATTGTATTGACATCGCGAAACAACCGGCCGTTGTAAAAGTAGACCAGGTGCTGGTGAAGCAGCGTGGAAGGAAAAGAAAAGAAAAATGCAGCAGAACTTTGAGATCGCTGTTTCTACTGTAAACTCCTAATGCTGACAAATGTGACGGAATTCAAAAAAGCATTTTTTTTATCCAAACAGTGATCAGCTTACCCCTCAAACACGAATGAGTGTGTGTTCACTGGCATCCGTGTGTTTCTTCGGTGTGAGTGCAACACTTGAGCACTTGTTCAAACTGGCTTTTGTATGACCATCATCCCCTCTCTTTATTCTGCTCTCCCCACCTGTTCCACCTTCCTCAGGATCCACTGATTTCCCTCTTTCCTATTCACTCTCTCTCTTTCTCTTTCTTAACATTTTTCTTTTAAATCCCAATTGTCTATTTTTACTCATTTTAATATATTTTTAAACATTTTCTAAATGCTTTTTTATATTTTTACTTTTTTGTTTTTGTTTTTGTGAAGCACCTCGTGATTTTTATCTTGTGAAACGCTATAGAAATGATATTTCCTTCTTCTTCTTCTAAACAAATAACTCACGCTGCCCTCAAATCAATGTAATCACAGAGGTGATAGATTCAGTGGTGATTGGTTGAGAGAGACGTTTTACCAGGTGAATGGGTGTGGTGAAGTTGTAATTGGAGGCGTTTCGAGGGAGCAGCTAAAATGAGTCTTTGCGGGGGGGGGGGGGGGGATCCAGTAGCTTCATTATCAGGGTGCTGACAGCACAGTAAGCTGACAAATGTTTGCTCTGGATGTCATGTTGGTGTCTGTCGGTGGAGCTGCTGTTGTCCCCAGTTAATTAGCATACAAATGAATAGTGGGGCTAATTCGAGGAAGAGAGACGGTTGATGATTCAGTCAGCAGATCTACCTACGTGAGTCGTCAGAGTACACTTTTAAACATCACTCACGGATACCCCCCCCTCACACACACATCTGTTACGGAGAATGAGAGATGTCGTTTGTGTCGCTGCTGACGTTCAATATTTCATGGGAGCTGAAGAAAGGTGTGTTGGGAGAAAACTCAGCTGATTTGTTTAAAAACTGCTCTGGTCATTTCTATGAGAGCTGAATGAATGTTTAACACCTGCTGAGTCAAAAACCTGCTTTAATGATCAAGTGAGATGTGCTGACTTATTTAGAGCTGCATCCCTGCACAGATCCAATTAGTCTAATTATAAATATTCTTCTGGAAAACATTCGGATTTGTTATGCTTGCTGTAAAACAGAACTTGCAGCAGATAAATGTGGCGTTGTGCAGGTTTGGATCTGTGACACGCAGATGAAAGGCAGTTTTAAAATGATCAATCTCAGTTCCCCATATATATATATATATATATATATATATATATATATGTCAATGGTTCACCGTGAGCTGGTGATGAAAGATTTAGAAGTGCCATGGTGGCAACATTAAAAAAAATAGGTAAGATGTTCGCTTTCTCTGGCTTGGAGCTTTTGTTTAGTTTGTTTCTTTATGCTGCTGCACCAGTTTTATAGATCTGAGCCATGAGTTTAGTTTACATTTGCTTTTGTGCTTTGAGTGCAACGAGTGGCATCCAAAAGCAGGTAGAAACATGAAAGGTGGAGGTTTCCTAACTCCACGATATTTTTTTATGAATGCAGTTTTAGTTCGGCACAAAGGGTTGTGCAACGTTTTCCTGGAAATAAGTTAAAATGTTGGAGACTATTTTTTTTTTGGATTTGAAGAGCTTAGAGAGAATTTCATATTCACTTTAAGAACTTTTCAACACATTTCAACATTTTAACCACTTTAATCGAATTAACTAAAAAAATCTAACAAAAATTAAAAACGTCAAATTATTTGCGGGTGCTTGATCGAAAAGTAAAAAAGCAAATTACAGGTTAAATTTCATTTTAATTTTCTTTAAAATTCTGTCCAAAAATACAATTTGAATTGCTTATTGTGGGTATTTTGTTTTACAATAAACAACGGCTCATTTTTGTTAGTAAAAAATTGCCCTTTTCAGCAGAGCTAGTCCTGCCAGAAGCTCAGTGTGGAGAGTAGGTAGTTTTCAGGTAGACAGGTGGTGTTGTGGAGTTAAGTGTGTGTGTTCACTAGTTTTGCATTGTGTTCATTTTTCTTAGAAATGGTGAACTTTTGTTTGTAGATGACGCACAAACTCCTGCAGGTCCGGACATCAAGTTTCCCAATAAGAGAATGAGCGGCACTCTTCCGTTCCTGGTGTGTTTTGTGCAGCTGAAAAGATGGTCGTTTGTGGTATGCTCTTCAGACCGGAGGATTACAATCTCAGCGATGTGATGGGAGTTCAACATGCCTCCTATCCTCCAGATCATTGTGGTGGAGTTTTGAAAATTATTTGCGGGCTACTAGAGCCCAGATTAGTGCCAGCACTCAGCTCCAAAAGAGGATGGGGAGCTTTTAAAAAGCCTAGCGGGCCAGGGAAGCTGGTTTCTGGGTCGGAACTGGCTCAAAACCACTAACTGACCAATACTATTTTAATTTTCTGGTTCATGACAGTAATCTGCACAATGTTATGATATTAGCACACAAGTTTAAACCAGCTAGCATCGTTCACTCCTGCTCTCTCCACAGAACTTTGTCGATACGTAGTCCCAAGTCTAAATTGGCTCCTGTAATTCCTCATTGTTGCTTTTTATTTTTATTTGCAGTGAGTAGTGAAGTCAACAAGAAAAAGTAGGATCATTAACTTTTTCACATTAAATGCTAACTATTACCATTCCCTTACATTGTTTATGCTAAGCTAAAGCTAACAAAACACTGCCTGAACAGGTGAATTACTGAGCTGGCTACAAAATGCCTTTTTCCACTTATTTAACTCTGGGGAATATGGACACAGACTGAATTTCATTCAGGGATGATTACATTATTATCACATCAGTATCATTATTCGCACAGCTTAATTACCCCAAATGAGTAATTTATCATAGCTGTAAAGAGGTGGCTCCCCTTTCTTGGAACTGGATCCCAAATATCAATTTTTTTACTATAATCCTCTATAAAGATAATTTTCTGGGACAGAGCGGTGGATCTGTTTACACACTTTTGACCAGAACACCAGTAATGAGGCTGTTGTGTGTATACCCAGCAGGGGAGCCATTTACCTCGGAGTCAAAAGTTTGTGTTGAAGGCAAACTGTGATCAAAGCCCGGATGAATGTTTTCATTTAAAAATTTTTTATTTTAAGCTGACTGAACTCCTTTTTTAATAATTCCACGCCCACATGTTGGGAGATGTTTTCGTTTAACATCTTAAATAAAACCAAGAGGGGAAAAGAAAAGTTGTAAATGGTGGACAAGCTAAATATAATAAATTATTCATCCTGAGCTTGCAGGTCTTTTGATTCAAAGCTCTTTGTTTGTTGCTGGAAAAGTGCCACATGTGCCTTTTGTGTCTCTGCAGGGTCACAATATCTTCTCCAACCTGTCGTCCACAGAGTACAGCGACCTCATGCAGCTGCTCAAACAGTCCATCCTGGCCACGGACCTCACTCTTTACTTTGAGTAAGTTCTTATTGAGAACAAGTGAGACGTCCACAGGGTCCGACTCTGATCCTGGAGGGTCCAGCATGTTTTAGAGGGTCCTCTGCTTCAACACACCTGGTTTAAATCAGGTACAACAGCCATTACATCAGGTGTGTTTGAGCAGAAAGCTACTGAACCCTGCTGGATAGTGACCCTCCAGGACCATGGTTGCACATGCTGGCTTGTTTGAGGTAAGACCGCCCCCTTGTGGATTAAAAGTAATTCACAATTAAGTGTTTCCTGCTTTCTTGCAGGAATAGAAATACCTTTTTTGAGCTGGTTAAAAATGGAGAATACAACTGGAACGTTAAGGGACACAGAGACATGTGCAGGTGACGTCTTCTCTCCTTTCTTTATTCCTGTCTCTAAAAGTTGGTTTAAACCTACATCCGAAAATAACTCATCCTCTTCTCAGATCCATGATGATGACGGCGTGTGATCTAGGTGCCGTCACGAAACCCTGGGAAATATCACGCAAGGTGACACACTGCCAATGCAATTAGCGAACAAAGGCATGATTTGAAGGAATGAATAATAAATAAATAAATAAATAAAACTGTCTCTTCTCAGGTGGCCGAGTTGGTGACGAGTGAGTTTTTCGAGCAAGGTGACAGAGAGCGGCTGGAGCTGAAGCTCACGCCCTCCGTGAGTAAATCAAACCAGCTCAGCTTTTGTGCGTGTTGCAGTTTCTCTCACCTCTGCGCCCTCTGAGAGCTGATGGTGCCAAAACGAAGATATATCTCCTCTGCTGCTGCGTAGGAAACACGAGCGTGAGAAACGCGCACAGTCAGCTCGACCCCTCTGCTGCCATGCTGAAAAAATATATGTTAAACAGATTTTCTGTTCATTATTCTGCCCTAACAGATTGTTTTATTGTGTTCCCTTTGAAATATTCTCCTCAGAGCTGCAATAGAAGGTTGTTTTTTTTTTTTTACACATGAGCTTCAGATCTCTAAAAGATGAAAACTGGATGCAATTAATGACGGTTAAGTAACTGAGTTAGGCCACATGGAAATAAGTTATTCAGTTGCCTCAGGTCCGTTTGCTTGTGTCAAACCTTTAGCTCTTGTGTGCGTGGGTGTTTGGAAATGAAATATTAACTTCTGAGTTGCAGCCTGGTAACTATCTCTGAAGCACAGCCTCAGAGGATGTGACAGCGGGAAATGTGTGTAATGTCAGCATGAAAATAAGAATTCACTGAATCTTTAACAGACTGTAAAAATGAAATAAATAGTGATTTTGTCGTGTGTGTTTTAGGCCATCTTTGACCGCAACAGGAAGGATGAGCTCCCGGGGCTTCAGCTGGAGTGGATTGATGGGATCTGCTCGCCGCTGTATAAGGTAAGATCCAGAAGATGAACGGCTCCCTGGCCTTCACCGTGTCACATGATCCTCCTCTGACATCAGCAGCATCTCTGACGCCAGCAATAAAACTGCCGCCATTCAAACTTTTCTCAGAAAAAGTATTATTTTTTTTATATTGAAAGCTCTAAAGCAGATTCAAGGTTGTTCCTTTCAGCAATGTGTGAATAGGGATGACTTTAGCTGAAAACACACAAAATCTCATTTTACTGTTGGGGATCTCAGCTAAGCAAGGGTACCAATCACACATAGAGGCAGTGGTTATATTTGAGGGTGCTGCAGAACACTACGTGTTTCTGAATGACATTAGTCTGCTCCTTCCCTCTTGTGTGGGACGAGGAAGGAGGATGAGAAGGCTGACTTACTGAGGAGATCAGTTAAATTCACTAGAGTCAGACAGAAGGGGAGTTGTTGAGGCTGAACTAACTCATTCATTTCTGCAAGAGTGGGTGATTTTCTATGCTTTTGAGCTGTTAAACTACACAGCAACACATTACTGTTAGTTGTTATGAGCAGAAAACAGACCGTGGATTATGTTGCTCCAGAATTATCCTAAGATCAGAGCGTCAAAAGTTAGAGCAGACTAATCTTTACCAGGCTCTGGGTTTTATCCTTGTTGCTGTCCATGTTGTGTAGACAGAAAAGCATCAAAGATGTGTGTGTGAGGGGCCTTTTCTCACCTAAAAGGCTGATGTATTGGAGGATATGGAGCTCACCATCACGCTGCTGCCAATTAAACCTGCAAGATGGGGGTGAGCAGAGAAAGTTCAGAGGCGGCAGGATTTTTGTCCGTGGGTGGAGGAGATTTTGTTCTTGATCTCACTGATCTCCTTATCCCGGCTGGTAGCGCCCAACATTGTGGAATATTAATCCCTGATTATATAACCATCCCTCTATCTACCCGAAACATGTGACAGCCTTCTTTTTTTTCTCCTTTGTGTTTTTCCTCTCCGTCGACACTAGTGTAATCATTATCTTGTGCAAACAGCTAACAATGTCCAAAAAAAGACCAGAGAAATAATAAATAATTGGGAAAGTTTTCAGTGCAGAATAGATTTAGTCAGCTTGCATGTGAACCTTGTGAATCTTCAATCATTTTCTGCAAAATCGCATCTGGTTTTCATCTCAGGAGGAATAAACAAATCAGACCACTTTTTTTTTTCATTTTCAAATTTTATAAAGCAAAATCATCTCTTATGTATTTGAGTGCTTCAAAAGTGTGTGACTGCTGTTTTTACTTCAAGGAATAATCATTTATATTTAAATATGAGATTGGTGAACACTGAAGGTCATTGCTTCTGACATTGCCTTTTTGGGTAGGCCTATCAGGAACTGCTCTGGAGTGGTTCTCCTCTTATCTTTCTGAGCGTTCCTTTTCTGTGGCCGTCTCCAAGTTTAGGTCCTCCACCACCTCTCTTAGCCATGGTGTCCCACAAGGATCTGTGCTGGGGCCTCTGCTCTTCCTCCTCTATCTGCTTCCTCTTCAGCACATCCTGAGCTCCTTCAAAGGAATCTCCTACCATCTTTACGCAGATGACATCCAACTGTACATCTTCTTTAAGCCCCATGAGATGTGTAAGTTGCAGATGTTACACACTTCTGTCAAAACCTGGATGGCTGGGAGCTTTCTACAGCTGAATGAAGATAAGACAGAGGTCCTCATCTGTGCCCCAGACAAGCTGGTTCCCAAAGTCAGATTCTCTCTTGGTCAGCTTGCTTCTCACACCAAACCTTCTGTCAGGAATCTTGGCGTGCCGTGACCTTTGACCCAGCTCTCACCCTGGAGTCTCATGTCAGTTCTCTTGTTCGCTCTTCCTTCTTCCATCTCAGGAACATTGCTAAGCTGAGTCCCATTCTGTTTCACTCTGAACTTGAGACAGTTCTCCACACCTTCATCTCCTCACGCTTAGACTACTGTAACTCTCTTTTCACGTGTCTGAGCAGAACCTCCCTGAACCGTCTACAGGTGGTTCAGAATGCCTGTGCTCGGCTTCTGACCAAGACCTCCAAGCACACCCACATCACCCCGCTTCTCATCCAGCTTCATTGGCTGCCAGTCAACTTCAGGGTTCATTTTAAGATCCTGGTTCTGGTCTATAGGGCCTTACATGGACAAGCACCATCTTACATTGGTGATCTTCTTAGTCCCTACACCCCCAGCAGGTCCCTGAGGTCCAGTGATCAAAGCCTACTGGTTGTGCAATGCACCAGGCTTAAGACCAAAGGTGACAGACCATTTGCTGCTGTGGCCCCCAGACTCTGGAACTCTCTCCCCCTGAGCCTGAGATCAGTGGACTCAGTGGTCTCCTTTAAAAAGCAGCTGAAAACTCACCTGTTCAGGCTGGCTTTTGTGTGACCTTCTTCACCACTCTCTCTTTATTCTGCTCTCCCACCTATTCCACCTTCCTCAGGATCCACTGATTTCCCTCTTTCCTATTCACTCTCTCTCTTTCTTTACATATATAATCACAATTGTCTATTTTTTGCTCATTTTAATATATTTTTAATCATTTTCTAAATTCTTTTTTATATTTTTACATTTTTTGTTTTTGTGAAGCGCCTCGTGATTTATCTTGAGAGGCGCTATAGAAAAGATGTTTTCTTCTTCTTCTTCTTGGATTAAAAATGTAGAGAATGATCATAAATCACATTCAATTTCAGCACATTTATTGGTTTTATGTTTTAATTGTACTTTATGTTATTACACAACAAAGTATATACTGTGTAAAAGTCTTCATGTTACTACTGAAAGCCAAAATCCTCTCGTGTCTGTTAAAATCATCATAAATTCTCTCAGCAGCTGAAAAGTATTTCTAAAGAGGAACAGCACAAGAGGTTGGGGATTCTGAGCTACACAAAAATTAGAGTTGTGGCAATTTTTTGTCTGAAATTGATTAAAAATGTGCAGAGGAGGTCAGAAGGAAGATCGATAAATGGCATATGTAAAACAAGGTAGAGGCTATGTCATGGTTTGGAGCTTAAAGCTTGGGTATGTAGTGTGACATCATCAATGTGAGAAGGAGGAGGGTTTGAAATTTGACCAGCTTCGGGATGAACTTCAACACACCCACTGCCGACTGATTCGTTCAACTCAGATTCACGCCTACCATTAGGGGAAGCCTCTGATTGGCAGGCAGAATCGGCCAAATGCTTGATTCATATGCATGTTTTTAATACGTTCCTACGCAGACACACCTGATTTTAACTGCTGAATTCTCTCCTCAGCCTTCATCGGGTTCTGCTGGAGCTGATAACTAATTTTAATCAAATCTGCAGTGTTCAAGAAATATCTACACTCAGCAGGAATCTGGCACTCATGATGGTAGCACATCCCTGCTAATGCTACAACAGGCTAACACAATAGTCCGATGTAGTATAAGGTAGAATGCTACGCTAATCATTTAGCTCCAATACACAAAAGATAAGTCCTTTTTGTTCCTCTCCTTTTCCACAGTTAGCTTAGAGTTTACAGACTGACATTAATTTAATGTAGGTCGAGTTAGCATTCGAGCTAGGTCATAGTCACAGAACCCCATGTCTGTGGACTGGTGCTGCCTATTGGAGCTGGCGTAGCAATGGGCTGCCATCTTGGATGGGTTCCCATTCGCCCCAGTGCATGTATTTTTTACTGATGACATTGTTTACCCAACTAAAAAACACATTTTATTATGCTTTTTCACAAAGTCTGACATATAGTTTGGCGTGATAATTAAAATATAATTAAACAAAATAAATTAAAATCCTAGGCAGGCTGGAAAAGTCAATAGTAACTCCACTTGATCTGCTTTCAATAATGCACCAGTAGGCTGCACAAAAAACGGGCATAGTTGGTCACTCTGCGTTGACTCCAGTTGGGTTTGGAGAGCAAGGAACCCAAACAATATGGCGGCTATGCTGTGCGCTCTCCAGCACCCAATGGGGCATCTACGTATTCATGCCTATGGGTGCGCTAAGCTGACTGTGTGTCAGTGGGTCTTCCCAGAGTGCATGCTGGGTACTGGGCACATTGTTGTTGATTGACAGCTTCCTCTCTTGTTAATATGTTACTTTGTTGGTCAAACAGCAAGATGACTCCACCACAGTCTCTGTTTGCTCTGCAGCGTTGATGTTTTATCTTCACAAATTACACAAGCCTGACAAAGTTCTTCTGTGTTGTGGAGCTGCTAATGCTAACAGTTAGCTGCTGCTAGTCGAGACATTTTCTGCTGATTGCTGGACAGTAAACCAAATACAGCTTTCCCCATCACGAGTCAAGACGAGTGAATTCATGAAGTTAGGTGACAGTGTGACGTATATCTGTCAGACTTTTCTGAATCAACAATTTTTCCATCTATTTTCTGTCAAAAGCTAATTTAGGAAATACCGGGAAGGGGGATTTTAATGTTGAGTGCATGTTAAACTCAGAGTTACTGATCATTTACAAAAAAATAATAAGTAAAGAGTGGTTTCCTGGTGAACCTATTAAGTTCAGGTAGAGGTGTTGAAGGAGTTAATTATTTTAGGTTGACCATAACCACCGCCACTCTGCTAACAAAATCTATACAACAGGCTCCTCATATTTAGGTCCTTAATCCTTATATGTCCTAAGTGCATTTTTTTGTGCAGACAGATGTATTTTTGTGGTTAATTTTGGATATGCTACTGCAATGTATCCTTTTTTTGGGGGAGAATGTGTATTTTTGGGGCAAGTATAAAAAAAAAATAATAATAAAAATTCCCCTACTCCATTTAATGTAACGCTGAAATCATTTTGTAGCGTTACCGCCCTTAATGCATTTTTTGCGCCATTGACTCACATGTAAATCTTTTTTTTTCTAGTAAGCCTAAATATTATCATATATATATATAGTGTGTGTGTGTGTGTGTGTGTGTGTGTGTGTGTGTGTGTGTGTGTGTGTGTGTGTGTGTGTGTGTGTGTGTGTGTGTGTGTGTGTGTGTGTGTGTGTGTGTGTGTCTGGGCTCCCAGGGCAGTTGCAGACTCAAATTTGAGTTTTTCATGTTTTCCACTAGATTGCGCATTTTTCTTACGTATACCGGGGAAATAACTAATGCTGCATTCAAATTAAAAAAATTCTATGAAAACATTTTTTTGACCATTTATGACACTCCAATGTGTTGAAAATTCACCTATAAAACAAATCATCTCGACATAACACACAAAAATTTTAAATTTTTTTCATTTGTTTACATTTCTGGTTATGATCATGCACCTGACAATAAAGGGGTAAATAAATGGGTTAAATCTCAGGAACGCACAAACATTTTATTATATTTTGTGAGGACTGAGGCCAAGGACAAAATTCATGTAAAAAATGGGGAGTTATGAAATATTATATGAGGATGTATTGTGTCTGCATTTTTTGTGCACCAAAAATAAAATTGTGACTTTTTCAGAAAACATGAAATTACACCAAAACTATAAAGTGAGCAAAAAAAATTTTTATGCTTATTTGTGACACTCCAAGGCTGGGACAGTTTAACCCCCAAAAAAGTAATCTGAACATAAAACACAAAACATTTATAGATTATTTTTTCATATTTTCACAATTCTAGTATTGATCATAAACCTGGCAATAAAGGGATTAAATCTCAGAAACACACTCATTGTTTATTATCTTTTGTTAGGGCTGAAGATAAGGATAAAATTCATGTAAAAAAATTGGGACATATGAATTATTATATAATATTTCTATAGGAAGTTTTGTATGTGCATTGTTTTGTGCTCAAACTCCAGAAACATTAGAAAATTAAAGGTAATATAAGGGTTAAGCTGATAAAAGCGGTGTGAAACTTAATAGAATAAATATTTGTCCTGTCCTTTGTAGGTTATGTATAGATGTTATATTTGCATACGAAAAAAGTCAACAAAAGTATGAGTTATTATAAGGACATCTTTGGAAAAACAACAAACAGAAAAGACAGCGTGTAACTTGTCTGGTGGGTAATTTATCAAATGACCAGAGACAGGTTTGCTTCTTCTGCCAGTTCAAGACAGAAAAAAACAGACAAAAGCAGCTAATCTCAGTCCCACATGTGTCTTAAATTAACAGCCATTTAAAGAAAGCAGTCCTGAAGTGGCCATTTTTTTTCTAGTAACGGGATGTTCCGTCTACTCTTTTTATTTGTTTGTTTGTTCTTTTGTTTTGGCTGTAAAGTGAATTTGAGGGGTAATAAACTTCATACTAATGTGCAGAGTCACTTGTGTATTCAGAACAAAATGTAGCCACATGGCTAACTTTGAATAACCCAGATGATTGTTAGAAAATGTTTGTTTTTTATTTGGTGATCAGAATCAACACCATCCAATAAGTTAATGTTATGCAGTGTTTGATGTCACCTTATGTTATTTCATGTTACGATATGATAATCTGTATCATGCTATGATGTTATGCTATGTTGGGCTATGGAACTCATGTTACACTGCCATGATACATTACGATACATTTTGGTGCAGTACAATACAATAAATGCAGTCTGTTACAATAACGTGATGCAATGTGCTACAATACGATACAATACAGTCAGGTCCGTAAATATTGGGACATCGACACAACGCTAACATTTTTGGCTCTATACATCACCACAATGGATATCAAATGAAACGAACAAGATGTGCTTTAACTGCAGACGGTCAGCTTTTATTTGAGGGTATTACATCCAAATCAAGTGAACGGTGTAGGAATTACAACAGTTTGCATTGGTGCCTCCCACTTGTTAAGGGACCAAAAGTAATGGGACAATTGGCTTCTCAGCTGTTCCATGACCAGTTGTGTGTTATTCCCTCATTATCCCAATTACAATGAGCAGATAAAAGGTCCAGAGTTCATTTCAAGTGTGCTATTTGCATTTGGAATCTGTTGCTGTTAACTGTCTAGATGAGATCCAAAGAGCTGTCATATCAGTGAAGCAAGCCATCATTAGGCTGAAAAAACAAAAGAAACCTATCAGAGAGATAGCAAAAACATTAGGCATGGCCAAAACAACAGTTTGGAACGTTCTCAAAAAGAAGGAACGCACCGGTGAGCTCAGCAACATCAAAAGACCCGGAAGACCACGGAAAACAACTGTGGTGAATGACCAAAGAATCCTTTCCCTGGTGAAGAAAACACCCTTCACAACAGCTGGCCAGATCAAGAACACTCTCCAGGAAGTAGGTGTATCTGTGTCAAAGTCAACAACCAAGAGAAGACTCCACCAGTGTGAATACAGAGAGTTCACCACAAGATGTAAACCATTGGTGAGCCCCAGAAACAGGAAGGCCAGATTAGAGTTTGCCAAACAACATCTAAAAAAAAGCCTTCACAGTTCTGGAACAACATCCTATGGATGGATGAGACCAAGATCATCTTGTACCAGAGTGATGGGAAGAGAAGAGTATGGAGATGGAAAGGAACTGCTCATGATCCTAAGCATACCACCTCATCAGTGAAGCATGGTGCTGGAAGTGTCATGGCGTGGGCATGTATGGCTGCCAGTGGAACTGGTTTTCTTGTATTTATTGATGATGTGACTGCTGACAAAAGCAGCACGGTGAATTCTGAAGTGTTTCGGGCAATATTATCTGCTCATATTCAGCCAAATGCCTCAGAACTCATTGGACGGTGCTTCACAGTGCAGATGGACAATGACCCAAAGCAAACTGCAAAAGCAACCAAAGAGTTTTTGAAGGGAAAGAAGTGGACTGTTTAACAATGGCCAAGTCAGTCACCTGACCTGAATCCGATGGAGCATGCATTTCACTTGCTGAAGACAAAACTGAAGGGAAAATGCCCCAGGAACAAGCAGGAACTGAAGACTGTTGCAGTAGAGGCCTGGCGGAGCATCACCAGGGATGAAACCCAACGTCTGGTGATGTCTATGTGTTCCAGACTTCAGGCTGTAATTGACTTCAAAGGATTTGCAACCAAGTATTGAAATGTATAAGTTTGATTTATGGTTCTTAATCTGTCCCATCACTTTTGGTCCCTTAACAAGTGGGAGGCACATATGCAAACTGTTGTAATTCCTACACCGTTCACCTGATTTGGATGTAAATACCCTCAAATAAAAGCTGACAGTCTGCAGTTAAAGCACATCTTGTTCGTTTCATTTGATATCCATTGTGGTGGTGTATAGAGCCAAAAATGTTAGCATTGTGTCGATGTCCCAATATTTATGGACCTGAATGTATATGATCTGAAATCAAATTAGGTGACACAATATGCTACAAAGGGATATGATAAGTTATTTAGCAATACATCAAACGTTTTGCTTAAATCATTTTTACCACTATGTTGGCAGTGGAGGTCTACTGATAATGGTTTTTCAATTGCCGATACCGACACATAGAAATCGTGGTCATCCGATAGGCGAGATGTGCTGCCGATTTTCATGGCTAATATCTAGACATATTCCATCTGATCTGCATGCTAAAATGTTACTAATAACATCTGTTGATGCACAAAGTTTCTGAAGTGGAATCAGTTTTTGACTGAATTTACGCTACTGGTAAATCTTCATTTCTGCACTGCTCAGTGTTAAAATCAAACATTCAACTAACACTTATCAAACAAATAAATTAACTGACCAAGTATTAAATGTTCAAAACTGGTAAATAAAAATAGGTTTTAGTTTAAACAATTTTTTAGAGTATTTATTGTGAAGATGTTATTCAGAAACAAAAATATACCTATAACTGTAACTCTGCAGCAGCACCGGGCTGCCCGATGATGTGCTTAACTTTAAATCAGCTTTACTAAGGAGGTATATTGACCGATACTGATATACTGTATAAAAAATGGTAAATAACAGCCCAATATATCGGCCGACCGATAAATCTGTCTACCCAGTTGCAGAAACTTTTCTGGTGATGGTTGGGATGGTTTAGTTAACATCAACATAGGGCTAAAGACATATTAGCTGGACTTTGTTCTACTTTTATTCATGTTTAGCATTAAACTGCCAGAGGCCATACATTTCTATAATAATTATTTATCTGAATGTCCGTTTAAACAAATGCAATATGAATTTGTCAAGGTTTACCCTTCTTTCTCCGTCTCCTTAGACTCTGGTCAACTTGAATCCTAAGCTTCAGCCCATGCTCGACATGATCCAAGCAAACAGGGCCAAATGGGAGGAACTAAACAGGAAGAGACAGTGTGGTCCGAGTGTTTCTGGCTCCAGCAGTGGTGACGGCACAGGAACCAGCAGCTGCACGGGGACCAAAACCGGAGGCACACCCTGCTGCAGCGGCGATGCTGAAAGCACACAATCAAAGGCAGCAAGTTAGTTTCCCCTGACGAGCTTTAACGCCAGCCTTTTTCTCTACTGAGCGCAGCCTGCAGCAGAGGCAGTGCATGCAGAGGGTGCTTTTGGGCTCTGCTCCTCTTTGCTTTTGCTACCAGAGATGAGCTTTAGACTTGAGCGTGTCGCTATCATAAAGGTTTTTCTGCTCCCTTCAGATTCCCCGAGTTGAAGGCTTACAGAGCCGTGTTTGGCAGGCTACAGATCAGCTGATGACATTGTGTCAGAAAAGAAACTCAAAGCACTGTGTCAACACGTCGACTCACATCAACTGTTCCAGGCATCGCACAGATTATTTTGACCAAGGACCTGAAATGTAATGTTCCTCTCTGTTGTGGTTTAGTTTGCTCTTGGTATCTCTGTGTTGCTTGCTTTTTATTCAGGGGTAAAAGGACATTTTTTTGTAAATCTGTAAAAAGGCTACTGAGTTATTTTAAAGAAATACTGTATGCATCGCATTTGGATGAAGAGGTGCAGAAACAAACGGACCTGTGACGCTTGCAATGCAAATTGAAGTTCCCACTCCCTCCCTTCCTGTGCCTTGTTTTGAGACCCTACTGAAAAATGCATGGCCTCTCAGACGAGGCTCTTAGATATTTGGGGAATTCACATTGAAGTCGTGCTGTGTTTCTGCCATTAGTTTAGAAAAAAAAAAAAAAAACAAGGAATGCAGTCACGACCCCTTGTGAGCCACAAAGAACTAAGAGTTTTACAAATGGAAATATATGTTGCCCAATTTTTAAAGTGCAGGGCTTCAACTTGTCACACACGTACACAATGTGCCTTGGGAAAGTTCTGATATCATGTCAATTTCTACAGGACAAGTCTTCAGCTTATCTGCAACATAAAGTATGTCACGTTTTATTTCTAAAGTAGTAATTCTGTTGGAGTCTTTTTTTTTTTGCTGATGGCTTAATATTCATAGAAACATAAAGCCACAGTGAGTCACTAGTTAGCTAAACTGTCAATTCAATTAATAAAAGTTAGAAATTGGGTTAGTCTGATTCTGTTTTGAGTTTATAAAATTAACTAGTCAACCAAATCATTTTTTGATTGAAAAAGTTTGGTTTATGTAGCACAATAGGGCATCTCAGGGTTCAAATCCAATTACAAATTATAACTTATAACTATACTTTAAAAATGCACCATAATTTAGTAGGTTAGTTTTAAACATGACTGCCACATTGGATCAAATATAAACATGAGTGAGATTTAAAGCGACAATGTGTAGTTTTTACCATTAATCTCTGGAAACATCTATCAAAATGTTGTTGAAAATGAATAAAAATTATGCCCAGTTGTTGAAAAATATTGGCGGCTTTGTAACATATAGGGAGCTTAAGTCTCCTCCGTTTCCGGTTGGCTCATGGGTCCCCGGAAGAATGAAAAAATGAATGCAAGTCAACGGGTCTAAAAACGCTACTTTATAATCCGCTTTGCCTTAGATCCTGGATCACACAAATGTTGTACTGCAATTTAAATTAAAAGTAATGATGGGTGTTTCGACCTTGCCAGCCACGTATTTAGAGATTTATTAGCTTGTAAAAGTTCGTATTTAGCATGACTACAAACTAGAAATCGGCACGTCGCATATGTGACGTTGCCACATAATCTCCTCTCCCCTAACATAGCGGCTACTTACCAAATGACCAGATTCATGGTGGTTCTTTCCTCCTGTGGGAAGTTTACTGACCTTACAGCCCTTTTCCCTCAGTTTTCTCCGTGTCTGGTTCGAAGACGTCACTTTCGCGATCCACATTTGTAGTCCTGGACTTATTTTCACACAAAACCTAAAATAGCGTTTCCCCCCGTTTGCAAATTAAGTGCGTTCTTGGTATCAAAATGTGTCTTTAAAATTCACGGACATCATATGTGAAATCCATGGCACAAAACAAGCGGAAATAGAAAATAGCGTTTTTAGCCCCGTTGACTTGCATTTATTTTTTCGTTCTTCCGGGGACCCGTGGTCCGGAAGTAGACGGGCGGGACGTAGGCTCCCTATAACCATAAAAATCCGGTCTGAAATACATTGGAGCAGGTCTAAGTCTCTGGATGACGCCATATTAGACACAATGTTTCCTCCTACGGGAGCCCATGAAGACAAAATGCATTTACTGATTTGTTGCAAGCTGTTACAAAACTTTAGCCATTAATAAATATAAACATATTTACCTCTTCACTCGTTGCCAGTGATGAAAGGGAGTGCTTGTCATTTTGCTAGAGGTTGCACTCCCAGGGATTTTTGACCCTAATGACCATCCGTTGGTAAGGTCTCAGTTGGGGGGGGGGGTACTTTTTCTCCATTAAAAAATGTGTGGTCTTTGTTAACATTCCCGCCTCCATACTTCCTGGTTCCACAGTCAGTCATATTTGAACCTGTGGAGTTAAGCCTAATTTATACATCTACGTCAGCTCAAGCAATCAGACAGGCACACGCATTACAGAGATGTTTTCTTTTCAGACTTCTCCGTCACTTGGGGAGTTTTGCAAAGCAATTCCCCTCCAGGACAACAGAGGTCGTAGCACTTCACTGGGGTAACCTGCCACCATTACAGTCACGTATCCAGTCAAAAATAGTGTATTCACTATTGTGTTTACATTGTTTAAAAGTATTTCAGAGACTTTAACACAAATTTGTCCCTCATCTTCCTCCAACTCTTGGTGCGATTGGCACCTCTAAACCCACGTTTTTCATCACTTCCGTCCATGAATGAAACGCTTGATGCACATTTTTGTACTCCTTCAGTCAAGGGTGAATAGGCATTCATATTTTTTCCGTGAGGCATTCTTTCAATTGTTCTGTGTCTGCCACTAAACATCTTATTTTTTGAGGGAGCAATGGGAGCAATGTATTTAAAAGAAGGGGTGTCCTGACCAGTCACAAGCTTGCAGTCTGTCACTTTTGACGGATAGTTAAAAATTTGGACATGTCTGCGTCACCCTCTGCGAGCCTATCGGAGAGCCCTTGCGCCTACGCATAATGGCGTTGTGTGCCTCCATCAATGCAGACGGAGGAGTATAAATTAGGCTTTACCATGTCTGCGTCCACAAATGATGCTGCGCCCAAGGTGAATTAGAAAAAAAAAACCTCAAGCCGCTTTTTTCAATGGCAGTGAAATGTATTTATCTACTTACTTCTGCGTGTGACCCGTCTTCACTCATCTCAAATTTTCTGCTGATCCGTAGCTGGAAACAGCTTCTCAGTGCAGACTAGTTTGTTTTGATACATGGACTGCAGTACCCATATTTGACCACAGGATGTCGGTCTTACGTCACAAACCTTTAAAACAAAAGTTCAGAACTTTCTGATGACTCATAAGTTGGTGGTTTTTTATGAATTTTTTTTGATACATCATGATTGTTTAATTTGGGAAAGTTTTTGTGAAAAGTTTAAAAAAAATAAATTTTTGTACAATTTAGCAGAATCAGGCTAACCTATTATCTATAAAAACGGTTGGGATCATTTCTAAATAGTTTTATTTAATATTTTCCTCAAAGTTCACAATTACTTTTTATTTAAGACAGACAAACTGAAACTTGTACTACTGAAGTGCCCATGTAATAGCAAAGTACTTTGATATAACATTATTACTACTTGTGTTATTTTTAGTTTAGGGGTATGCCTTATGAATTGTGTTGTAGCTTGGTTATTTGGAATTTCAAATGTGACTGTGCACATCGTTTGGCATGGATCTGTGCGCTCTACTTGTTTATTTTTTGTATTATTTAAAAAGCTCAACTGAAACCAACCAGAAACTTTTGTATTGCATGTTTTATGCAGTATTAAATCAAATCACTTGTTAAGGACGTAGCAAACAAGTGAGCCAATAAATACCTCGTATTTTGTTTAGTACACTATCTCATCAGGCATGCACAACTTAAATTCTCTTGCATCATGTTGCGTGAGTTACGTCTGAATATTGCTGTTATATTTTTCTATTAGGTCTCATGTGGCTAAATTCTACTTGTCTTATTTTTGCAGTGTAACCTGCTTCTTGTGTTTCTTCCTTTTCATCCCATGGATTTTAATGATGGAAGGCTAATCTAAAGGAAACCCAAAGCATGAAAAAGGCTTGTTTCTGTTCAGTTTAATAAAAAATATATAAATAAATATGTATTGATATTTTTTTCTTAAAGGTTCACCATAATTCTGTGTTTAAGCACAACTCAGAACAAGTTTTAGCCAGTTATACTCGGTAATTTGTAATTTCATTTAGGACAAATTTGTAATTTCATTTAGGACAAAAATTTGTGAACATTTAGTAAATTCTTGGCTGTTTAAAATATGAGTGAGAGAATTTGACATATTTAAAGCATCTGTTTAAGATCAACACATCACTGCCCCCTTGTGGTAAAATCTGCTCTCACACAAAACAATGCAATTCTGCAGGTTCAAGCCCATTTCATTCAGATATAAATTGAACTCACTTAAAAATGCTAATAAAAGCATTACTAAATGTACGAATATGAATAAATTTGATGTCATTAATTAGAAATAAGAATTTAAAGTCCTTGAATCTAGTTTCCAAATCTATTCACAAGCCCACCCAACTACAACACAGCAGCTGCAGCGCTTTTCGGTGCTCGAGGCTGAGCTCCAACGCTGCTGATGCGTGGCTGTGGCATCAGCCGGCAGCGTGTGGGCGGCTGCGTGGGTGAGGACGACTCCCAAATGAGAAGAGGAAAGAGTCAGGATCTGTTGAACTCTACTGTGCAGGATTACCTTGAGCTCTGCTGCACGCTGAACAAACACAAACCCGGACTAGATTAGAGTAAGAAATAGAGATCTGTGTGTGGAAGGGAGACAAAAATGAATCGTTTTAATATAGTTTATTGCACAAACAGCAGTGACAAAATGTAATTTAGACATTGCAAAGGGAAATCTGACACAAAAAAGAAGGAAATAATCACAGGATCGGACTTAATTTTCCTGTTTTTTGACACATAAGATCTGCCATTTGAAAGATTTTTCTATTTTTCTAAACCTTTTTTGGACATAACCGAATAGTCTCGGAACCTGTGCAGATCAGAGGGGTAAAAAGATGACAACTTCTCCAAAAGAGCAGCTAGACGGTACAAGTTCAGTATCAAAATCTAGTTCATTACATGATCCAGTCCCTAAACACCCTTTTGCACAATATAGAAATACTAAACTACTCAACCGATTCAGGCTAAACTCAGTTTTGGGGGGCACACTAATCATTATTGAGAGGAAATAAATGAATGAAACAGGTGTAACAGTCAAATATTTACATGTTATCTTTGCATATAATAACAAATCTGTTATTAATGTTAATAAATGGTAGAGAAGGTGGTTATCAGTTCAAACTGGTGTTTGGACAATCTGATGGGGAGAGTCTTTGGTTTGACGTGAGCGCCGCCCGAAACAGAAAACACAGAAACACACAAATGGCTTTTTTACCCCCCACTCTGCTTTCTCAGTAACAAACCGTGGAGAACACTAGAAAAGGTACAGTCTCTCCCTGCAGTCACACCACATACGTAGGAGCCGAGGGGGCGGGGCTTTAGCTGGACAACGTTTGTTAAAGAGGCACACAAACACACTCGGTCCTGAAATATCTATGGCAAAAAGGTCAGTGAGGGAAGAAGACATGAGATCACAAACAGGAAAAAGCTGTTGATCTTCTCAAAGTGACTCACTGTAGAAACAGGAAAGGCAGACAGACGCTTTAGAAAGGCACAGAGCTTCAGAAAGCACGTTCATCTACAACTAAAGTGGTGCAGCGCGCGCGCACGCGCACACACACACACACACACGCACGCACGCACGCACGCACACTGAGAAGGGACATGAGGGTTAGTCGTGAACAAATTTGAGGTTTTTTGCACCCAGTTACAGATTTAAGTTATGCTGCAGCAACATGATTCTTACAGCAGGTTACAGTAAAAGGGGCATAAATATTCAAATGGCACTGAAATGACACGCCACGAAGAAGAAGCTCTCTGTCCATTTCAATTTCATATTTAGTACGTGTTAATCCAAGAAGCCTTCAGAAGAAAGGTGAGATGGATACAAACGGGAGCTTAGAGGAGGTTCCGGTTGCCGAAGATGTTGTTTGGGTCAACGTAGTCCTTGACGGACTTGAGCATCCCCAGGCCAACGTCGGAGACTGTCTCTCTCATCCACTCCTTTCGAAGTTTCCCCACTGAATGGCAGAAGAGGAAAAAAATAAATAAAGGAAAGAAGAGGAGCAAACGGGGAGGGGGGTAGAGGAATCGGCACGGCTGATTGCTCAGCAGGCTGCTGGGAGCCAATCAATCTTGTGAGAGTGAGTGAATAAACAGAGGGTGATAAATGTTTTTATTCAGAGAGGAGAAATGTTTTGCATGGCATGATTTATGGAGCTCAGCAGACTATCAAACTCATTAGGCTGTGTGTGTTCCCAGAGGAGGGGCCGGCTGGCGGCTGGAGCGCTCCGTCCCCGGCTGCTTCGCTCTTTGGAAGCAACGTTCCCCTCAAATCCCACCCCTCCCTCCCTGCAGCGTCACCGAGGCTTTTTCCTCTGTGTTTCGGTCTCAATAGTGCAAATGAGCGTGCCCCTTCATCTGACCCAAGGTGGTGTCGTCCTGAGTGCTGCTCTGCAGGGTTGACACCGGCCCAACCATGACGCCCCACACAAAGGTCCTTGAGCAACCGCTCTTCCCTCCAAAAACCCTGAACCCGAGGAGGGAGCAGCTTTGGCTTAGAACCTGGAGAGAGCGGCCACCACTTCACCAGCTGTCCAGCCCGACTTACTCGACAGCACCTGCGTTAAGAGGAGGGTCTGGAACCAGCAAGCAGTCCAGTTAAACCAGACATGTTCAAAAAGTAAAACAAAACACAGGAGCGTGTGATTAGAGCTAATACACCTGGGCACTTTGCATCATTTGCCATCTTTTTCCCAGGTGCTAACAGAAAACAGACGCAGAAATTAATGTTACTATAAAAACTACCCAAACTCTCACTCCGTTTATAGTGCACTGAACAGGATACAGGGATGGACTTTTTTTTTTTTTTTTTTGCATTTTGAACCTAAATGCAGCAGAAATTCACAATTAAGACAGTTTTGTCAGATAGGTGAAGCACAAATGAACTCCAGGAGCACACACCTGGATCTGAGGTGATCTGATCCACCCATCCACCCTAACCCCAAGTACGCTAACCGGGAAACTTATTTTTAACCATCTGTGATTTTTCTGGTGTAAAGAACTCAAATTAGGTTAATATTTACAAGGAAGATGCCTAAAACATTAACATCTTCAATATTAATAGACTTTTCTAGAAACCTCTCCATTTTTCTGTGCCAAAAAGTTTAATTGATTTTCAATTCTAGCTTTTGTTCGAGTTTTAGACAAATAAATAAATACAGACCAATAAAAGGGCAACGCAATCTGATCTGTAACCAGAAAAATAAATCCATTCCCGTCTTTTGAGAAAAACAAATAAAACTATAAAGCATGGGGATGCTTTAATAAAAATTTGGAGTATTTCATTGCATTACCATTACTCTAATATAATCATTTTGTATCATAATTTATATTATTTTATAGCCCTTTTTGCCCCAGATGGATACAATTGCAAAACTAAACTCATTGCTTGTTTTCTGGTGGGAGTTGAGGGTTAAGCCTGAATCTGGCAGCAGAGGCTGCAGCGGTGCTTTTCCCGTGTGTCTGAATGTCTCATAGAAAAACAAAATAAAGCAAAAAGGTCTGAATATTAGCTGCTAAACAAGGAATGAGGAAAAAAAAAAACAAAAAAAAAACAAACGCGGTCGTTTGGAAAGAAACTTTAAAAAGTTGGGCGACTTTTACAGATCTGAACACGGACAGATGCGAGAAGCGAGCAGCGTAGAGCAGGTGTGGCTCACCTAGTGAACCAACAGTGTAATCACCTGAGATTAGATAAATGTCTGAAAACAGGTAAATGTTCACACGCTTCTCCGTCATCTGTAACCAGGAGCCTCTGGGTGGATGGTGGTGTGTGTGTGTGTGTGTCAGGGGGGGGGGGGGGCGTTATCACAGTCCAGCCAGGAAACCCAGATGGGGATCAGCCAGGAGGCCACTGAGACCTGTCTCTAACAAAATAGAGCCGACAGGAGGGTCACTGGGGACCCCGGCTCCACACAAACCTCCAGATGGTGACAGAGGGACCAATCAGCTGCTGCCCAGTAACCACAAAAAGGCCCCGCCCCCTCCCAACTCCTTCCCCTTGGTTCCACCTCCGTCCCTCCCTCCTCTCAGGAAAAGGAAAGAAAACAGAAGGTGCTAGGACTGCATCATTGCCTCCATCACTGTGATAATTTACACATCTATCTTGTCATATTCTCTCTTTTTTCCCCTTTCTGTTGCAATCAATCTCAGCAGACCTGGTCTGTGCAGCTGAGACATGCAAAGCAGAGCAGGTAGAGACTTCAGAAATGACTTTTTTTTTAAACAGTTCCATTCCTCCTGTGGAAGTTCAGGCAGCAAAACTTTTTAAAGAATCAGGTTGTTCTTTTAGCCTCCCGAGGGCCGTGACCTGTGTGAGAGCTGGTGGGAAGAAGAAGAAATGTGAGTCGAGTCTAAACTCCTCCACCCGTTTCTCTGACAGATAGGGGTCAGGACGTGAAACGGCTTTGGGTCCCTGTGATGCCGCCGAGTCAGAGTTGATGGATGCTCAACAACGACTCAGAACATTGGAGTCCTGGTTACAGAGAACCCCTGTCCCCATCCTGGCTCTCTAAACCAGCCTGTTAGCTTGATTTCGTTGTTTTAAGCTAATTTTAATCAGAAATTGTGATTCCCCCCTCTCCAACACTGCAGTGTCAGCTCAGAGTAACAGCAGAGGATGCTTTCCTTCCCACGCCCACGCAGCAAGGGGCTGACTTGCTGTGAACACGGGGCCACAAAAATGTATATTTCCTCGTGTGCCCTCCCACCTCACCATCCTTGACTACATCTGTTTGGCTTGATACACAAAACCCAGCGAAACAAGCGCCATTTGTCAAGCGCTGATTGTGGGCAGACAAACCGGCCTGTCTGCACTCTGATAGTGAGCCCCACTGTTATTAATCACAATTACAGAGTGGGCCTCGCTCACAGGAGCAGCATCAATATCCCTCCCCCCCCCCCTCATCATCGCCCCTCCGTGCTGCTCGGGGTGGCAGGGCCACCGTTTGGAGGTCAGCGTACAGCCACCGATAACGGCAGCATCATTTACCTCAACCCCGCTGCCTCCTTTTTATTAGCAATCTTTTAATTTTGAACCCGTCCCCGCCTTCGGGAAATAAAATTGTGATTTAATATCGCAGCTGATTCACTGCATACTGTTTTTGACAGGCGTGATGAATAGCCTGAAGTGATGTATGAAAACAGCGAGGGGGATGGCAATATAGATAAGGCAGCCGTTTCGGTTATCCCTGATGGGGCCCAGAGAGTTGTTTCGCCGCCCGCCTGCGCTCACGTTTCATTTGGCCACCGCCGAAATGAGCAAACAGCCGAGTCGGGAGTCATTCATCTGAGCTGCGGGAACAGATTCTGGACATGTGGAGGAAGCAGGGAAAGCTCTCCGATCAAATGAATGTCTGCCAGGACGGCCCGCAGTCCTGCCGCCGCGTCCCAACCCAAGTGTTTCGTTTGATTTTTGTGAAGTTTGCAGAAATGCACTTGACGTTTCAGATGGAAATCATCAACGTCTGGTACCTCCATGATGATGCGACAAACTCCCTCCATTGGCAAGAATCTCCTCTCTGGCAGCATGCTGAGAGGTGGGGTGGGGGGGGGGGGGGGAGAATAAAAAAGGACAGATTTTATGAGACTATTTGTGACATGTGACCTGTTAAAAACAAAACAGAACCTACCTCCACTTGCGCATACACGTGCAACGGGTCACTGAGTCCTCTGTAGTTGAAGGCAAAGTAAAAGTAGACACAGGCGCCGGCGTCATACGTCTGAGTCACCCTGCACAAACCAGACGCGTTTCAGAGTTCCCGATGAGACCCGACATTCGTTAAACACTTGCATTTTGTCAAAGAGCTGCATTTACATACAATAAAGGGTTTTTCTCTCCCGTTTGTAGCTGGAAGACAAAGTGAAGGTTCGACTCCTCTCAGCGATTTCCCCCCTCTGACCTCAATCCCATTCATGATTACCAGGAAGCAGAAACAATGTGGAGGTGCTGTCACCTTATCAACGCATCATCATGAATTAAATGGCATCGCTAAATCACCAGAGCTGCTTTTAATTAAGCAAAACAAGCTGCTTCTGGTAGAGGTGTATCCTATACGTTTCTAGATAGTTTAGCTGTGTGTTAAAATAATTTTTTGGGGCCTTGTTCCCTGTGGAGGAGCGGGCTGCAGAGCCCTTGTTCACTTGACATGGCCCATCACCTGGCACCATGACTGTTCTAAAGGTTAAATGGACAAATCAATCATGTGACAGGCTGCAGCCGGGAAATGAATGGCTGCAGCATAATCAGGCTGAGGCTTAATCTGCCTGCAATCTGCGAGCAGCAGCCTGGTGCTCCTCAACCAGCTAGCCGTCTGTCTGCCTACCTTTCTGTGACTAACTGGACTGGGACGAACATGCAGCCTCCACACTTTCTGTGGGGACTGCAGGAAAGGCATCTATAGAAATAAGTCAGATTGAGCAAAGTGGAAGAAGTTACCTAAATGTTCACATTAACAGGATTTTTTTTTTCATTTCAGGAAAGTTCAGGAAAAATTTTAACATTCAGAGGTTTGGAACTGCTGCAAATGCCACAAACAGGGCAAAAGTATCAGACGCACAACTTTTTCTCATAAAATGCAACTAAAATAAAAAAAAAAACAGTCACTGCTTTTGTTTCTTTGTTTTAAAGGAGTCACGTGACTTATTTTCTTAAGTTATAACAGTTCTGTGGTTGATACCATACGTGTTCATGAAGTTCATGGCTCTGAATCCCTTTCACAGAGATCTCAGCAGTTTGATTCTCAAAATTTTCAGTACTTTCCAGAATGAGCCGTTTCAGGGACCAGTCACTCTAAGAAAATAAGCTGGAGCTGGCCACGCCCACCCATCTGCTGCTCAGGCTGCTATAGAGCTCCGGGAGTTGACGTCACGTCTCCCGGCACGCAACAGTTCAAATCGAAACGGCGCCATATTGGCAGACAGAAGCCCGCAGCTGGACTATTTGTTATTGTCAGAAAACTCAATCAGACAGGAAATATGGTAGATTCCTGTTGTGCCCCAGGATGCAGAACAGATGCGGACGTCATAAGGAATGAGCCATCTACAGGATTCCCCAAGATCCGGAGCGCCGCAAACGTTGGATCGTTGTAATAAAACGCGCTAGTGACCGGGCTAAAATGAAACTGTGGGATCCCGAGAGTAAAGGATTTCACTTATGCAGCGACCACTTCATATCAGGTACTTAAACCAACGTTTCCTCAACTGTGTATGGTGTTTATTTTAAATGCTTTTATTACGATTCTCAGCGGGCTTCCTAAACTTATTTTGGCGTGGCTTTTTCTGTCTTATTACTCATAACAACAAGTAAACATCACATAAAACATTGCCTCGTGATTTCTGCGTGCTGCCGTTTACGTGTTTTATGATCACAGCAATTAACCGGCTAAGCTGTATTTAATTTTTAAGCAATGGTTGATCAATTGTCAGATCACACATAAAAAGCACTTTGGATTGCTGTTATCTGTCTCACCGAGACAGATCTCAGACAGATCCTGAGACGCTCCTGCCTGACATATTTATTTTATTCACGAAAAAAAAAATCAAACTAGTGATTTCTCTTGGCGTTCAGTTTATACATTCAAACAGCACAGCACTCTATTTAAACTACTTACATGTAAATCTATGTTATTTGTCCATCCATCCATTTTCATCTGCTTACCCGGAGTCGGGTTACGGGGGCTGTAGCGTCGAGAGGCCCAGACTTCCCTCTCTCCAGCCACTTGGGCCAGCTCCTCCGGGGGAATCCCAAAGGGTTCCCCGGCCAGGTCCGGTAAGAAGTTCGCTCCGACAGCTTCTGGCGTTTTTAAAAAGTATCCCAGGGGCACGGTAAGGGTCGGAGATGTTTAGTCTATTTAATTTCTGACTTTATAAAACGATTTCTTCGGTTTTAAAGTGTGAAGTAAACTCCGACGAAGTAAAATCCACGCCGATCCCGTTCATGTTCATGTTTACGATCCGTGTTTGTTTACCTTTTTGGACTGCCAATATGGCGTCTACTAACTGAGAGTCACGTGGGGTCTGGAGCTCTATAAGCTGAGTAGCTCCGATAGCCAGGAGGGGCTCAGAGTAGAGCCGCTGCTCCTCCAGCAGCAGCTCTCTAGTAGGTGAGAGGTGGTTTTATGCCAATTTCCTCCATTTGTGACATTAGAAAAGGGGACTTTTTAAAACTGCTTGTTTTAAGCACAAAATTCATAAAACTAAATGACAGAAAACAGCTGGATGGCTGTTTTGGAGAGATTTTAGAAGCAGTAGAGACCCACATGGCAGCACGAAAGAATGCAAAAGGTGAGTTTTGCATCACATGTCTCCTTTAACTGATTACCTGCAGGTGGATAAAGGTTGAAACTGAACTCCTCTGTCTTTGCACTCTTGAACTATGCGTGCCTTCACATTTCTGCAAATGTCCAACACCCTGGAAGAAAATTCAACAAAACACGACGGCATTTTGCTCATTAAACATTTAGCTTCAGCTCCGTGCCCTAAAACAAATTTATTAGCAACACAAAAGTATTAAACTCAGAAAAAAAGGCAGGAAGCCAGGATGTGGGAGGGCAACAGACTGACTAACATGACGACCACTGTGCGAGAGATTCCCACTGGTGTGGAAATGGCCGCCAGTCCTAGGCATGTGCAGCCAGCTGTGGGAGTGTGCAGGACAGGGAGGAGGGAGGGTAATGAGCCAGGCACATTTGCTTGCCTCTGTGCCTGATCTCTTGGTCTCCCCGTCAGGCATCGCACACAACGGGGGAGCTGCACGTGCTCCCCCGTTTGTTGTGCCAGAAAGAAAGCAGGAGAATGAAAAATGTTGGAAATGCAGATCAGACGAGGCGGATGTGAGATGGATCTGTGGACCACATTGCACACATTACATCGCCCACACAGAGCTGAGTGTGTGTGTGTGTGTGTGTGTCATCTTGGGTTTGTACCCTGAGGAGGTGAAACCTCCACCAACGCAGTCATTTAATGTGAGAAGAAAGCAGACATGAAGGTGAACGTCAAAGACTGAGGGGAAGAAATTAGCTTTTACAATAACAGGTGAAACAGGAGAAAAGGTGTGTTCTCTATGGGAATAATAATAAATAATTGTGTACGCTTATTTTGGTATATTTACCTGTCCCAAGGCACAGATGTTTCAAAAGACTCCCCGATCACAAAGTAGTCCATCCCCAAGTCCTGGATGGGAAACAGAAGTAAGAACAGAGGGTGGTGAGTTTATGAAAGTAGATGATAACCATTCAATTAAAACCATTATTCTGTTATTGTAACAAAGATTTCCTTTTATTGGCAGTTGCAATTCAAGTAATAATCAACAAAAAGTTCAATATTTGACCATTAACCCCTTAAATGAGCCAAACCTCCCACTTTTCCCATTAGTCTGCATGAGTATCTGACTGGCTCGTGTTTGTCAGGTGAGGCTCAGAGCCTGTAACAGGGTGTTAGTCAGGTTTTCTTTGCAAAATAAGAAAAAATATGCATCACATTTCAGCAAAGTAGGAAAAGGTAGCAGAAACACTTATTTTGTATTGATTTGTTTGTTTGTTTACTTGTTTTAATAAGGGAAATAAACTCTATAGATGGAAAAACTTCACTTACATTATTAAAATAATTTAAGTTCTCTCAAATTTACAAGACGTGTGTAGAAACACAAACATGAACCACATCTAGTTTTATTGTGAAGTTTTGATTTTATTTAACTGCTGCTTCTGCACAAGAACACAAACAACAGGACAAACACCTGGGATTTCTCTTACTTGTGATGGTTTTGAATAACAGGAGTGTGTGAGGTGGTAAAAGTGACGTGTGTGTGTATAAGCACACTGCTTGTTGATCATGTGAAAGGCCTCCAACAGGACTGACCTGAGTCCACTCTCTATTGTTAATCTGTCAGGAGCCACTGTGCTCTCCGTCCACAGCGTCACACGCACCGATCACAACTGTGACCAGATCAAATCAAAGACCTCCTGAGGTCGTTTTCTGCAGCCTTTCATCGTCGCTCACTATCCTATCTGCTGTCAAACTCCCAACCTTCCTGCCCAGAAAAACCCAGAGTGACCCACCCGGAGGTAAGCGATGACGAAGGTCAGCATGTAGCCCCTCTGCCCATTGTCTTCTCCAGCTGCCAGGCCCCTGGAAACACACAACAGGGTTAATGTTTAACAGCTCTTCTCTTTCAGACCCCACCCCACCCCACCACCACAGCTGTCCCGGAGCCCGTCAATCCAACAATGCATGGATCAATGCGGCGACGCTCCGCGCATCGCCACGGGTCAGCCACACATCTATCACGTTTTCATTTACCATCCAAACTAATCAGGCCAAGCTCATTACAAAATCGCTTTATGGATTTTGCAGCCTTCTTCTTGATTCCAACACCAGAGGAAAACACCCCTCACTGAAGCTAACCTCACTAATCCATCACTGACACTTGATCTGATTGAGAGTTCCTCGAAATAATAATGCAATGATGTAAACGATGCTGCGTGGAACGGACGGGCTTTAATGGCTTCCTGTTATCCAGAGGAGGAGGGAAACTACCTGCACATCCAAACACACGACCACTATGATGTCACATTGTCCTGATTGTGAGACTTAAATGGGAGTAGATCAACTAGATGGTTTCTGCAGGAAAAACAAGAAAAACTGATGGAGGGAAGCTAAAAATACTAGAATGTTTACATTTAAAGGTGTTAATTAATATTTTTATAAATGACCAAGTGTTTGTACTGATATTACTAAAATTAATATAAAAAAGGAATAAATATAAAATACATTTGATTAATCTTTCTGTCACCCAAAACACATTTTATTCTAGTTCTGGCAGAATCAAAGGTAAAAAAAAAAAAAAACACCAGCTGCATCTAAACATGAACAAAGATGAGTGTTAAAGTTTATTCCTTCAAATCTTTTTCTAAAAACTTGTGTGTTTGTATTTTCAGGATGTGAAATTGTGATTTTAACAAGTTGGGGGTTAAATATAATTAAAATAATAACAATATAAGACTTTGACCATTTCACTGCTTGTTATGACATGAGGTTTTCATAGTAATCTGGGAGTTTTAAAACATAATGGTTTCCCTCCAGGCTGGAAGTCCTAATCCATCAGTCACATGATCAATCATATCAGCTGATTACATCCCCACTTTGTGACCTCTTCCTTTATTCTTCTAGATGGTTTTGACATAATACCATCCCTTCCCACAACACCTATTTTACTGCTACACCTTTTCTGGAGCTGGATATCTAGAGGCGAGTCAGCACTGGGATGAAACACTGAAAATTAAAAGTCCTTATTTTAGCTTATTTTCCGCAACGACCGAGGATCCAAGCAAATCCCGCAGCTCTGTGCCTGGACTGTTGAGTGTTTTTATTCAGCTTATCTTCAAAAAAAAAAAAGAAAAAAAAAGAGGGAAGAAGCTCTCACCCAAATTTAGCAGCAATGTCGTAAACCTGCTTCTCGTGCTGCAGGACCTTCTCTCTGTCCCCCTCAAACAGCAGCGTGGCCACACACAAGCGGCTGGGGTCAAAGCCTTTGAACTGAGAGTTAAAAAGTCTCTTTAGCAGAACGCCTGCAGCAAGAACGTCGTCAAACTCGCCATGTCTAACTTTTTTTTTTACCTTGGTGATGTAGAACTTCTTCAGTCCATCTAGAAAGGAAGTGAAAATTGAGGAGACTTGAGGTTTCAGGGCGTGACCTGTAAAAGCACAAAATCCCACCTGAAATTCTGAGAGGCCAAGCGAGTCGAATGCACCTGGGCTTTCACACCAAACACGGAAAATATAAATGATATTTGAATAACTTTATTCCAGGCCAGTGGCCACCATCATAGAAAACAACAATAAATCAGTGTTTCGGGGGGTGGGTGGGTGGTATCGGTCTTCCTCACCCTCACTTTTTGATTTATTCCCGATCGGACGCACAAAAGCGCCTGTGGACAAGTGAAAATGAGAGGCTGGGGCCGGTGGGATGGTTATCAATCACAGCAGGGAAGTCATGGGTGATATCGCCGAGACTTAACAGTTCATTTATTTCCCCCCATGCTCAAGTCTCTTCATTGCTTAGTGTCCTAATTGTTTCCCTTCCCATTTTTGATTGCAGGTCTTTGGGTCTCTCGCTGCCATCAAAGTGGTTAATTAACTACTCAACATCTAAAGATGAAATTAAACCTAAACTCTCCATGTTCTTATTTTTACTATTATCAAATGCTATTGTTAGTCATAATAATTCTAAATGTTCAAATTATTTACAAAAGTATGTGTCCCAGCCAGAAAAGAGGACTTCTCATTTTTACCCTTCTTAAACCTAATAATAACTAGGTGGCATGTACGGAAGCAAGGACAAACCGCTAATTTACCAACGCAGCCATCTTAGAGCCTGAGATTTCAGGCAACAGTTACAAAAAAGGAAAACAGCGGTCACTTTATCTTACCTATCTAATGGTTAGAAGTGCCTACTCTGTAAAAAGTGAAAATCCAGGAGACGATAACGAGATCCTCTGGGACTTTAGAGATCTCTGCTAATGCCAGATGCATTCCACTGGACTGCAGGAAGCAGCATCAGAAAACTTCAACATTAATTTTGGCCAAGGTTATTGTTCAACATGCCCCAGGTCATTGGTTCTGTGTGTGTGTGTGTGTGTGTGTGTGTGTGTGTGTGTGTGTGTGTGTGTGTGTGTGTGTGTGTGTGTGTTGTTCTGCTGCAGGGGGGGAAAACAATCTGAATAATAATTTAGAGATGCAGAGGCTGACATCACTGCATAATAAACTACCTTTTATTTTTTAAAAAAATGAGTCACCGCAGAAAGGAAAAGGGTGGACACAATGAGTGTTCTAGTGTGTTTTCACCTCATGTCTCATGAAAATAATCTAAACACCCAACAAACTGAATTTAGAGCACACAAACAGCTAGAACTCTATAAGTTATAGCTAGCATTAGTTACTTAGATCATAGGAGAAATAAAATCTGTATTCATTTGATCAAAACTTACCAAACTGAAATTGTTCGTTATCCATGAGCCTTATAGATGCTGGAGCGCATCTCTGAGGAACAAAAACATGTTTGTCTGCATTAGTTGTTATCAAAGTATTCCAAATCTATTAAAAACTGTAAAAAGAATCAGGTGTTTGCTTCATAGACGGATGTTTTGTGTCTGTATTTGTCAGAAACCATGAACAAAAGCACTTTCTCACAAGACTCCTGAGATTCCAAAGCAAATAAACACAAAAATCATGTAAAATAAAACAATTTCATATGAAATCAAGGTTTAAACAACAGTTCAGACAAAGCTCATCGCAAATATTCTTTTTTTATTTAATTCTGGTGGCAGCTCGTCCATAAGGGGTTTTAAAAAGTTAAAAACTATATACATGTATGTACTATAAATATTTAATTTTCATTCAGCTGTGTGTGCATAAATGCAATCTTAATTATTAACACATCATTTTCACTAGCCGTCTCTCATTAAACAGTGAATGTCCTCCAACTGACTCACTAGTTCCACTCCTGGGGCGCTGGGAAAACAAGCCCTTGAACTGCAGATAAACAGCCAATAATGTTTGGTTGCTAGGAAGAACTGGAGAATTTTGGGCTAATCAACATCACTGAAATTAAAGCTTCTGGGGTACTGGCTGACGGCGCCCCTGCAACAAGAAAAAACTAGCTAGCATGCTAGGAGGAGTTGGATCTCTCCTTTCAACCGTCTCTCACTCCATCATTCATACAGTCACTGTCCGTTTATGCAGATAGAGCTGAAATCATACCCGTAGCTGTAAGATGTGTTTATCCGTTTTCATTTTATCAGATTATAACGTTTAAAACATCAAATCCAACTCAATTTCTATGCTGTGTCAGTGCCACCTATGGGTTGAATAGAGTATTGCACTTTAAGGTGCACAAGTTGGGCAGATGATTTATGATGGTTTGTGATTTACACACAGGCTGCTGGAGACTGAAAACTCAAGCTGGATTACAAAATCACCCCAAAATGAAATGCGCATGAGTCCAAAAGTGGACATCACGGGCTGCAGTTGCTCTTAGGTTTGAAAGAAAGGCGTACATGGCAAGTTCGTCTATTTATTATTATAGTCTAATTATCTGTAAATTGATAATCGACTATTTGTGAAACTGTTTATTTGGAGAAGGGAAATTAAATACTGTTGTGGAACTAAAATACATTTTTAGACATTTAATTTTTATTTTGGGAAATTGTGTATTTGACATTTTTTACCTAAAATACACCAGCTAAAGTTTCCTTTTGTAAAAAATTCAACATTAGAATTTCAACAACGACCAAAGCAACTTGATCAAGTCAAGTTGATTTTGGTCAATCAAATGAAGCTTCTCTGATCACGTGACACCAGTGAGGTGTTATTGGATTTCTAAAGTTGAAATTTTCAGATTAAATTTCTGCTGGCTTATTTTGAGTTGAAAAAGAAACAACATAATTTCACAGCATAAAAATTAAGTGTCATGTGTAGATTTGTACTTCAACCCCAGCCAGATGGAACAGGCTACTCATCATAAAACCTAATTCTATAAAACAAACATCTGAAGGAATTAAAAAGGCATGAGTCAGAAGAAAACATGAGGGACTTGGATAAAGTCTCTCATAAAAAATTTGACTATTTAAAAAAAATACAAACAAAGCAACTGTGTGTTTGCGGTGTCAAACACTAAGTGCACACTACAGGCTTTCGTGGTACTTGGCAACAGCTGATGACTTCAGCTTCTGGATGTTGTGAAAACAGAGTGTGTGTGGTGGTCAGCTCACAGGTTTCAATCTATAGCTGCTGCAGAGGATGTGGAGATAAAGTAGCGATAAAACAGCTTCTTAAAGGAGTGATGGACACCATACCTGTCTGGCCACCTCTCTGAGACAAGCAACTCCCTGTTCAAAGTTGGGAAAAACCACCGAGCCGTACTTCTGATACTCTGGCACAGGACGGATCTTCATCGTCACCTCGGTGACCACACCGAGGGTTCCTGTGGAATAAGCCAAAGAACGATAAATGAACCGTTTTATAGGTCTCAGAGTGCCCTTTGGCTCACATTTCATAGCAGATCTGCCTTTTTAACTGCATAGTTGGGGAAACATGAAGGGAGTAAAATGTGCTAGACACTGAAGCTGAAAAGTGTCACCTATCAATGTTTGCTGCTGCTTTAAAAGACTTTAAAATGTATGACGCATGCGCACACACACACACACACACACACACACACACACACTAGCCAAAGGGAGCTACGATCTAATTTGTGACTACACACAAACTTCTAATTACACGTTTGTGGCTTCATGCTTTCCTTTTCTGAGCTCGACATCGTTTTCCACGCCTTTAACGATATTTAGTGTCTGCTCAAACACATGCAGGCTCGATATTCATGCAAAACCACCATAATGACATTGACGTTGGTAGTTGTCAGGCACCACTTGGGTATTTTGTGGTGAAAAAAAAAGGACAAAAAAATCATACATCACATCATCTTTTGTTTTCTAGTTAGCATTTGAATGTTAAACTTGGGATATAATTCCCCTCATATTCAAATTATATAATCAGTTGGTTTTTTATTATATTTTTGACAATTCTTCACAAGATTTCTCGCATTTCGCTGTTTTGCATTTTTGTTTCATCTTTCTACACCTCTTATGTCAATCTAGCTTCCTTAAAGTGCTCTCTCTATTCTTCGTCAGCAGGCTTCAGCAGGATGTTATGTGTTTAAACGAATCCTTTAATGTGACACTACATGCCACACGCTGCTCTCTAGTGGCCCAGATGAAAACATGGTGCAACTCTGCTGAGCCTCGCCCCAGAAAGGCCCCTCCTCTCTCTGGCATCATGCAGGAGGCGCCTCGGGGCGAGCCGGGGACGCGGATTTAAAGAAAGATGGGTGGAGTGAGGAAGGTAATGTCAGAGAGGCTCCTGGGACAGACACGATACAATTAAACAATGCCTCGCAGCTTAAGCCTTTACTTCCTTGTGACTTGCTGTAAACACACCTTGACTGCAGGATTGCATTTCTAAAGAGAAACCTTTCATGCTGCTCTGCAGAAGCAATCCTCTGGCTCTGAACATTAGATAAGAGTCATTTTGTTGCCAATGACAGAGTTTAAAAGAGCAGGATTATCACTGATCAGTCCAGTCGTTCTTTACACTGGTTGAAGGTAGACAGAAGTACTTTGTATTCAGGCCACTTCAAGGTCAGTTAGATAAATAGACCCCACTGTTGCGCAGAGAATGAGACGCTTAAGGTTTCACACGGTAATTTCTAATAAAATGGATGTGCTCCGCTTAACATGCAGAGCTGAGTCGAGGGTTTAATTGTGGTGCTTTGCTGTTGTTGATGTGGCCCTACTGTCACACAGCAGTGTGAGGGTTTAAGGGTGAGAAGGTAGATAATTTTAATGAGACCATGTGGCAGGGTGACCTCGCAGTCCCAATGTCAGACCTCCCACAGGAACATGAAGTACCACAGATGTGTGGTCCTGTCTGAATCTTTTATTGCTCCAGAAAGCTCATTTCTTATTTTATGAACAGGTTCATAACAAATTCAGGATCTCAAGCTCTACTTACAAAGAAAGTTCAAGAAGAAGGAGAAGCAGAAGGAGTTGGCATCAGATGAGCAATAATAAGGTGCAAAGAAGGAACGCGTGGGTTTATGTAATCATTTATCAATGTTTATTACATTAAGTTTAAAGATTTATGGAGTAAGAATGACATCCTGTGGTCAAATGTGGGTACTGCAGCCCATGAATCAAAACAAACGAGTTCTGTCTGAGTGCCAGCTACGGATCAGCACAAGAAGACTCTAGATCAGGGAACCACATCCAACCTGCCAGACCTCTCCTCCCAGCCCCCAACCCTTTGGGCCCAAACATCCTCCAATGGGGGACTGAAGTTTAATAGCAAAATTCATGTCCCAAATATCAATAATTGTTTACGTTCTACAAACAACTAAAACTACAATCAAAACAGTTTAGATGGAAAACAAAGCAGTTCTAAAAATGAATAAAATTAAGACTTTAACTATATTTTTGAAGAGCATCGGGCCCTTGCTGTGTCTGCTGGAAAAAAACTCTGGCACTCGAACAAATTTAGTTGCTCCCCTGTTCTAGACGATTGAAAAGGAGTCATTCACAGTAAGTTGATAAATACAGATAAATACATATCACTGTAATGTGGAGTTATTGGTAAATGAAAAAAGTAGCTTGAGATGTTTTAGAGTCTTATTCACCATTAGCATTCTTAGCTCAGCATTAGCCTCTAGCCTTCTTTACCTACTTGGAGTAAAAGAAAAATTTTAACTTTTGTTTACTTATATCTTTTGCTTCTTTTGTTTTTTGTGCTTCTGGGTCTATTTTATTCCACAACGCTGCAGCTGTTTGCCAGCTGGTGTTGAATTAGAAAATCCTGTGCAGAATTTGCAACCTTGCAGACTCACATATGATGGGCTCTGGAACCAGGAAGTATGGAGGCGGGACATATTATAAACAAAGAGCACGTCCCTCTTTGGCTTTTTAAAACGGAGGAAAAACTGGCCAGCCCCCAGCTGTTCAAGTACAACATTCCTTCCAGCATGATTGTGATTGTGTCACTGTAAAAAATCGTACTTATTGCACCTTTAAACTAGTTAGCAAATCCGGTCACATCCAATAAGAGCAAATTGAGACTTATGCTGCAGTCCCCAGTTGAGCCAAGGAGTAGTTTGCTGAGCTTTGTAGCGCTAAAGTGAAGTTTTCACTCAAAGCTGTTTAACATAGCAATGCCAAATGTCTCCAAACCCCCTCATTATGTACGAGGGAACTTGGCATTTGCCAGTATTCTCTGTGGGCGTTCATAAAAACAGGGCACCGCAGATGGGGTGCAGGAGACCCTCTCTGGTTCCTCACCAACTCCTTTTCCAGATCACTTTACTGCACCAGTGCTAGTTAATGTGTAAAAAAGCCTGGGAATTACTCCTGATGTTGCAGTTTTATCACAAATACCTTACAGACACACACGGGATACGCACAAATGCGTACATGCTCACATGCTGTGACACGATAAAATTACACATGAGCGTTTGCAGACCTTCTGAGCCTAGGATGAAGTGGTGAACGTCTGGCCCCGTGGACATACGTGGTCCTTGACAACTCTTCTCAATCACACCTCGTGGTGTAACCATTTTGATGTGGACAACCTATGCAATCATACACAAAAACAGCCCTTTTGTTATTACTGGAGGAATCGTGGAAGAGTAAGTCTACAAAGCCTTACTCTACCGACATCATAGCAGATCAAATGTGCAGAAAGGAAAACAGGAGACGACTAACCAGATCCTCAATGTTGCCATAGATGTTTTTCTTCATGCCTGACGCTCTTGTCGCTACCCACCCCCCCAGGGAGCTGAACTCCATGGAGTCAGGCTCATGCCCGGTACAGTAGCCGCTCTCATTAAGCTGTGATGGAAAGAGAAGAAGAAGAAAAAAAAAACAGCATGTGTTTGTTGTGGTGGTTAAAAATGAACCAAAAATGTTTAGGGGGAAAAACACATTTCATGCTGTAAACTTACAAGAATGTTTTAATGACAAGCAGAAAGAAAGCAAACAAGGGGGAAAATATAATTGCAGCTCTGCAGCAGCATTTCTCTGGTCCAGTTAAACATGAATGTAAAAACAAAGCTTTTATGGAACTGCACTGTTTTGATAACCTAAAATGAACAGATTGGAACGGCACAAAACAAACGCACTTAGGCTCCATGAAGAATTCATCCGCACTAAATACCAACTTCCAATGAGTCCGTTTTAGCCTTTATCCAAAAGGATCATCAATATGTGCCACACACAGAAAACCTGAGAAGAAAACATTAAACGTTTGTTATCCACTAAGCTTTCAGAAGGATGCTGGGGTCATCAGAAGCTCATTAATTCTCCTCAAGGCAGCAGATAACCTGCGTCTTTGGACAAAACATTTAATAGTGATAATAAAGATCTTTAGGTGTAAGAATAACGCTCTCCAGAAGCACAAGGGTTTTATCACACACCCCTCTAGAAGGCAGTTTATATTGCAGACCCATCTGCTCCGTCAGCTCAGTCTGGCCTAAATGCAGAGGTGGGGTCTGCTTTAGATGCCGCTCACGCATTCCTCTACATCATACGCCCGCTCCCTCTCCATTTCTCTGAATTAGTTTGATGGTGCCATCTGCTCATGACCACCAGCTCGCTCTCTAATCTCCCTCCTTCAGCACTGTGCTCCTTTCCTCCGCTGCTTTCCAAATCCTGTTAAATCTACTGTGCAAAGAGTAACAAGGTGAGCGTGCGTGGAAACGGTCAAACAGCTCATAAGCAGTGTTTACCAGTCTCTCCAGATCCTGACCGATGATGCCAGCCTCCACGTGTGCAGTTAGGTTTTTCTCATCAATCCACAAAACACGGTTCTGCAAAAAACACCATGGAAGAAGCTTGAATGTAACAGAATGATGTGATCTAAAACCATTAATTATGTGTTATTTTTTAAAAACCTCAACAGATCTGTTTAGAATCACCACTATTCTTTTAAAAGCACACTTTCCCCCCCACTAGAGTTAAGAGGATAAACGTAAGCAGATGTGCAACAGGATGGAGATAATGGTCATTCTAATTGAAGTTAACATCTAACCCCAGATACTTGTCTTGTGGATTCCTCTTTCCACAGAAAGCCGTATTCTTCCAGCCATCAATTATTCTCTAGAGGTAATAAACTTTATGCTCCCATCACGTCGCTCCTTTCATGTGTTTCCATTGGAGCCACCTCACCTCTGGCCCCTGACACAGAAAACTGGTCACTGATGTCCACGGCACCAAACTCAACCCAAGCGGCATCCAGACAGCTTGTATATCACCCCAATGCGCCCCTGGATCAAAGGACTTTGGCGAACCCCGGACTATTTTATATCCCAGCCAATAACACTGAACAAACACGTTTGGCCTTGCTGCAACGTGGAACATGAGTCGGTTGAACAAAGAGGACATCAGAAGTGTTATATACTTATTATTGTGGGTGAAAAAAATATATTAATGGTGTCAAAAACTGAGAAGCCGTATAATAATTGTTTCTTGTGAAACATCATCGGTCACTCAGAGTTGCATGTGAATGCAGAATGTGAACATTTTCTTCACTCCCCATGACCCAAATTAGCCGCAGGAAGGAAATAAGACGAGAAAATGATCATGTCGGAAAATCGCGTCTCTTCTATGTCACAGGGGAAGTTAGCATTCATGGCATCGCCAACCTTGGCTTGCTACCACGAAAGGCTGTGAGGATTTAGCAGCCAGGAGAGCACAGAGCTAATAGCAGCTAACTGTTAGCAACTCTGCAAGTTGGTGGAACACATTCAAGCTTGTGTTATTTGTGGAGTTCAATCATCAATTTTGCTTATTTCTTTTTAGCCTGGCCTGCCAGACTCGCCCTCCGTCTATTCTACATAGAGGACGAGTCTGGATACTCAAGAGGCAGAGAGCACCACGAGGGGCGGAACTAGCCAGCTCAAAAAACAACCAATCAGAAAAAAGACGGAAATGACGACTGTATCACACGATGCTGTAGTTTTTTTAGCTGTTGTCAAAGATGGCGTCTGACAACGGAGTAAACATCTTTCTTTAGAAGAAAGCCTTTAGCGCTTCTTCTTGTTGTGGTTTTAAAGACACGTCCAAGTCATTTAGAACAGAGGACAGAGCAGCAGCGAACTCCGCTGCAGACGCCATCTTTGTCATTGATAGGAAACTGAGTGTTGTGGTGTGTGACGTGCGCTGCTCAGCACTGATTGGCTCGGTTAGAATTCTTAGGGTGCGGGTTATTTGAATGGGAGCGTTATCAAGCCCTTTGCTTCCCATAAGGAAGCATTGGCGTGGCTGGCTAGGCTTCCATTTTTTACCTAAGAAAGAAAAGCGAACAAAGGCAGCAAAAGAGTTGTGCTGTGGTTAGTTGATCAGGGGGGAGATGTTCGCACATCATGATTATTAAGACTCCAAATCCTTCCATTTCCCACCCCAGACTGAATTCTAACCCCTAGAACTGGAGCGTCGGAGCCCTTCATCTAAAAAAAAAAAACCCAAAAAACTACTCACGAGGCATTCATTCATTCATTCATACTGGAGACACAACAGATTGATTGAAATAATGAGGGAATGAGAGCTTTAAAGCGGGAGTGCGTAATATTTTTACTTGTTTATTATCAAATTTTGTGAATCCTTTAAACTTGTCCTTTTCCTTGATATTCTTCACCAACGTCAACTCTAAGTATTCCTATAAGTTTGACATTTTGCTTTTTTATATACATAAACTGTGGTCATGCACCATATTGAACTACGGTAGCTGTTTAGGCACATACAAGATGTCGGGGTAGTGCCAGTTCTGTCCGTGGCTGCCTTGCAGGTTTAGAGAAAATTTGCTCCTCTCGAGTCGCCTGGCCTGCTCCAACCACATGTGACACACATCTGCCTCTCAGTTTTTATTACTTAACATTTAGATTAAATTTAAAAAAAGATGACAAATTAAAATAACTGGCATCATTGCTGGATTGAAAGCTGGAAGTTGTTGATGACACACTGCCTTGTTGATGCTTGTGGGCCACTGTAGCTGCAATACCTACTCTGAACAATCTTTTCCACGTGCTAGGGCTTTAAAGCAGCAATTTGTCAGAATTCTGCAATTAAATAACAAGAGTAATATCTCAAATTTGTAGGAAGGAAGATTCTATGGAAACAGATTTAATTCTCAGCCAGCTGGGGGTGTCAGGTTTTATCCTTTCAAAAAACTAAAGAGGGACATGTCTACTGTTTACTGTGTGAGGTTGCCAAGTCTGCGCTGCAGCGCCGGCATTTGTAATTCGACACCGGTAGGAAAAAACTCCAGAGTTGTTAAAAGAACCAAAGCCAGCAATCAGGAGTGACTCAGAAGTTATTTCTTGTACCCCTAAAAAGATGCGGCATCTTTTTGTTTTACTCTAATATTGGGTGAAGAAGGCTAGAGGCTAATGAGCTAAAAACACTAACAGTGAATTAGAAGCAAATAGTTGGCTCTAAAAATATCTTAAGCTTCTTTTTCAGTTACCAACAACTCAATATTACAGTGAAATGTATGTGTGAAGTGAATAGTGGGTCAATCAAGTTTTATGTCCTTTAATGTATCGTTCAGAACTATAACAGTAAGCTAACAGCAAACCACACTTCCTGTAATACTGGAGAAATTTTACAGTAACAAAAGTAGTAAGTCCTCTTTACCGTAAAACATCCAAGAGTGCAAACACCAGATTTGACAATGTATTTACATATTTATCAATTTAGTGTGTATGACTCATCTTTGCTTGTCATTTAGGATGTTCTGGAGCTGATCCATAACTGGCAACAGCCATGAAACTCACAGAACAGGGGGGAGAAAGTCACTTTTTTTTTAGAAAAATTGGCTGCAGTACCCAAATTTGACAACAGGATGTCACTCTTACATTTACACATCCAAAGGAAAGCAACTGCGTACCATCTGTGATGTATCCAAAGAGACAATGGAGCGCGTTTCCTCGGGCGGGCACTCCAGGGCACTAGAGACACTAGTTCCTCCTGAGAAAAGAGTATTACAAAAAAACTCTTTACTCGTTAGACAATTTAGCTTGTCATAGTAAAGGAGACATGGGTGGAATGAACTGAAGGAAACCATGACAGAAATGAGACTAGACTAGCTGACTTGAACCACATGAACTATTTCAAGTGTGAATTCTCATTAAACTAATAAACATTAAAACCTACACCGCTTGTTGATATTGGGACTCAACATTCCATAATTAACCAGCTTCAGCTTCAAAGCTCGCTAAAAGAAAAAATGTTCCAGGTAATAAAATGTAAAGATATATATTTGAGATTAGGCTCTGATCCAGACTTACCTCCAAAAGGTATCAAACAAACATTATGTTTGCATGCCAGCTCCACAGTTTTCACCACATCATTGTGACACTCTGAAAAAAGGAAGTTTTCTAAATCAGACAAAATAAATAAATAAAATAAAAATCAAGCCATGTGTGCTAAACTGCATACTGTCTGAACCATTACAGCAGGGCAGCAGCAGAGGCAGGGTATCTTTAATTTGCCTGGGGCCTTTCTCCGGCAGAGTCAGACTGCATTAAGCTCCACTCTCCAGAGTGGGACGCGCTGGATCGATACTGGCGTATTTTAACCAATCGCTGAGCCTAATTCCATTCACACTGGAGAGGCGAGCGAGCGGGAAGAGCAGTAATGCTCTCCACATGGACGTGCTTAGCCGGGCTAGGGTGCTTTGGAGGCACTGAGAGATGCTCATGTTCTAATACAATGTTTTTTCTTAGGATTACCATTGAGACTAAGCCTTTTCTTAAAGTAAAAACCTTGATTTGAATGAAAAAAATCTATGTCAATCATAAATAAATAACACATTAAATGAGTATTTTTACAAGTGTGGAAAAGTCCAAATTTTCGAACCACCTTGGACGAGATTCCAGGAGGAGTTTCTTGGTGATTTGCAGCCCGTTTGGGAGGCTGCTAATCAAGTTTCAACCATCAGTCAACACTCATTTGCATGATAAAATAGGAGCAGCCATAACAAGAGAAAAGCAATCTCCCAACCATAATTCATGATTGTACTGTGGCGGGCCAGACTGTGGAGTATTGGGTGTCAACCGTCCTCCCCCTGACGCTTCTTATTAAGCTTCCACTCATACATATTAATATCCCTGCCTCTGCAGAGATTAACCCTTTAAATCACCTGAGCCAGGAGGAGGATCAGTGATGCTTCGTGGGAATATGAAAAACAACACACCCTCCGCCCACCAAATAATGGAAACCTGAACTCACTTGGCCACACCACCATATCTGGGACGCGGCCAACCTTCCCCTCTCTCAACGGAAAGATCTCATGTAAGCAGTGACCTGGAGGGAAAACAGGAATTAGTCAGAAATATACATCATCTTCATCAACTTACTTTACTAATATTCAAGGGGTGAAAAAAAAATAAAAATAATGTTCTTTTCTGCCTTACCATGGGAACGAAACACTCGGTCTTCTGGGTCGTGAGAGAATGGAATACCTGTGGATTTTATTCCCTCTACGAAGGCCTCGTTCAGTGTGGGAGGCTGAACGGCACTGGTATTCAGAACGGGCTGAAACAAACAACAAAAAACACTGTGGTTTGAGCTGCTGTGACCAAGTGATGTGTACTCCCATTCAGCAGAAGCACAATGAGAAAACATGTCTCACTGTTGCTGGAGTTTTATGCTGCACAGTGGCACCAAATGTGCTCTCCATCCAATCTCTCAGGCCAGGGATGATCATCCCACTCAGTCTATACCTGGATTAGGTAAAAAATAAAAATAAAAATAACGGATAGATTAGATTTACACCACATTGCATTAGTACTAGGGATGCACCGATACTGGTATCGGTACCAATACCAATACCAGTATTGGTATTGGTAAAAGTTAACCGATACCAGGAACCGATACCAATGCAGTTGCTTGAAAATGGCTTCACTGTAACTTGTCATTTCTGTTCACCAAATATTTTAGTTTTGTGGTGATTTCCATTCATATATTTTACTTTTTATCTACCTCACAGTCTTTTCCGGTTGAAAGCAGAGAAGAAAATAAAATCTGTATTCCAAATCATTGCATTTTTTTGTGTGGTAGAAGTATCGGTATCGGTTATCGGTAATCGGCATCGACGAGTACTCAGATCCAAGTATCGCTATCGTATTGGTTTGGAAAAAAGAGGTATCGTGCATCCCTGATTAGTACATTAGTGATTTCTTACATTATAAGTAGTAACTTGGCAGTTTTATTTGGGAAAAAAGTTAGCATCTAATAGAGATCTATCTATACGGGGTTTTCTATCGCTGATACCGATACATAGGGGTCACGGTCAACCGGTGGCCGATGCAGATTTTTTGAACTGATTTTCATGGCTGATATCTAAGTCTACCTTATTTGCATGCCAAAATGTCAACAATAACACAGTTTTCAAACTCTGAATCAGTTTTTTTAACCCCAACTGTTGATCGTAATTTTGTGGTCAGAATTAAAATCAAACTTCAGCTGCAGCACTAGGCTGCCCACGGATGAGCGTGCTTATAAATGGTCTGATGCTGATATGTAAAAAATGGTTAATATGAGCCCGCCAAATCTTTCTATCTCTATCTAGCGTAAATACAAAAGCCTATGAGGTTAGCAGCAGTGACAGAGCTGCTCGCGTGATTGTCTTGGCTATTTCTTGCAAAAACTGAGCTTCTGGCAAAGACTAGGCCAGCCCATCAGGGAACTGTGGTGTGCCTCAGGTCCAAAAGAGACGTGGTGAAACACATTCTGCACTAAAAAAAAAAAAACTTTTGTCCCAGCAAACACAGAGGAGCAGAGCCTCGCTCCTTGTTGCTATGTAACAGTCAGGTAGTTGGAAAAGCTCGGAGCAGCTGGTGACACGTGCTTCACCAGGAGGAAACAATTAGCAATGCTACATCCTGTTTAGCTCATTACTCAAAATGCATTTTCATGGATGCTGCAAAAGTTTCCACCGTTAACTTCTCGATTGGCATGCTGATTATGAAACAAGAGCTTTCATCAGTTTTAGGCTAGACTGAAAAAAAAAGGTTTAAAAAAAGCTATTTTCTGTTCTGAATTAAAATGGTTTCTTAACACCTGCAGCCAATTAAACGACATCATTCCTGCAGCACCTGGGATTTAGATTTTTCCCACCCAACATAAAATGATCAATTATAAAAAAGTCAGGGAGGTTGTTCCCGCTAACGAGCAGCAGAGTTTGGAGAGGCAAAAAAATCACAACTGGTGACCTTCTCCGATGACAATGAAGGATTTAAATGCCAACCACTAGGTGGCAGAAGCAGCACATTGTTGTGGGAGGATGATGAAACCAGCACACCGATTCAAAGAGGGGACTGTGAAAGGGATCAGCGCATAAAGCTCCAGCCTCCAGCCACAACACAGAATGAATCCTCAAGATTAACACACTGCCTAGAACAAGATTAAATTACCAACAGAAAGGGAAGAGCAGATTGCCTCGGAGCACTGTGTGATATTCCACTTTACCTTTTGCCTGTGAATTCTGCTTGGCCATTCTTGTTGTAGATGAATTTTGAGTCATTGTAACCCCAGCCATTCCACTTCATAATCTCCTGCCTGTGGAATAACAACAACTCTGTGAGATTAAATATCATATACCAGGAGACTACAAAAATGTATTTGCTACTATTCTTCTGTTATGTTTTACTGGTCGTGTAAAATTCCCATTACAAAAACTAGAAAAGAGGTAATTACTGATCCCCTGAAACCTTCTTGATATCTGAAACTCCACATGTCCAACACCAAGGTGAAAAAGAGCAAGGCCCTGTAAACATGTAGCAAAACGAGGATATTTTTTTGAGTTTGGCTTTACATCCACATGAAAGTTAAGATAAATGACACTAAAAACTATTATTTCACAAACTCTGACCAAATTGGGTGTCAGCATTTGCATCTGAACATAAATGATTGGGTTTTAGGTATCACAATGTCATTGCCCGGGACAAAAACACTCTGACATCACATGTGTGACCTGTGTTTACATTCACTTTCACTCAATAACGTCTACGTAGACCACAGATGAAGGACGACGTTACAAACTGTTCTTCCCTGCCACCTAGTTATTCCACGTCCAAGGAATGTTTATCAGCAAAGATGGTGACAATTTGGGGAACTACTGCCACCTGCAGGCTTGGCATGCCTAAGAATTTGCCTGGATCGTTTATTGCTGAAAATCAGGTGGCGTTTACCCAAGCCGTTTTTCCTGCATTGGCGATGGAGGATTGTCTATTTTAAGAAAAAAACGACTACATGTGTGTGACCAAAAAATCTACAGAATTACTAACAAATCGTGCAGCATTTCTATTCATGAGAAAAGAGGCTGGCTATGAGTGGGCACATTTACTGTGAGGATGCAGGCAGGCACACCTATGGTATTCCCAGGGTGCCCAGAAAACTGAAATGTTTTGCACACAGGCTTGCGAGCATATTGCTCAAACAGGAACCAGAAAATGTGTTGAACTATTTTACATTTAAGTACATTTGTTTTTGGGACTAAATTCGTAGATCTATCAAGCTTAAACTCGTGACTTCTAACATGACAAAGGCACTTTCTCTTCTTTGTTTGACACAGAGGAACTACAATGGGAAGTAACCAATTGATTTCACAGGTGTTCCCCCACAAAATGGTTTTCCATGCAAAGAGGATCTGGGATTTCTCAGGCAAACAGCATACTTTCTAGGAATAAACCAATTCATCATCATTCTTGCTTTCTAAAAAGGTAGTAGACTATACTTTTTAAGTAAATTCAGCTGTACAACAACTTGAAGATTCACATTAGCTTATTGGTACTTGGATGAGATCCTATCAGTGGAATAAAGTGGGATAAAGTCGTTCATTGGGAATTCCCTACAAATTCTGAATGGCAACCATGCTCCAACATTTTAATTGTTTGAGGGTTTTTTTTTCTCAGCAGTGTCTGGTATGAGAATAAATGATGCCAGGTGTTGTGCAGAGTGACACAAATGTGTGATTAATCACTCCAGATTCATATAAATCAAGTTGGCATTACTTAACAACCTACAACAGAGAAAAGTTAACAAATGGAGCATCTTTAAAGCAGAGACGCAGGTCTCGTATGTTATTATATAAAAATTTGAAGCTGTGTTAGCAAAATTCGGAAAACAAATTAGCCTAAACATTTTTCATGTCTCTTAACAATGTTCTAACATAGTATAGCTATAAATATATCGTGGATTTAAAGAAACGGAAACATTTAATTAAGTGGTTCTCTCGAATTTGTCTAAAAACCTTCGCCAATAAAACGTTTTGGACTGAAAGCAACTGTTGGACCGTACAGTCGTCGGTCTCGCTACACTTCCCCGAGTCCTCCACTCATTATGCACTCCCTTATTTTGCAACAGAACACCACTGGTGTCTCCGTTCAATAATATCAGAAAAGGAGAAACGGCCGGCTGCTACCATTTCAACTTCAGAACAAACTACCAGAGTCGCAAAAAGAAAAACACGATTTGGACAACAAGAGACATTTCAACCTAGAAAACGGTGACTGGTGTTTAGCGCCATCTTGTATCCTATGGCAATGCGGGCTCCCGGTTCCGATGGAAGCGGATCCAGGGAAGATACCCGAGGAGAGAGGTGGGTGTTTCGTGTCCGTGTTTGCATTCAAAAGCTAACTCGTCGGCAGAGCCGCTGTAACAGTTTTAATTCATCTGATGAATATTTGGGAAAAGCATCTTCTGTCGAAAACTTCCTAAAGCACAACTTTATTAATTTTCTTCTGAGCTGCACTTACATTTATTGGTTTTGTCTAGTCTACATTTCCACACACACTTGCTGTTAAAAACATCTCAGGTCTTGACTTATTGGAGGACGCGTGCAGTTTACACAACATAACCTAAGGTTACAGAGGTATGTAGTCTAAAACATACAACTGCCTGAAAATCCAGATTTTTTTTGCTTGAAAGCACCCCGGTAGTAATCATGTAATCCCAGTTTTGTGATAATGCTGTTGAACAAATTCACTCACTTTTTTTTACACAATTAAACCATTTAGTGCTTTCTTCTGAACTTTGAAATATTTAAAGACACAATGAGTAATTTTTACAATTAATCTCGGGAAATATCCATCGAAATGTTTCAAAATAAAATAATGTTCAGTCGTTGAAAAATATTGGTGGCTTTGAAACATAACAATAAAAATCAGGTCTAAAGTCAATCTGGCACAGATATAAGTCTTGGTGCATGCCATATTTGATGCCATGTTTCCTTCTGGCCGGCTCGGGGTCCTGCGTCTACTGATGATGTCATACTAAATGATTGGCAGGACGTACGGCCTACAGAAGTTGTTGCCATATTCGAAAACCTTTGGGCAGTAAATAACAAAACTGCTAAACTATGCAATAATTTTTAGCCGAATGGTATTGCTGTAGGTTGATATCATTGGCAGGCGCAGGACTCCGAGCAGATCCGGAAACTACAGCACCAGAAAACTAGCATCGGCGTGACATTCTCTCTATGGAATTAACAGAAGGACCCTCAAAGTCCGAGGAGCCACGCTGAGTTTGCATGATTTCTGCTCGACAGGTAACTTTAATCATACAGTTTTTTGAAACTAGCAAAAGTCAGTGATATGGTGTAAAACTACCCTGAAATGTATGCACTGCCCCCTCTCACCAAGAAACTAAGAAACTGCACCACCATGCTGGGCTGCATGGTGGTGCAGTTGTTAGCACTGTTGCCTCGCAGGACGAAGGTCGCAGGTTCGAAACTCGGCTGTGGCCTTTCGGCGTGGAGTTGCGCAGCGTGTTCTCCCCATGCATGCGTGGGTTTCCTCCGGGTACTCCGGTTTCCCCCACAGATCACAACATGCCCTATAGGTTATAAATTGTAAGTCGCTTTGGATAAAAACGTCTGCCAAATAAATAAACATAAACATAAACTACCCACTGCCACTTTAACACTGATCATAATAAAGATATAATGACAACACCAGGTGCAGCCATAACTGTGGGGTGCTGATTAGACTGAAGCTTTCCCAAGCTAACTCTAGATGTCAGCACACGATGGCAAGATGTTTATGGCAAATCATTGTAACATATAATCTAACCACAATGGCTTTTATAATAGCGTTTGTACAAGTCAAAATACAAATTCCGATATCTAAACAAACACTTCCATAGTTGCGCAGATACACTTCTAATTTATGTTTATTTGTTAATATGCACTGCAAAAATAAAATTTAACAGAGTAATAAGTTTAAAATGCACTGCACGAGGAGGCAAAATCCAATTAGGCTTATCTATAGAGACGCAAGAAAATATCGATATGGCAATATATTGTGATTTTTTCCCAGCAATATTATATCGATATTCAAAAGCTGCGTATAGAAATTATGGATACAGCAAAATATTGTGATATTTCTTCCTGCAATATTATATCAATATTCAAAATTTACATGCAAACATTTGTGTATTTTCTTTTATTTTGGTGCGATTCAAAAGCCGACCGCTAGTTGGCAGCAGAGTGCAATGGGTTTTGTTTCCAACAACGAAATGTAAATCCCTGTGTTATGGTTCAGATACCTCATGTTAAACATGTTAAGTATCAGTTGGACAATTTACCGAATATTCCTACAATAAATTTAGTCCAATAAAATTGCTAATAACATCTGCATGAATGTATCCAATACATTGTACCATACCATACCAACTTTATTTATAAAGCACATTTAAAAACGGCATGGCAGCCGACCAAAGTGTTGTACAGATAAAAAGTAAAACAGTAAAAAAGTATTGTGATATGTATCATATCGCCAAAATTTCCCCAATACACATCCCTACTTATCTAATTTATTTTTCCAGATCTACACAACTGACAGACCACAATCTACAGAATCGGATTATTCTTTGAAAAACTGGTAGGCCGTTTCAACATTTAATGGGTTAGTCACAACTGAAAAAAAAATTCAGAAATTTGCCTATTACACCACATTGTTCATTCAAGTGTATTAGGCCTTTTGAATAATTTCAATTAGTTGAACAGTTTTTGCCTCCCGTTTTACATTTAGGGTTAGGGTTTTTTTATGCTGCAAGTTTCAAATTAGTTAAAAAAACCCTAAGGATTATATGATTAATCAGCTTGCCAAAGTTTGAGGTTGAAAGTCAGGCCATCGCTTGTTCTGACCAATCAGATTACAGAAGAACCAAACGTTTCCGTGTTGCTCTCCGCTGATTCATACATTTTAAATTTTATGGTTTTATTGTTGTTGTTGTTTTTATTAAAAGTTTTAATCATCAAATAAAGCAATGCTCTGTCAAATCCGGTATTGTACGTAATATTAAATAATTCAAACAACTCAATCGCATTAACTGAACGACAGAGGATGACTTAATCATAACGGTATATATCAGATGAAATAAGCCGCCACGTTCACTCGTCTTATTCGTGGATAGAAGAGTAGCTCTGTCGACATTTATCTTGGGCTTGTACAACCAAAATGACAACTAAATTGTCTCGTGAGACACATTAACCGACGTGGGCTAACTTTGACAAAGTCAACCAAACTCCTAGCCGCACCCACCCACTCTGTAGCAAATGACTGGCTACTATGTAGCCGAGGAAGCTTAGCTAGCAAGCTTCATTAAGCTACGTTATTTATGCTTGAGGACGAACAACCCCCATGATTATATTAAATGTCACCCTATGAGCTTTTGTTTTGTTTATTGTAGTTAAATGTTAGATTAATAACGAGCAAAAGCTCGTTATTAGATGGCCGGTAGTCAACCGCTCCATCACAGCCTTGTACCTCCTTCTGGGTACAGTCTTCATTTCGGTGGCGACATCTGGTCTGGTCCCCTGAGCTTTGCACTCCGTGGCTCGGATGGTTGTGTCACCGTTCAGTGGTCGCTGTAGATGCCCGGCTATTACGCTCAGTCTGTGCTGTGCAATCCTGTGCCTTTCGGAGCTGCCTCGGGAGCTGTTGGACGCCATGCTGCTTCCGTGTTTGTGAAAGGAGGGAGCTGATCCAGGATCGGCTCATAGCAGGAAAAGTGTGCTGCCTTCATAAGCCGTTCCCAGAATCAGGCCACAGATTTTAATTGTCAAGGCGGCTTTGAATTATATCGATTTATTCGTTGTCGGAGTTAATAAAGAACACTTTGACACTATTTTAAAGTGGTAGTAAATCTACAAATCGTTACTGCTTTGTGTTACGAGGTCTGAAACACAAATTGTAATTTACCATCAACATAAATCTTTAAAAATTGGCATGTTTTTAATATTTGCTGGGTTGGAAGTGCAGTTGAAGCTTTCTAAGCTCAAATCATCGCAAAATTTAGTAAAAGTTGCTATTTAATCACTAATATTAAACAGTGATGGTTGGATTTTAAACATTCCCTGAAACGCAAATTGAAACTGCACAGAAACTAATTTAATCAAAGACAAATACAGAACTCAAAGCAACAAAAAAAATTAAATTATATAGAAAAAAAATATGTATCAGTGATCAGGTCATAATCTGTCTTTTTTATCCTTACAAAGGGTTTGAGAGATTAGTGCATGGTCTAGGTCAGGGAAAATATGATGGATATTTTCCTCCGCCTGCAATTATGGCAGATACTAAAATAAAGTAGTATGATTTGGGGATTTTCTTCTTTAGAGTTTGCAGAAAACTGTGCAGCCGGCACGTTTTCAAACACTCTTTAAAATGAGCCACTGGCATGCACTTGAATGCATCATTTAATGCATTTCCCAGCATGCCTTGCAACCCCAAACCGGTTGCATATGTTGAGAAAGGAGTCATAGCAGTTAGATTGGTTGGAAAACATTAAAATAATGTTTATTATGAAAGGTAATATGTGGATTAGTCAACATGTTATCACATTTCATACATAAAAAGCAAATTTAGAGGATATTTAAATGGAAATAGAAATTTTATTGATTTGCCCACGATACAGGATGATGGGAACAAAATGGCAACCGTTAGATTTTAGTATATGTAGAAACATTACACTGTAAAAAATGTAAGAGCTGAAACTGTAACAACACTGTTACTGATCAGTGTTTCCATACGACACACAGTGCTGCACTTTCAGCAACGTTTTAACACAATTAATAAACAAGTAAACACATATTTACAATAAAATACAAGCCTTTACAAAAAACAGACACAGAGAAAAACTATGATCAACTTGTGAAACATGAAGATTTATTTAAAAAGCTTGTTATAAATAATAATTACATCATTCTGGAAACTGAACAGTGAAGGGTTTGATGATTTATTTCTGCACAAGTTAAAGCATTAACTCCCAAAACAAAGTTCTGTAATGCACTGACTGCATGCGAGTCGAGTCTGAGTGTATCACAGAACTTTATTTGGAAAGCCACAGTGCCACCTCACAGGTTTGTCCTTGTGTGGAACCTTATCCTCCAGACGACTAGGTGCTCCTTCAAACTGCAGCCAGGTAAAAAACAGAGAAAAATGCACAAAAACTTTACTAACTCCAGTGCTTGGCACACCAGAGAGCAACATTGATGTTGTTTTTTAAAGAATACAGAAGAAAGTTGAGAAGGGCCTACAGACAGCCTTCCAGTCACACAGGCAAAAACACGCCGGGTGGAATTTTTTTCACTGTTCTTTTCTGAAATAACCACCAAAATATCATTTAGGAATGTGGACCACTTTTACACTTTCTCCGAATTAACCTGGAGCACATTTACTCACCTCCTCAAATGTGAACATCTGGATGGTTGCAGAAGTTGCCATATCCACATTTTCTTGAATTTTACTTGTGAAATCACAATAAATAAACTCATCTGCCTGGTTGCAACCTGTTGAGTTTTAAAAACTTCTTGAACTAAGCAGGCCCAGACCGTGCTTTCCCCCAAACAATGTTAACAGACATGACAGTGAGGAAAAAAGAAGGCCAGCAGGGAGCTGTACCAGTTTGGAGATAGTTGGGAGACTTAAATCAGAAATCATTCAAGTGGCTGCAACTTTAGCAATGCAAAATAACAGAAAACAGACAGTATTAGGTGTGAAGCAAGGTTATCCTTACAGGATATCAGTTATGCAAGCCATACTGTACCTGATAGGGAAACAGCTGCAATCCAACACGAGGTGGTCTAGATCATAAAGGAGAAAAAATAAGAAAAAGAGAGAAGCGAGCTGGGGATCACTGCAGGCCAAGGCAACAGATTGCAAAGCAAACCCCGATTTGTTGTTGTTTTTTGTTCTCACTGCTGCTGACGTCCGTCTGCGCTCAGATCATAAGGTGACTACAACCGCTTTTACCTTTTCTTCCCCCAGCGCCGTGCAGCTCTCACTATATGCAGCTGGAAGAATGTCGACGTGGAGCTGCCAAACGTGAACGCGTGCTCGTGAGCGCGCACCAGGGAGAGAGGAGGGGAGAAAAATGGGATTTTTAGTGTAAATTCACGGAGAAGCAGAGCGAGCTGCACGTTAGTGTGGAGTTTTTAGCAGATAAGTGCCAAACCCAGCACAATAAAGCCAGTCTTGCGACTTTGACATATTTCACAAGTCAACTTATTTGATGAGTTAAGCTTCAGAAAGCGCGCCTTGTGTTCCCGATATCAACTTTCACTAACTTAAACCCCGTTTTAGTTTAAAATGTTTGTATTATATTTAAACATGCATGCAACCAGTTTAAGATAAAACGTAAACCACCTATTAAATGTTTCATTTTACAACACTAAACACAATTATTATTTTACTGTAACTCATTTGGTGGAGAATTATGAATTGCACTCTAAAACATGACTTTTGTTTGCAAGTGAGACGATCATAATCTAAAAATGTACTTCCTTTGGTGAAAGTTATCGAAGCAGTTTATTTGGCAGAAAAAAGTTAAAGTAATTCTCATTGTTCAGTGTATATTTCCTCTGTTGTTTCAAATATGTTCAAATGAATAAGTACTGTGCAAAAGTCTTGAGTCATTCCTCATTTTCATCTTTCTTCCAAGAAATCAGACTTTCTTATACTTTTCAAAAAGCTCTTTGTCATTTATTCTGATGGTCTATCAAAGTTTTTCATTGAACTTTGGCAGTTTTTTTCTCTGTCAAGTGCAAACTTATGAAATATTTAGACATGAAAGTCTCAAGCTCAATAGAAAAACAACACTATTTTGTCTTTGACAAATTTGAAAGAAACTATTTTTTAGATTACCAAGTTAATTGCTATTAATAGGCATAAAAGCAACTTTCCCCACTTATTTAGATGAATAAAAACTAACCCAACAGTTTGACACGTAAAGTAGTAGCCTATTTAGCGACAAAACACACACATGGTTGAACTATGAAGTATCTCTCAGGTCTTGAGTTATTGTTTGAAGGCATCTCTTTGAGATTATTTTACGACACTTGAGTTTTCATATTTTGCAATTAAACAATAAAGGAAAGGAACAAAAAGCTGAAGGAGATCAGAAACACTACGTGATGATGTAACAGCACAATGACCAAAACTTGAAAACAAATAATCAAAATTCACCTTTTAATTATTTTGACCACTATATGTGACATAATTGTAAAAAGAACCTGTTGTTATGCAGTGAATCAGTTGCATACTTTTTACTGAAGACATGCAAATGTATGATGCAATGTGACATCTAGGAATTGTTAGAAAGTAGCCAAAATACCATACAAATACCTTTAAATGTGCTAGTACTATTCAAAAATAGTAAGTTACCACATATAAATAAGTGCTTTTTAAAACAGCCTTTATGTCTCCAAGAGGCATTTTCAATAAATGTACAATTTTTTTTAATAGAAATTTTCCTGTTGTCAGTAAATAACCTCAAGGAGACAGGAGAAGCCATGGCGTCCAGTCCCACACCCAAACCACCAGCAGGGCTCGCTGTTTACCAAACGAAACAAAAACATTGATAGGTAACAGCTGCAATGTTTGGAGAGGCCAATTTAAGCACAAAATATCTTTTTTAGATATAAAATTAAGCTCACGTGGATATTTGAGGATAATTTAAACACGTGTAAGTAAGTTGTGTAATAACTACTTGGGTACCAGTATGTTAAACAGTTATGAGTTTAGGCCATAGACTGGTTTAGGCAGGCTGGCATAGCGCGCATGCGCACAGCGGGTCTTATGCTCCTGTCTCATAGGCCGCCGTGAGTGGGACGATCCCGGAGCCGCAGCTTGGTGGGCGGGGCCATCGGTTCCGTGACGCTCTCGAGCTCCGGAGGAGGCAAATATTTCCCGAAAGTCAGCTGCGGCCGCCCTCACGGACAGTATTGGCCTTACGGACCGCTCGCCATTTTAACCTGCCATTTGTGGATTAATAATACATCCAGTTTTCACCTATAAGGCGTTTTATTTACGTCAGCACAGATCTCCATGATGATGGAAATGGAGGTGATGCATTCCAGTCAACAGGTAAACAATATTTGATTAATTAGCTTTCTTTGAACAAACCTTGTCAACGTCCTCTGTTATAACACTTTAGGTGGCCTTCTTATGTATTTTTAATTAAAATCAAATATCTAAGTTGGGGCAGATTGTACTATTTAATTTGGAATTATTGTGATAAAACATTTAAATAAAACCGGTAACTCATGTAAAACTTTCAGTTCTGCAAGTCATGTAACGTTTTTCTTCGCAGGGAAATCAAAATAGGAATAACATAAAATATCAGTGGCACGATTTAACCGGCGTTGGCTCTTTCCCCCTTGGCCATACAAAGTGTCATGCCTTTAAAAGTGGGTAAACCTGGAGAAAATTGTTTTCTCACAAGAATGCGCGTCCTTTCCCTCTTCCTCCTCACCCCCTTCCTCTCCCAGGCATGTGATCCCTTATCTGATACTGGCCATCTTCTAACCACCATTTTATTATATATTTAAAAAAAACATATAGTAGCTTCTATTTTTGTTGTTTTAAATCTGATTTTGTTACATAAAACACAAAAACTCTTTTCTCAATTGACTAGTTAATTATTTTACTGTGTTTAGGCAAGAATGTTGTCAAAGGGAGCTTGGGTGTTTAAAAATGACAGATCAGAGCCTAAAGCGGCTGTTTTGGAACATGTGTTGCTGTGTTTCACCACTCTCGGTCAAGGGTGAATGTCCAAAGAATAATGATCAAAGGAAAGATCGGCCCCTTTCACTTCCTTTAAATAAAGAACCATCTTAAATGATACACGTGTTCAGATCAGCCTTTAATGTTGTGAAATACTCATTATGGTGACCCGTTTCATTAGTCTTAACTTTACCTGAAAGGATGGTGGTCTGACTGGTGTGGCTGCATGTTGTCGAGGGGAAATCCAAGCTTCCTCGTTCACGTGACCACCTGAGTCTTGTGAAATCCTCATTGACCTTACAAAAGAAAAGCCACCACACTTTAGCATTTTCTGGTTACTCTAAAAGAGAATCTAACTAAAATAAAACTTCTGTGGTGCACAAAAGGAGAATTTTAAGTGCTGAACTTGAAGTTTCTATTTAAGGCCTGACTAACGCAGTTTCTTTTTTTAAGCTTTGAAAAACATCGACCACAGGTGTGTTTTCAGATGCCACCTACACTTTTTTTGAGGACTTCCTCATTCTGCCAAATGCTATAATTTCTGGTTGCATGTTCACCTTTCTGCCGGGGAGCGTGATTTATCGTAGGCAGGCTCAGTAACGTGTAATCCTTTGGCGGTCATGACTCTGATGCAACACTGAGGCAAGGGGTGTTAGTGGCTTTTTATTTTGAAAAGACAAATTCAGGAAAGATTGTGTCAACAGTGTCCAAAAATACATAGGAGCTCATCTGTTTGCTATGGTGGTTTGTCGCTATACGTTTTAATCAGATAGTTACACCCCGTTCGTTTTTGCATTGTTCTGCTTTTTGTGGGTTTTTTTGCCCAGAGTTCAGGATAAAGCCACCAATCAGAAGTAGTTTTTATTCACCGATCTGAGGAACAAACATGTCACGTGCTTCTAAGGTTTTTCTCAGACCGGTGTCTGGTTTCATGCAACATCCTGAGGTCTTGTGAAACAGATTTCTTCTGTAAATAAACTACAGAGAAAAACCCAAGAAGAATGTAAAACAACAACCAACTTTGGGGTTTTTTCATTTAAAGAGCACAAAGCATGATGGTGGTGAGTGGAAACTCAGAAGATTCTTATAGTTGTTTGGTTTCTGATCTGAATTTATGGTGTAAAATTATTTCTGTCTTCATAGTGTACAAGTTGCAAACGAACGTTTGGCTTTAAACTGGTTTAGAAAACTCAAAGGGTCGCATAAAATGATAGGGTCACTTGATTATTGAAGAGTTGGAGCGGGACAAAAGAACTCACACCTCAGTGTAATGAGATGGGTAAGGCTATCAGATCAAGACGCTGTCGGGTGTTTGGTGGCGACAATGAAAACAGAGAACAACATTTATAATTCATTCTCTTCTTCCACTTGGGCTTTGTACCACGTTGCTGACAGCGAGCAGAAACAGGACAGGGTGTGGCAGGTACGACGGCCTGATTTCACAGTTGTTGTTCCGGCACTCATCGCTGCAGGATGGCACGGCAGCTCGCAACTCTCTAAGGTGATCTGTGGCCGTCTTTCCAGGACATGGACCTGATTGACATCCTGTGGAAGCAGGACATCGATCTCGGAGCCAGGCGCGAGGTGTTCGACTACAACCACCGTCAGAAAGAGCACGAGCTGCAGAGGCAGCGCGAGCTGGAGGAGGAGAAGAAGCTGCACCTGCTGCGGGAGCAAGAGAAGGCCCTTCTGGCACAGCTACAGCTAGATGAGGAGACTGGGGAGTACATCCCTCGCCCACCACCGCCCAGCGCCCCTCTGCAGTCAGCTGGCACACCCTTGGAGGTTACTCAGGTACAAGCAACTGGCATCATTACTCCTGTTGGTGGCTGGCCACTCCTACATCATGTGATAGGCCCTGGTTGTGTTGTAGCTAGGTAACCACCTCATCTAGCAGACACACACACACAGGTGGGTCAGGTGGTTTGCATCGAAGTGGAATACATTTTAAAGCCGCCGTACAAAATCAAAAACACGCCACAAATGGAGTTTAAGTACACACGTCACAGCAACATCTTTACATCCTCTTGCAGAATGTCAGCTTCACAGAAGAAAGCATCGATGGCATGTCATTTGATGAATGTTTGCAGCTTCTGGCAGAGACGTTTCCTGTAGAGGAAACCGAGGTAAGAATATTGACTCAATTATTGCCACACAACACAGCAGCCTGTAGAGGACATTTGACTGTCACATTTTGTGTTTTCTCTCACAGAACACACTGGCTGCTTCAGTACCTACCAGCAACAGCACCATGATGTCCCCCGAGCATCCAGCTCTGCCGCCAGTCAGCCTCCCCTCAGAGCAGCTGGAACCGCCACAGAGGATGTCTCCAGATTTGGAGCAGGCCTGGATGGAGCTATTATCCCTCCCCGAGCTGCAGGTATAGTGCAGGGACTCTAGCAGGCTGTGTTGTGGAACCAGCACCCAAAGAACGTATTAATAGCAGCGTCGTGGCATTAGGGGGTAAACGTTTTTGTGTGGGGGGGTACGTGAGTCACGTGTGCCCAGCCAATTCCACTGATTAGGTGTCATTGAGTTCTTACAACACAATTCTCAAGGACTTTAATGTCATAGAAATGGGAGACATCTTGTTTAAAGAGGGTGTGGCTAAACCCACACTAACAGGAGGAAAGGTGAAGAGCACCTTTTCTGTAGCTGCACCTCACGCTTCCATGGTAACCGGTAGGCGGAGCAGGCTGAGGCTTGTTGTCTTCACCTCACTTGAACTACAGTCCACCTGTCAAGTGGCACAGTTTTGTCAAGAGTCCGACATACCAGAGATCTTGGAATAGTTTGTTGACAGTGGAGATGAAATCGTTTGTAACTGTCACGAGATCACAGAGGAGGATGTTTACCTCATCTTGGAAAACCCAGCTGGACACTTTGTTCAACAACCGGCTCTACCGGTTTTTTTCCCCTTCCTTTTGAGAAACATTCAAAACTGGTTCAGCTCGTTCAAGCGTCACCAAAATTTTTTATATATTTTGTTCACATAAATTTATTTTGTTATGCATATAGCCCTATTTTGTGTCTTCATCTATATTCCTTTTGCTATAAGAGCTGCGTAGCACTTAAATTTCTCATTTGTGGGATTATAAAGGTTTGTTCTATTCTATAGTTGACATACAGAGAACATTTTTTTAACGTCAAATTAAATTTGGTAACTGATCCCACGTTTCGGTGCCATCTGACGAATGTGACCAGTGGAGTATTTTGTATCAAAACTCCATATTTGACTTCTTTTTACACAAACATATCTTAAACTGTAACCTTATACTGTTTTTGGTGTGTGTATTCATCACTTCTTTTGTCTTCCAGCAATGCCTGAACATGCAAATTGAAGACACAATGGAGACTGCAGCCTATCCACTTCCCAACAACTGTGAAGTTCAGAATCCAGACTTTCCCAACTATCTACAGATCCAGACTCCTATTTTTAACCCCACAACCAACATCTCAGATGTCAAAACAAACACTGTGAACTTTAGCCCTGCAGAGTTTCTGCACACATTTGATGGCCCTGTTCCCGGAGTGGAGATGAAAGCAGAGGCCCCTCAGATAAATGCAACCTTTAACCCAGAAGCCTTCAATGATGTATTTTATCCCACCAATGAGCTGGAAGGGCGTAGTGGTCAGTTTGGCCAAGAAGTCAGTGAAACCGTGGCCGACGTTCCAAACAAACCCGCCTTTACGCCGATGGACGTTTACAGCCTCTCACCTGGCGACACGTTCGACAAAAGCAAAGAAAATCTGAAAGAACATCCAGATTCAGATTCAGGATTCTCCACTAATGGAAGCCCAAATGTCAGTTCACCGAGTAAATCTGCATATGGAGGCGGTTCCCTTGGTTACAGTGACTCAGAGATGGAGGACATGGACAACTACCTTGGGAGCCCAGAGTCAGACTACTCTGAGATGTTTCCATTAAATTACCAACTTGATGATCTTGGATCTGCTATACCAGTGTCAGTACCAACTGGGCAGTCACAACAACAGGTAAAGAAACCAGAAGACCACAAGGTGGACCCAGCGGAGGAGGCTGGTCACAGCAGTGCTCCTTTTACCAAAGACAAACCAAAGAAACGCTCCGATGTGCGTCTTTCCAGAGACGAGCAGAGGGCCAAGTCCCTCAAGATCCCGTTCACTGTCGGCATGATAATCAACCTGCCTGTTGACGACTTCAACGAGCTGATGTCTAAGCACCAGCTGAACGAGGCCCAGCTGGCCCTGGTCCGCGACATTCGCCGCCGCGGTAAGAACAAGGTGGCCGCTCAGAACTGCCGCAAGCGCAAGATGGAGAACATAGTGGGTCTGGAGAGCGAACTCGACTTGCTGAAGGAGGAAAAGGAGCGCCAGCTGAACGAAAAGAGCAAGAACAAGACAGAACTGAAGGAAATGAAGCAGCAGCTCCACAGCTTGTACCTGAAAGTCTTTAGCATGCTGAGGGACGAGGAGGGGAACTCGTACTCGCCTCTGGATTACTCTCTGCAGCAGTCAACAGACGGCAGTGTTTTCCTCGTCCCTCGCATCAAAAAGACTTTCAAGAGCGAGGACGACCACTTGTCTCCTTTGTAACACGGTACTGCGTTAACAGAAAACTATGCAATAACTTTGTATTTACTCAGCTTTAAGCTTTAGAAGCCCAACAAAGCTATAGTAGTTCCTGCTTATTACTCTTCAACGTTGTAATATTTCAATATTTTGTACTGGTATCCTCAAAAGTTCTTTAACCAATACGTTTGTAAATATAAATATCTGCTTTTGAGATAAATGAGAATGTTACTGTGTGTACATATATATTGTATATATAAATATTTCTATACATCTTGATTCTTTCAATCAGTTACTTCTTTTATAACTTGTCTTCTGTTTGGTGTCCGGTTTGGAAATCCTGTCTTTTATGCCCTTAAATAAACTATTCATAAAACTGCTCTTTGGTTCGTGAGGATTTTTGTGTGGTGTTTTGTAACCGATTGCTGCCAGATGCTTCATAAAATCTAAGGGGTGGTTGCATAACTCGCCACATGCTCGAGTCAGGCCCCAACTTGAAGGCTTAGCTTACTAAAGTTGGTAAATGGAGTCATCTGGAGACAAAATAGTCACCGGTTTAAACTTTTGTCCCAGTGAGCTTTGTTAAACATTTTAAAAGCCTTTCAGTTGTCACTCCTGCCTAAAGCATAACACACCTCACTCATTGTTACACAACGAACATTTATGCATGCAGTGGCGTGGGTCCGTTGTAAAACACGCTTGGCAACCCAACAACGTGCCCTTTATGTTCATTTTCACTCCTAGATAAAGCACCTTTGACCACTTTGTGCACAGTAAATATTTATAAACCCCACGGGCATCGGAGTCTGAAATCAGAGATACTGTGCAATAAAAACAACTAAAGGTCACAAGAGGTTCAGAAAGGAGACAACCACCATGTGGGAACAGTTTTATTGAAAAAAAAAAAAAAAGACATTTTACAAAATTTGAATAAAAAAAAAGCAGGACACAGGAAAGTGTGTCAACGCTCAGACAATAATACAACACTGCTATGTACACAAACTACAGGCTGAGGCACCCAAGTTAACATGAGCAACTATTTTTCTGAGTTTTAACCACACCTCTTTCTGGATCACTTTGAGATAATGGCTTCTATTAGTTGATGTTTTATAATATTCAGAACTGAAATTTGGGAAGGGTGCATTCATTCCTGAAATCCTACAGTAGCCTTGGCTTTAACACGTTTATTTCCTGCTGAGGGGAAATGGTTAAGATCTTAATTACTTGCTTTTATGTCTTTAGTTACATATAATGCGATCTTAAACCTTTGAGAACAATGGTAAGCACAGTATATGACTAAATATTACTGTTGGCACTATTGAGATGTCATTTCTCTTAAATAGGAGTTATTTTCGTCAGCCTGAATTTATACTGGGAAATAAAATGCTTTGTTTAAATGAAACTCCGCCCACGCCCACTCCAAAAAAACGTGCCAACAACAGCATTAGGGCAAGTTTGTTACTGTATTAGCTACGGTTGTCCAGTGGTTAAAGTGTCTACCTGACATAACAGTTTAGTCATGTGCTGGCATAGATTTGAATCCCAGTGGTGTCAGCAGTAATTTATTTAGCCAGCTGAAGCAGATTTTGATATTTTAGTTTCATTGATTATTTTCTGCAAATTATTTTGTGTCTCTAAACATCTTTGAATTTGGTCATTTCCAATCAGCATTTTAGTTGATTGATTCTGCTCACCTCACATCGTCTCACACTGGATAAATAAAGCAAAAAATAAAAATAAATAAAACACCTACCGAAGACCACATTAGATAGGGGTGCACCAAAAATTCAGCCACCGAAAGTGCACTTTTGGGTCATTTTCCACTAGGGATAAAGGAAAATATCGATATGGCAATATATTGTGATATTTTTTCCTGCTATATTATATCGATGTTCAAAAGCCTCATCTAATTTTTGGAAGAATTTATATATAAATATTTGTGTATTTTCTTTTCTTTTGGTACAATTCAAAATCAGACTGCTAGGGCAGCAGCAGCTCATCAAGTTGAGCGGGTTGTCCAGTAATCGGAACGTTGGAGGTTTGATCCCGGCTCTGGACCGAGAATTCTGCTGTTGTGTCCTTGGGCAAGACACTTAACCCACCTTGCCTGCTGGTGGTGGTCGGGGGGACCGGTGGTGCCTGTGCTCGGCAGCCTCGTCTCCGTCAACGCCATCAGTGTGAATGGATGAATGACACGCTGTAGTGTAAAGCGCTTTGGAGTCCTTACTCTGAGAGGCGCTATACAAGTGCGGGTCATTTATCATTTAGTTGGCAGCAGTGTGCAATGGGCTTTATTTCCCTCTGTTATGCTTCAGATACCTCATGTTAAGTATCAGTTTGGACTGATTATTGAATATTCCTACAATAAATAACGCTAAAAACGTCTAACTGAATGTATCACAATATATTGCGATACACTGTATCATGTCCCCGTATCATGATATGTATCGTATCGCCAAAATTTCACCAATATACATCCCTTTTTCCACCTAAATCACCAAAACCGAAACAGATCGTCAGGTAAACCTGCTTTCTTTTAATCTCGCTCTGCCCTCAAGTTGAAACTTGCTGATTGCTTGTACTTTCTTTAATTATTCATTATTCATGGTTTTGTTATTGATTTATTACAATGCCTTGATTTTAGTGAGGTTAGTGCACATCATAGCCATAAATACTATGGTTCTAATTATTGACATGATAATTTCTTTCAGTGTTTTTGTTTCGGCCAATACTTTTCATTTTGGTGCATCCCTATTATTAGCCCTTATATTTAAACAGTTTACCAATAAAGGATAGAAAACATCACACTGGCAAGTGCAGCAAAAAAAGAAGAAATAAGTTAATGCTGAGACTGGGACATGAACCTGTGCAAAGCTACGTCAGCCCAGCACTCTAACCACTAGACTACTAGCCTAAGCTGGCCAGGGAAGACCTGAGACTAGCTTCCAGGGGAGGAGCAGGAAGATGGAGTGATGTACAACTTCTACATTAGGCCCTTTCAGGAATTTCAAAATAAAATTCTACAGTTTGTAGCTGAAACGGGAAAATGCATGAATGCAGCCAAAAATGGATTTGGGTATTTTTTTCATGAGGAAACAAAAATATTAAATGCTAAAAAGCTTCAAAAAGTGGATTTTCCATTATATCACCCCCTTTAAACTACAAAAAACATTTTTTAGTTGAAAAGCACGTCATTCACAAGATTTCCAAAAATTTGATTGTCTGGAACAGTCTCCTCTCTTATTTCTGAATGGACTTGCATACAATGAGCATAAAATACAACACTGGTCACAAACCTGCCATCATTACATTCATCAACAAAACTGCTATAAAATGTGTACAACCTTTGGATAATATTTCAAAAGAAGTCTTACCCATCCAGAACCTTCCAACAGCTTTTCAGCAAGAAGAGAATGCCCATTTCCACATCTGTAAATCAAGCAAAGTGGTTACTCTTACCTGCTCCCATCTTCTCAAGCTTTTGTGAAATACTCGCTGCCTTTTCTTGTTAATGTCTGACATCTAGAAGGTTAAGCTGCTGTAACACACTCAACAGGAGCTCCAGTGCTTCTGGGACCTAAAGTCTTTCTTCGCTTGCACCAGTGGCTCAGACGCTTAGCTAGCCTTGGGGGGGGGGGGAAAGAGACAGATGCTCACTACCAGGAACGACACTGCAAGCTTCCTCCTTGGGCGATGTGCTTGATGCTGCCTTCTCCCTTCTCTCTCAAAATGCTGACTGGTCCACTGTGCTGGGGCTGAAGACGTCCTGTCTGACAGTCATCTGCAATCCTCCACACTAGCGACGCTGATGGCCCAACTGCAGGTGCTCGTGGTTTTTATAATCCTACTTTACTGGCACAAGTTCCCAAAACTCCCTTTTACATTCATTCACCCTAGACATGCAACATCACAATGAGAAGGGAACAAATAGAAGCTTTCTGGACCAATGATGCACTGCACCTCATGATTACTTTACTACACAATTTTATTACGTCTTTTTCTACTAATCAAAATATTGGAACAATCTCAAATTTGTTTAGCTGGGAACAGGATGAGTGAAGGAGTTCCTTCGGTCTAATCCAGGCTGTTTTATATTTGTTGACACTGATACTAGGAAGTACACACTGTGCTTTACATACAAAATCAAAATTACACTTTTCACTTGTAATTACAAAATTGACGACTTGAGAAAAAGGAAATCTGTAATTCTAACTGATGGAAGGGCCTGGTGTAGCTATGCTATCTGACAACTTCAAAAGACAAGCGATAAATTGGCCATCAGGGAACTAAATAAAAATAAAAGTGAAAAATAAAGGATTGAGTTCAAATAATAATTATTTAAGAAAAAACACATTTTTCTTTTTAGCCGATACCATAGGCACAACACACACTTTAGACGCAGAAAAAGGAAATCTTTCTCAGTTGGGGAACATCTATCACAAACAGGGAAGGGCATGGTCTGTGCTCTTGTTCTTACAGTCCTTCTTCCATTAAACTTCTCAGATTTAGCTGCAGTAAAGTCTGACTTCGTGTTCCTCTGACTGCCTCAAAGTAACCTGCAGCTTTCCTGACAACTCCTTTGCTCACCTCCTCGCCTCTGCTGCTAAGAACTGAAGCCTGTTGAATGGATACAGGATAGAACAAACAGTTAATCTGCACTTTCATGGGCTCACGCTGTACTGTGCTACGAGGCTGCTGTGAGACTCGATGCAACATACCGGAAAACTGAAAATGATCAGTACCGCCGTGAGCCGTAGCCCCCACCACTATTTCCGGAGCCGTAGCCTCCTAGAAAGGAGAGAAGAAAACAATTATGATGCTGTTGGACTTTAAGATCTGATTCAACGTGGAGGATAAACTCACCACCATATGGTGCGCTGGAGTTTCTCCCACCAAAGTTATTTCCCTTCATTGGACCATAGTTTGACTGCTGTCCACCATAGTTTCCAAAGTCATTGTAATTTCCACCTCCTCCATAATCTAAATAATCGGTTTAAATCAAACCTTAATTATAACCTTAACCTTAGTTCTGACAAATTTAGCATCTGATAAGAACGTGTTTTTACCTCCTCTATTTCCTCCATACCCTCCACCACAATTGCCACCGAAACCTCCACCCTGGTTTCCATACCCTGGACCACCACCACCTCCTCCATAACCCCCCCGGCCACCTCCATAACTGGGTCCACCACCATAATCCCCTCGAGGACCTGCGAAAATAACCCAAAACATTTAGCTATTATTAATGTTCACATAAAGACATCAAAACTAAAAACAGGTGACAGCACCGGTCCTGAACCTTAAAAACGAGATGCTTGCTAGCAGTAACCTGGGCTTTTCAACGGACGTGCAGCACAGCAGACATTTTCACCCCTCAGTGGCACAATCCCTTCCTAACAGGAGTGTTTCTTAAAGTACGTGACAGGTGTAACCTGTGGCTCCCTGAAAGACTGAGTATGTGTATTCAAATATATCAGCGTGGAATACTTCTTCAAGGTTAAAGTGTTGTGGGAGCTACAGGATCAAATCTGTCTTATTTACTAAGGTTTCTTGCTTTTTGTTCCTTTGAACTCTATTTCTGGGTTCTTAGCAGTAGTATCTCATTACCTGAAGTTTGAAACCTCCAACCCACAACCCACACACACAACAATCAATTCAATAAATTAAATATATTGAAATATGTAACAATTTGTAATATTCATCATAAAGGGAATAAATGCTAAATTCCCTCTCCTAGAGAGCTCTTAAAGGAATGATAAAAATTGAACAATCAATAAATAGACAATAAAAAAATAAATAAATAAATACATAAATAAATAAATAAATAAATAAATAAAACCAATTGTCCTTTAACAAAGTGTTCAGGACTATGTCACACAGTCTTCTTGCTTTTGGGCAAATTGATAATTCAGTCCACTAAAATGTTGGAAAGTTGCCAAAAAAAGTGTCCAAACCCTCACTCAGGAAGGGAAAAAAACCTTAGTCCTTTGAATCGTGTAGAGGTCTTAAATGATCCTACCACATCTTTGATGAGACAGGATATGATGAAGACATCCTGCCATGGATGTGGCACCCATGAGTATTAATACCTCCCCAGTGGACCAAAGCAGTGCATCTGAGTCTTTAAATGTGTTGGCTTTCCAGGCAGGAAAAGGTGATTTAAACCTCAATCAACAAGCCTGCATAAAACATATGCAACAAAATTATAATAATGTCACTGTCTGTTTTCTATTATCTTCCAAACTCACAAAATAACTATACTTGGAAAAGTAGATTTCATTAACAAAATAAATATAAAAGCAAAACAAATCACCTTATCTTCAAAGGAAATTTGTGTACAATTCATTTTCTCAACAGTTTAACACATCTACTCACAGAAACTGAGCTAACAGCTAGCCGGGTGGCTTAAAAATCTGGCTACACGAGACCGTCACAAATGGTCAAAAACATACATATATTTCACAGAACATAGCTTAGCATAGCTTACATCAACATTTTTTTCTACTTTGTTTCACATCTACATATACATTCAGTCCATGAAACATTAGATTAACTCACCAAAGGGTTTCTTCAAAAAACAAATCGAGGTCTACTTCTAACGGCTCCTCCTTCAGTAGCGAACACACTCTATAATCATAAAACACTTTTGTTTCAATAAAAACTTCTCACAAATAATCTTAAACCCTTCTTAAGTGATGAACCTTACATTTCTAGAAGCTTCCAGTCACCTATTGCATCGCTGACGGCAGTTAGCTGAACTTCTGCTCACCTGTTCAGCCTAACGGACAAAAACGTTTTTTTTCTCCGGTGTGGGGAGGGCTGCGCAGCTCGGCTCCATGCTGCGTTCAAGTAACCCTCGTAATTTTTTATACTAACGAAAAACGGTTCCTAACAATGGAGAATTTTTTAAAGGAATTTAGGCTCAATAACCCTGGAAGATAACCCGGGTTACATTCTCCCCCTCTAGATGGCATGGGTCCCTTCATGCGTTGCTATGGATAAAGGGACTTCACGGCACAATGCAGCAACAAAACCTCGGAGAAATAAACTAATTGCTTGGATCAAGGGTTCACCCAACTGATTATATGTGAGTCTCTGAGGTGGGTGTCTGTCTCTACTGGAACGTCTCAGGTCGCATGATGGCAAGTCACAAGTGACAGGCTCTGAGCCATCTAGGATTTGCTCAGCATTGATATCTGCTGCGTAATTACTGTCAGCTGATGCAGATGACGGTTTTGTGGGAATGTCAATGACAACATAGTCTTTATCCACACAAGGGGATCTATTAGGCAGAAACTGCCCGTCATCATCCACATGACAAGGTGAGATTTGCCTTTTCTCATTCCTATTCGACATCTCACGATCAGACACAGAGGTATGCGAAATGACACCAAAAGCACTGGGGTCTGTGTCGCAGGTGCGTGACAGAGGTACAACATCCTTATTAGTTGATATATAAGGACCCCTAGTAATTATCTCTGGAATCAGCTGACTGGAGTTCAGTTCATCCTGATCACTCACTTCATCCTCACTGTTGTCTGGGTCACCTTCTTGGTGATTTTGCATCTGTCTCAGATCTTTGCTTCTCAATTTCATTTTTTTTCCTTCCTTTTCATGAATTCCATGTTCAATTATTTCTTCCACGGGTAAGAATCCACATGGTAAGAGGAGGTCTCGATGCAAGGTGCGTTGTGGTCCTCTTCTTGATTCTGCTTCCACCACATAGACCGGACTGTCTTTGATTCTTCTGACCACAACATGAATGTCCTGTTCCCATTTGTCTGAGAGTTTGTGCTTTCCTCTCATATTAACGTTCCTGACCAAAACTCTGTCACCTGCAATGAGTTCGGCTGCTCTGACTCTCTTGTCAAACCTTGTTTTATTCTTTTGGCCCATTTTCTGAGATTTTTCTGCAGCTAAAGAATAGCTTTCTTGCAGCCGTTGACGGAGATTCTCAACATATTCACTCTGAGTCTTGTGACTTGTCTTTTCAGGTTGTATCCCCAAAATTATATCAATGGGCAGTCTTGGCTGTCTGCCAAACATCAATTCATAAGGGGAATACCCCGTAGTGTCATTTCTCGTGCAGTTATATGCTTGGACCAATGGTTTGACAAAATCCCTCCAATGGTATTTGTCTCTCTCTTCTAAAGTACCAAGCATGTCCAAGAGTGTCCGGTTAAACCGTTCCACCGGATTTCCACGGGGGTGGTATGGAGTGGTACGGATCTTGTTAGCCCCCATCATTGCACATAGCTCTTTAATCATCTTGGATTCAAAATCCCTACCTTGATCACTCAGTAAGCGGCTAGGGAAACCGTAGCAGACAATGAAATTTTCCCACAAAGCTTTTGCAATGGTTCTTGCCTTTTGGTCTTTTGTAGGCACTGCCACAGCAAACTTGGTGAAGTGGTCGGTGATAACCAATATGTTTCTTGTACCATGACTGTCTGGTTCTAGTGACAAGTAATCCATGCAGACAAGATCAAGTGGATAAGTCGATGAAATATTTGTCAATGGAGCAGCCCTTTGTGGTACGGCCTTCCTCCTGAAACAGCGTGGGCAATTCCGGCACTTTTCTTCAATTGACTTTGCCATTCTGGGCCAGTAGAATCTGGCACGAGCAAGATGTAAAACTCGCTCAACCCCAAGATGGCCCACTTCGTCGTGGAGACCGTACATAGCCCTCTCTCTAAAACATTCAGGAAGGACCAACTGTGCAACCTCATGTCCCTTATCCATCCACTTCCTGTAAAGCACCCCATCTCTTAACTCCAACCTTTTCCATTCCCTCAGGAGGAGTTTGACATCAACAGGTTCAGAAGTGATGTCAGCTAGACTGGGTTTGCTTGCCTTCTCAAGGAGAGTAATGACATGACAAAGGGAGGGATCACGTCTTTGGGCTTCACGCCAATCAGAGATTGTCATTGATTGAAGGGTGTCTTCACAAAATATTTCAGAAAGAGTTGAGGGCTCTATGATTAGAGACTCGACCGTCAAAACTTGTCCAATGTCTGAATCATGTCTGTCCTGGTAGTTCACAAGGTGACGCTGACACAATGCAGAGATCATTTCATGATCAACATCAGCACTTACTTCCTGAAGACGTTTTTTCATGTCGTCTACTCTGCTCTTCTCCTTTATGTAGTCCTCATCCTCACAGGGTGGTTCTTGCGGTCGGCGGGACAACCCATCAGCATCACGATTAGCCTGCCCTGCTCTGTACTTGATACTGAACTGGTAAGTGGACAAAGCGGCTAACCAACGGTGTCCAGCAGCATCCAACTTGGCTGATGTCAAGACATATGTAAGGGGGTTGTTGTCTGTGAATACAGTGAAACTGGAACCATACAGATAGTCATTAAACTTTTCACAAATAGCCCACTTGAGAGCTAAAAATTCCAGTTTGTGTGTGGGATAGTTTCGTTCACTTTTGGAGAGTCCACGACTGGCATAGGCAATGACTCTTAACTGTCCATCTTGCTCTTGATAGAGCGCTGCACCCAACCCATCACAACAAGCATCAGTGTGTAAGATATATGGCAGTGATGGACTGGCAAAAGCAAGTACAGGCGCAGTTGTCAACTTCTCTATCAAGGTCTGGAAAGCTTTGTCGCATTCTGAGGTCCATTCATCAGCAAGGGGCACATTAAAATTCGGAGCTGGGGTTTTTGAATGTTCTCTACGGTAAACTTTACCCCTTTTCTTTGGTGGGCAGTACCCAGCAGTCAGGTTGTTCAGAGGCTTGGCAATTTGTGAATACTCCTTAACAAACCGGCGGTAATACCCAGCAAACCCTAAAAAACATTTAAGCTCTTTCCGGTTTGTTGGGCGAGGCCAGGTCTTCAGGGCTGAAACTTTCTCTGGGTCAGTGTGAACCCCTTGGGCATCGACCAAATGACCAAGATACTTCACTGAAGTTTTGAAAAAATGACACTTCTCTGGAGATAGCTTCAATCCAAAATCTTTCAAGCGGTTCAGAACTTTCATAAGCCTTGCTTCATGTTCTTCCAGTGTGTCAGAAAACACAATCAGATCATCTAAAAATACCAGCACTTCTGTTAGGTTTAGATCTCCGACACACTTCTCCATTAACCGCTGAAATGTGCTTGGTGCATTTGTGACACCTTGTGGCATACGGTTGAATTCAAAGAATCCCAGAGGACACACAAATGCTGTTTTTGGCTTATCTTCTTCAGCCATTTCAACC